TAATCTGAGCTTTACTAAACTCTTTTAATGAATGTTTGAACTGAACAGTCTCCTCTGTAGTGGACAGGAGTGATAGCATCAGTATTGGAGTGGACTCGTGCATTTCATGGCAAGTTACATGTTATTAACTGAAAATCACAGAGCTACATACTTTATAGTCAAGTTTGCAAGATTTTGTTATTGGAATGTAATGAATTGTTTGCTCAGTTCATGAGGCCACAGTGGGTTTGTGGGATTATGGAATCAGCAGCGGACTGAAGCAGGCAATAAGAGCCAAAATAACATTAAGAATTTTGCAACTAAGTGAAATAAGTGAATTTTTTGTAAAACATATTAACAGAAGAACCAGTAACTGCAAGGAACAGTGTGAGTTAAATAAAAATTACAGTAGAATTTTTCCCCATGTGCCTTATCAATATGTATTCTAAATGTAGGTCTATTTTAAATGCACAAGCCCATTTCCAAAAAAGTTGGGACGCTGTGCAAAATGTAGATAAAAACAAAATGCAGTGATATGCAAATTCATTGAAAATAGTACAAAGACAACACATCAAATGTTGAAAGTGTTTTTTGAAAAATATTTGCCCCTTTTAAATTTGATGCCAACAACACATTCCAAAAAAGTTGGGACGGGGGCAACAAAAGGCTTGTAAAGTTGTGTAATGCTAAAAAAAAAACCTGGTGGTTAATTGGCAACAGGTCAGTAACATGATTGGGTATAAAAGAGCATCTCAGAGAGGCTGAGTTTATCAGAAGTAAAGACTGAGAAGGGTTCACCACTCTGTGAAAGACTGCACGATCGAACAGTGCAACAATTCAGGAATAACGTTTCTCAACGTAAAATAACAAAGAACTTTTGTTTTTCATCATCTATGGTACATAATAACATTAAAACATTCAGAGAATCTGGAGAAAACTCTGTATGCAAGGGACAAGGCCAAAAACCAGTATTTGCTGGCCGTGATCATTGGGCCCTCAGGCAGCAGTGCATTAAAACCAGACATGATTCTGTAGTGGAAATCACTGCATGGGTTCAGAAACACTTCTGAAAAACACTGTCTGTGAAAACTGATAAAATTCTGAAACGCAAAGAAGAAATCATATATAAACAGGATCCAGAAACGCTGCCACCTTCTCTGGGCCCGAGCTCATTTAAAATGGACTGAGGGGAAGTGGAAAAGTGTCCTGTGGGCTGATGAATCAACATTTGAAATTCTTTTTGGAAATCATGGACACTGTGTCCTCCAGGCTAAAGACCACTCAGCTTGTTATCGGTGCACTGTTCAAAAGCCAGTATTCATGATGGTATAGGAGTGCACTAGTGCACATGGCATGGGTGACGTGCACATCTGTGAAGGCACCATTAATGCTGAACGATATATTGGCAACATATGCTGCCATCTAGATGACGTCTTTTTCAGGGAAGGCCTTGATTGTTTCAGCAAGACAATGACAAACCTCATTCTGCATGTATTACAACAGCATTGCTCTGTATTAAAAGAGTCTGGGTGCTAAAGTGACCTGCCTGCACTCCAGACTTGTCACCACTGAAAACCTTTGGCACATTATAAGGTGAAAAATACAACAAATGAGCCCCTGAACTGTTGAGCAGCTGATTTGATATCAAACAAAAATGGGAAAACATTTCACTTTCAAAACTACAGAAATTGGTCTCCTCAGTTCCCAAACGCTTACAGAGTGTTGTTAAAAAAAGAAGTGATGAAACACAGCAGTAAACATGCCCCCGTCCCAACTTTTTTGGAACGTGTTGTTGGCATCAAATTCAAAATTGGCACATATTTTTCAAATGAGAAATAAAATTTCTCAGTTTCAACATTTGATATGTTGTCTTTGTAGTATTTTCCTTTAAAATTACGGTGCATATGATTTGTATATCATTGCATCCTATTTTTATTTACATTCTGCACAGCGTCCCAACTTTTTTGGAAATGGGGTTGTATTCTGAATACATTACTTTTTTATGTATTATAATGGAATACATTACTGAATATAATTAGCACAGTGTATTTAGTATTCAGCCATCACTAGTTTGTGTTTTGCCCAACTAAATGTAAAATTATAAACTTTGCTTTAGGGTGGATTTTGGAAAAATGTTGCAAAATTGCAACAAAGGGTTTCAAAAACCATTTCCTCATTGTGATTTTAGCAAAGTTTAATTTTGCCAGGTGTTAGTGAATATATAACACAGAGATATGTAAGCATACATTATTTTATACCTTATTGTTAAATTAATAACATATTTTAAATTATTGTCTTATATGTATTGTTTTTTGCTATACATATAAGAGGGAAACCTGCACTAAATGCTGCAATTTAATGCCAGGAGTGTTTAATCTTATCTGCAAAGAGCCAGTGTGGTTACAGGATTTCATTCTAGCACAGCAAGATCACACATGATCAACTGAGCCTGAGAACAACAGATTTAACAGGTGGAATCAGGTGTGCTTGTGCTTGTTTGGAATGAACATTTGCAGCTACAACAGACTGGACACCTTGGAGGTATTCCCTGTCCCATAGCACCAGACACAGTTCAGAACGGGCTTCATAATGAACTGGAGTGCTGAATCAGGTGTGTTGAATAGTTGAAAACGTCTGTAAGGCTGGAGTTGGAGCCCCTAAAGTAAAAGGGTCATTGTGTGAATAATGTATGTAAATAATTCGAAAAGTGGTGAAAACTGAGGCTCACAGTTGCATTTTTAATCACTGAACATGTTGGGAATTAAGTAAAAATTTCTCACCTCAAAAAGTAAAAGTAACTTTAACAAAACTTTAGTAAATGTACAAACAAGTCATGACAAAAAAATACTTAAATAGTATTACAGAACTGCAAATCCAGCATCTATCATCACAGAGACTGATTTTTGTTAGGCTGCCTAACAAACAGAAAATATATTACAGTTTTAAGATATAAGATTTAAGTTTTCATTAGTCCAGTTACTTTTGTTTTCTTAAAACGGGACTATATATAAAGCATGTGTGATTCAGTCATTATAAATGTAGGTACGCTCAAATTAAAGCTAAAATTCAGTGCTTTAACTGCATTGTTTCAAATCCAGTGAGATTAAGTACAAAAAAATTGTGCACTGTCCAATTACTACTACCAACGTTATATGCCTCCATGATTTGTTTGGTGTTGTGCTTAAGGTGAGGTGTTTAAAAAAATTTAATTAGTAAATTCAACCTACTGTTGGAGTATTTTGGAAAACAATTATCTCTAATTTTGGACCAGCCCCACCCACAATAATTCTGACACACCCAGGACTTTAGAATGTAGACTTTCATTGTCAGACCCCTTAGTTAAAGAGCTGGCTTATACGTACTCTCACAGTCAAATGTTCTTTTAAAGCACCATGTTTTGCTTATTGTGGTGCAAATACATCTGTTCCTCCATCATAACTGTGTGGCTATTAGAATTATATCTATGCATATTAAGATGAAAAAAACTCTTGTAGCTTTTGAAGTCTAGGGTTAGGGTTAGTAACACCAGTGCCTGCATTAACACACAACATCATCATCTGCTGGACAAAAAGGAACTGGACTTTCAAAAATGGAATTAATTACAGAAAAACTCATTAAAGTTTAAAATAGAGAAACTCTCTCTCTCTCTCTCTCTCTCTCTCTCTCTCTCTCTCTCTCTGTTGCTAATCAAACCACCACTTCTTACAAGATGCTGCCCCACAGTATTTTAACTAATGTAACAGGATACTGTACCATTTCTATTAGTCTGCCGATCATGAAACATTACCACAATGCAAAGGATAACTGGACTTTTTATATCATGCCAAAAAAGAAGAAAAATGACAGAAATGGAGATACAGTTTTGCGACAGCGGTGTATATGTTTATTATTTATGTTCATTTTATAAGAACCATACTGGGTGCCCAAAGGTTCTTCGAAAAACCTTTAGGTGCCTGGAGGAACCGCTTCTTTATTGAAGGTTCTTGGAGGAACCACCACCATATTTGAAATGTTCCTGAAACATGCACGGTTCCTAAAAGAGCCTTGATTTCAATGAAAATCCTTCAAAATTTCCCAGGGCAACATTATAATGTAACCTTGTTGTTGTGGTTGTTTTCTCAGCGGGCTGATGATTTTAAATGGTTTATAAGTGTAAGTTAACCTAAGTTGTTGTTTTTGTTTATTTTGCCAGTCCGAGCCAGAAAAATAACCACCAGGTTCGTGTTGGAAGCTCAGTGTGTTTAGAAGTTCATTAGCTAAAGATCCCTGATGTGCATCAGTCCTCCACTGGCTTATTAGCGCCAACTGGGCCGCGCGCGCGCGTGTGCGCGCGTCTCAGTCTCACGCTGTTCCCACCTCGCTCACTTTGTTCTGCACCGCAGGATGTTTTTCTCTCCGCGAGTCTGAGAAGTCGCGCGGGACTCACTTACTCGATGCTTTGAACAGCCGGATCAAAGTGGCACATTTGCTCCGCACGCGCTTTTTTAATTTCGCCTGACTGGTCTTTCTTTTCTCCCTGACTCATCTGACTCTTCGTTACCGCCATCATTATTCGCTTTTTTTACTTTAAGCCGTTTACAATTGGCTTCTTCTGCGCGCGGTGCATTCCTCCCGTCTCTGCTGCTGCTGCTGCTCATCGTTCCTCGTGCGTGGCAGTGAGTGTGTGTGTGCGTGTGTGTGTGTTGGGTGAGTTTATGACACGGTGGTCTCAAACAGCGGACTGATGGATTTGAAACGGACGCGCTTCTCCTTGTTTTGTGTGTCTGCGCGCTCCCGATGAGACGAGCTTCAGTTGAGAAACAAAGGCAGCGCGCGCCGCTCGTTGAGCTCTACTGCTGAAGATGTTTCTGCTTCAGAACCCGCTGTTTCTCTGATTTCGCAGTTTTGCACCACTGGAGTGTAAACTTGGTTTGTGGTACCCTCAACCCCCCACCTCCCCTCCAACACACACACCTCCGCGTGTTGCCCACCCCGGCCAACCTGCATCTCCTTCGTCTCGCTGACCCTCGAAGGCGCGCGGGATGAATTTTGAGCAGCTCTTGGCCACCGTGGGAGGCTTCGGCCGGTACCAGAAGACCCTGTACGTGTGGATTTGTCTCCCGCAGATCCTGCTGGCCTTTCACATGATGGCGAGTGTGTTCACGGGCGCCACGCCACCGCACCAGTGCCGGAGCGCGAGACCCGGAGTGCCGTACAGGAACCTGACGCGCGCGCACAAGCTCGAGCTCCAGCTCGCGAACTTTAGCGAACTGCTCTCCGCAGGCCACGTGGACTCGTGTAGCGTGAATTCAGCCGAGAACCAGAGTGTCCGCTTAGGGTGTGAGGGAGGGTGGGTGTACAACCACGACGTGTTCGAGACCACCACCGTCACCGAGGTAATTAGCTACTGCTATACACTGTACTTAAAGATGGTTCTTCAAGGGTTCTTTCGTAAAGGGAATGGTTCCATTTTGAACCACGAGTTCTGTATAGAGCCATTTCATGCATGGTTCGTCAGACTGATGGAGAACATGTTCTTTAGGATTCTATATAGCACCAAAAAGGGTTGTGCTATTGTTACAAGCTAGACATCATAACAATAGTAGAACATTTTTGGAGCTGTATAGAACCATTTTCAAAACGGTTCTACGTAGAACCATATACAACACGTTATCCATCTATCTGAAGAACCATTTCACCATGCAAAGAAGCATGAAATAGTTATTTATAGAACTCCTGGTTCTAAGTAGAGATATTGCCTTTACTAAAGAACCCTTGCAGAACCATCTTTTTAAAGTGTGAATGATCTAAAGGCAATTAGAAAATCCTTCATATTACACTAGAATGGGCCAGGACCACAGTGGGTCACTGTTAAAGTTCACTTTATCCCAGGGCTGGTCAGACTTTCTGTCTCTGGCAGCCAAAGTGTCATTTTTGTGGTGGGCTGAAAGAGGACCAAGAGACAAAACAGCAATCAAATAAAGGAGCTGTGTAGACTTTAAATCATATTTTAGAAATTTACATTATATTTCCTTACTGAAATGTTTAAAATGCATTTCAAAGGCAAATGTGCGTTATTTATATCATACAGATATGTTTGTTCTCTCATTCAGTGAGGCAGTGGAGTTAGTGTAACCTCCCTTAAATGGCCAGGGCCCACCTGCAGGCCCACAGTTTTATTATACAAGTCTATAACTTAGCTCAGCTAGTTTGCAGTGAAGTCCCTGTAGTTACTGAATAATTAGACTCAGTATGTAATAAGCCTGGGATTTTAAGGGGTTAAACCCCTTAAACTGAAGGCTTGTTATTCAGTTATCAATCTTACAACTCTGTTCAATTTTATAGAATAAAGCCAGCATATGCTGAAAAATGCAACCTACAACATAAACTTAAATATCAACATATATTTTTAGTTTGTAACTGCTTTGTGTGGTATTCAGTAGCTAACACATGCTGACCCATAAGCTGCTATGGATGGAGGCCACACTTTCTTTCAAAGTAAAATGAAAACACATGCTAGAGCTCATGCCAGTGAAATGCCTCAGAGTCTCTCTAACAGCTGGAGTCAACAGTAGGTGTTAAAGAGCGTGAGAATTTCACAGTGAAGTAAATGTATGTCAGCCTCTAATAAACCTGGGTAAAGGAATGAGCACATTTTACTTGAAATGAAATCAAGAACTAGGGCTTGGGTGAGTGATCGGACAAAAATAGTAGCATTCTTGAAGATATTTTCACAGTACACAATGTGCAGCACAATATTTTGTTTTTCTGAGAGTTGCAATAAGTTGGAACAAACAAGAATGAACCAGCCATGCCACATTTAAAAAGTCCTATGAACTGCGAATGCAGTGATTTTTGTTCCACTTTGTTTTAATACGGTAAATCCAGTAAAACAGGACTAGTTTGCTCTCTTTGTGTGGAAACATTTAGTTGGCCAGTATTCTTTGAGTACAGGTGATATCACAGTATGCTCAGAAAAGTATATTATATCAAGACTGTGTATAATTTCATTTGATTTATTTCAACCCAAAACTGACACGCATCTCTTAAACTCCCTTGGCTGACCAGGTTATAGGTCAGTATCACTTCACAGTACTGAGTTTTTAAAAGTCCACCACCACTCTGACTGCCCTCTTGTTCTCAAGAATACTGCATTTCAGACAATGCAGTCTTTGCACAAACACAGCAACAAATGCAAAGACTCTGTAGAAAGGAGCATTTGGAGTGCTGTTTTTGTGGATGGTCATGTTCAGAGTAAGTGTTAATTAGTTCTTCTTTTCCTCTGTTTGTGTGTAATTAATGTGTGTGTGTGCTCTTAGTGGGATCTTGTGTGTGAGAAGTCTAGTCTAAACAGCATTGGTTCCTCCATCTATATGCTTGGCTTACTGGTTGGAGCTGTTGTGTTTGGAGCTATGGCTGACAGGTATGTTTACATGTTGTTGTTTATATGTTTACATACATGTTTTGTATTGCATTTTGGAACTTCTGTTGGGTTTCATGCATTATTCAGTAACTACTATGAATTATTCAGGATCCACTATAAATCATTCCATAACTACTATGAATTATTTGGTATCTACTATAAATTATTCAGTAACAGTGAGTTATTATACTGTGAATTATTCAGTGTCTCCTATGAATCATTCAATAACTACAATTAATTATTTAATGTCTACAATGAATTATCCAGTGTCTTCTATGAATTATATTTGGTATCTATTATAAATTATTCAGTGTATGCTATGAATAACCTAGTAACTACAATGAATTATTCCATAACTATTGTTGTTTATTATTATTACTTTGAATTATTTGGTAAAAACTGTGTTAGGTATGTAGTTATGAGTGTGAGGAAAAGAGGTCGAAATTAAATCTTCAGAATTTGATGTGAATTATGCAGTATTTACATTTTGATAATTTTCTAAGTTTCCAAATTTCAGGGCACAATTTCTATTTATTTTAACAAAAAATGTGCCATAACATTTGCACAGGCATGTTTTTATGTTTTATCCAGTATGTTAAATTTGGCATATAAACCGTCTTTGTAGAGGATGTGGTAACTTATTTTCACATACAAAAACAACAAAACGTCATTTGACAAATTTTAATCTCCATAGAAAATCATTGCAAATACAATGGGACACTCTGGAGCAGCCAAGCCTGAGCCTAAGACCACCATGTCCAGTGCCATAGGTTAGAGGGGTATACAGCCCCCCAGCATTGGACTGTGGAGCAGTGGAACTGTTATCTGGAGTGATGGAGCTTTATCCAGTACATTCGGCTTGAGTTGGAGAGCTGTTTGTGATCCAGAGCTAATTATCCAACATCAACATCTGACTTCACTAGTGCACTTATGACTGAATGCAATCAAATTCTCACGGTAATGTTCCACTATCTAGTGTAAAGCCTTCCCAGAAGAGTAGAGGCTGTTACTGCAACAAAGGAGGAACAAACTTTGTTTAATACCCTTGATTTCAGAAGAAACATTGGATGAGCAGCTGTCTACAAGCTTTCTGACATACAGCGAATAATGTAAAAACATCCTAATGCATCTTAAGTTGAATCAGGTCTGTCATTGTGCAGCAGACATACACAGAAACTGCAGTGAAAGCAGTCCCCCAGAACTGGATGTAAGAAATAAACTCTCTCTCTTGCTCTCTCTCTCTCCCCTAGATATGGCAGGAGGTTTGCCTTGCTATTGTCTCTTGCCTTTCAGACAGTATTTGGTGTGACTGCTGCCTTCTCTCCAAACTTCCTGGTGTATGTGATTCTGCGCTTTCTCATAGGAACCACCATCTCCGGCGTCATCATCAATGCTTTTGTGCTGGGTAAGTCAGAATAATACAGCATAATTCCTCTCAAATTGCTGTTCGGACACTTGGCTGCTGGTTTAAAGGGCCTTTGTTTTTTTTTTTTACTTTGATTTTCCATGAAAACAAGTTATTTTCATCTGTTTTCTCAAGATCTTGTGATATTTATGTCATTATCACAGCAAAACGAATGTTGTTTTCTCTAGATCACGAGTTATTTATATCATTATCATGACATAATGGACATCGTTTTATTGAGATAAGATTTATGTCTTGATAATAGCATAAATATATTGACATTTGTTGCGTTGTGATAATGATATAAATAAGTTGAAATCTTGAGAAAGCAAATGAAAATAATTCGTTATCATGGAAAAACATAGAAAAAAATGTGAATGAATTTTAGGGCTTCCGTACAAAGTCAGTAATCACTATATTAATAAATCAGTTTGCAATGGATTGTATTTAAACATGACAACAGAATATGTTATACAAAGCATATATACCATTTTGAAGTAATGGCAAAATTATGTGAATTAGGCTGAGAAAAAGCAAATATTTTTCATTTAATTCCTAAGTATCATTAGGCTTAAGTACCAGGATACATAAAGCAAACATGAATGCATATTCTTTGTACTTGACTAGTTTGTGAAGTTTGACAGTGCAAGCCTACAACCAACCAAAGCAACATAAAATCCACTGTTGTTGAGTATACAGCAAAATATAAACTTGACTTCACTGCTTTTTTTGATGGGTCTCAGTCCTAGACACTTCTGGAACAGCGTGCAGATCCTTAAAACAGTGAAATCAGTGTTATCATGACATTGAAACATGTATACATGAATAATTAGCAGTAACAAACATCTCTCCTGTGTGTCAGTCCTAAACCTCCTGTAGTCAGCCCTTTCCCCTCCTCATTCCCATCCAAACCCCTGGTTGACAATCCTCCCCAAATGCTCTGCAGGCACTGAATGGACGTCCACAAAGAGGCGCATGCTGGCCGGAATCTTCACTGATTATTTCTTTGGATTTGGCTACATGCTGCTGGCAGGCGTCGCTTACCTCATTCGAGACTGGAGGAAGCTGCAGCTCGCTATTTCAGTTCCAGGATTTCTTTTTATTTTCTACATCTGGTAAGAGAATGCACAACAAACACGCACACACACACACACCATGCCGTTTTAGCAGGCTAAATGATCACCTTCATTACTTTCTCAGCATTTGATATTGCTCAGCACAAGCATCAGACTCAGGCAGGAAGAGTGGTTTTCAGGATTTGCTGCAGACTGAACAAGTCAGCACAATGGCTCTGACCTCGAAGAACATTTTTCAGATCAGTTCCAGACTTACATTTTTCACCAAACCAATCCTTTAAGTCTGTCTAGCTTGTTGTTTTTTTATGTAAGTCAAGCTAACAATCATTTGCCTATCTACAGCTACGAATAGCTGTGTTTTAAAAGGAAATGTGTAATTTCAGTAAGCCTCTGATGAAGAACTGGATGTCAAAAATGGCATGTGGATTGTGGATATAGTCAGGTCCATAAATATTTGGACACAGACAATTTTATTTTACCTGTCTACCACAACATATTGGAGTTGAAATTAGAGAATGAATATGAGCGTAAAATGCAGACTTTCAGCTTTGAGAGTATTTACATTTTTTGTGACTCAAAAGTAATTGGACAAACTACCGTTATCATAAATTAAATTGTCATTGTTAATACTTGGTTGCAAATCCTTTCCAGTCAATGACTGCCTGAAGTCTGGAACCCACAGATATCACCTGACACTGAGTTTGTCCCCTGGTGATGCTCTGCCAGACCTTTACTGAGGCAGTCTTCAGTTCCTGCATGTTCTTACAGTGTTTCTACCTTTGGTTTTGCCTTCAGTAAGTGAAGTCAATGCTCATTTAGGTTAAGGTCAGGTGGCAAAATGGCAGAACATTTCTTTCCCCTAAAAAGCCTTGGGTTGCTTTAATAATATGCTTTGGGTAACTGTCCATCTGCACTGTGAGGAGCCATCTAATGAGTTTTAAATAATTTGGCCAAATCTGAGCAGATAATATAGCCCAATACACTTCAGAATTCATCCTGCTGCTTTTGTCAGTAGTCACACCATTGTTAAATACCAGGGAAACAATTCCCTTGGAAGCTATACATGCCCAAGCCATAACTCCACCATGCTTGACAGATGAGGTGGTATGTTTTGATAATGTCCAGTTTCTTCCCTTCTCCATACTCTTCTCTTCTTATCATTCTGGTACAAGTTGATCTTTTTCGCACCTGTACATAAGATGTAATTCAAACTGTACAGGGTTTTTTAAATTTGTTTATTTATTTTGTTTGCAAACTCTAATCTAGTGCATTTTTTGGTGAATTCTCTATATTTACTCTGGTGAAGTATTCTCTTTATGGTTGACTTTGATACAGATACACCTACCTCCTAGAGGGTGTAACTGTTGTGAAAGGGAAAGAATTTTTATGTTACCCACCACAGTTGTTTTCCATGGTATTCTGGGCCTTCAGGGGTTACTGAGCTCATAAGTATGTTTTTTGTTTTTAGGATTGACCTGAATGATTTGGCCACACCTAATTTTTTTATTTCTCTGATGGGTTTGATTTGGTTTTTCAGCCTAATAATGACTTACTTCACTGACTGTGAACACCAACAGATTCCAATGGCAAATGCCACACTTGAAATCAAAGACATTTTATCTGCTTACTTGTAAGTGATATGATGAGGGGATAACACACACGGCCTTGGAACAGCTGAGCTGCCAATTGTACAATGACTTTTGAATGTTAAAAACGGTTATAATTCTCACATCATTCACTCAATTTGAATGTAAATACCCTCAAATAACAGCAGAAAGACTTCAAGCTCATATTCATTATTTATTTTCAGCTCTAATATGCTGCTAAACTAACAGCTTTGTCTACATCCAAATATTTGTGGACCTGACTGGATAAGGTCCCGTCCCAAATTCTGTGTCCAAACACATAAAAATTAACATCCGACGTCATTAAGTGGCACTGCTACGAGAAACATGAGGACATTCCTAAAGGGTGCTGATTGTAGCAGTTAAACATAAATGATAAAAAAGAAATAATTGAATTGTTTGATGATGCAGAGATCTGGCATTAATGCAGCTGGCCACAGAAGCTGGCCAATTGGCTACAGCACAAGGTTCATAAACAGAACTGCTTAAGTCTCCCTTTCAGTCTCCCTCCCTATATCACTCCTGCTTTATGTCCTTCACTTTCTTTATACAGACTATTCTAAATCTCTTCTTTTGTCCCTCTCTCACTCGCTGCTTTAGGGTTCTTCCTCATTCAGCCCGTTGGCTGCTGGTAAATGACAGAAAAGAGGAGGCTCTCGTTCTTCTGCGCAAAGCAGCTATGGTCAATGGTCGTCCCTTCCCTACTACAGTGCAGGTATAGCACTATCTCTCTCTGTCTCTCCCTCTCTCTCTCTTGTTCTCTCATAGGTAAAGATGTTTAGCACTCATAGTAAAACTCTGCTAGCTCAATAGCTTCATTAGCATCACCATGACAACAGGCACCACCCCCTCCAGGCACTCAGCCAATCAGGCAGTCATTGTGCAGGAGTTCCCTCTGAAAGTGACTGACTAAAGCTCATAGTTTACATTGCCACGGCAACATGGAGATGACTCCTCCACATTAGGGCATTGGGTTCAAGTTGTCTCCCACAGGTCCACGTTCATGTGTCATGATGTTTGTACTGGTTGATGTTGTTATTGTTAACTCTGTTCTGTTCTGTCACGTTATTGTCAGTTATTTTCACTAATACTGTGCAAACTAGCTATGCAGATTTATCAGGTTATTCTGTCAGAAACTGTGTCTCAGTCAACAATTTTTTTAATTAATTATTTTGATTTAACAAATGTTGTATCAAAACATCAGCTTCAACTTTTGGAACATAAAACTTAATCAAATAAAATGAGAAATCAAATAAATTCATTATAAATTGAACTGTAGATTCACTGAAAAAAAAAATTCTATGATTTTTCCTTCTTTTCTATTTCTGGTAGTGGTATGTCAAAGTAACGAGTTGGTATCTCAAAATAATGACCATTTTCTCAAAATAATGATTTATTTTCTCAAACCTTTGACTTAAATTCTTGAAATAATTCTTTATTATCATAATTATAACTTTTTTAATTTTTAGACTGTCTTTTAAATTTTTACTTATTTTCATTTTTTTATTTAACTCATTTCAAAGAAGCGTCTCAAAAGCTTAAAAAATATCATTTCAGGATGCTAAGTCAGTATTAAAATAAAAGTCAATCTTTTGAGATATTAAGTGAGAAAATGAATAATTATTTGGAGATGTAAGTGAATATTTTGACGTACTGCTGTCAGAAACAGAGAGGATTAATAACACAAGTCATATTTTTTCTCCTCTACCTGGAGGGAATGGGCTTCCATAGATTACACACTGGTTTTAACACAAATTAACCAAAATGTGTTGCTGTTAAGTAGATACACAGGTGTGAAAAACACACGTGATGTTTTTAGGATGTTTTCGGCTCTGTTACAGGTGGACATGTGTGATGCGATGCAGGGGCGGGGTCAGCACTCTGCTGCAGATCTCCTCCGTACTCCACAGATGAGGAAGAGAGCCCTCATCCTCTTCTACATCTGGTGAGAATGCAGTGTGCTCAAAACACAGCTGGTTCTGTGTGCCAGTGCTGAGGAACCCGTACACTGCAAATTTTTGTGTTTTCCCTCATTCAACACATCTCAGATCATCCAGTTATTAATTATTTGTGAAAGGTGTGTTAGAGCTGCTTTCGCCTAATGAGCGCTGGGATAGACTCCAGCAAACCCTTCGCGTGTGTGTGTGCATGTGTGTGTGTATGTATGTGTGTTATAGCAGGAAGCACACACACTACCACTCAAAAGTCTGAAATCGCTTGTCATATTTACAACTGCTATTTTATTATACAATAATCACAATAAATTAGACACCACATTTTTTTTTATTTTGCATCATGACATCAGGAATAATAATTGATAATTACATAATAAATAAAGGAATAACTGGAAACATCATAAAATGACGAATAATAAAATATGTAATTAAGTTATTTAAGTTTTATATGTAATCATCTATGTTTTCATAATGTAATTATCTAAGCTAAGGTTACACACTATAACCACTTATGGACATTCAATTTATAATAACTTCATTCTTGATCTTTCTCTGTCATTTGCGAATCATATACAGCTCAGTTCATCGCTATGAATACACCTAAAATTCTTCCTTTCGTACTTTCTTTCTTTCTTTCTTCGATTCTTTCTTTTTAGCAGCTTTTTAGCTTTCTACTAATTATTTAAATCCTTTGAAGTTGTGCCATCATTTTATACATTTATGTAACCGTGGTGCTTTTATATTATTGAAAACATTGATTACAGACTGTTGAACAGTATTGTAAACGCATAAATGTTTTCATTAAAGACAAATGTCACCAACTTTCCAAATTTCTTCATAATATAAATGGTTAAAATGTACACAAAGTCATTTAGAGTTGTTCTAGAGAGTTGCTCCGTTCTAGACAAACTTACAGAGTCAGAATTGTGCACAGTGGTGGCGATAGGAACCAGATACCTGAAGGGTTCAATGCTTCTAAAAACTATATCACAGAAAGTTATTACATGAAATGGTTATGAATACACTGCTTGATACCTGACACTTTGTTTTAGGACAGTTTTAAGGTGAGGTTTACATACATGAAGAACATTGTAAGGCAAAAAAAAAAGAAAAAGAAAACAGATTTTCGGGGGTTTACCACTATTTTAACATTATCAACATTACATATAAAAACTCAGAAGACATTTGTAGGCTAACGGGCCATTTTGGATAGCAAATAAAATGGTTATTTTTGCTTTGTAGTTTCTCCAGCGTGCACCATTTCACATTAGAACTCTTAATGCCTTTTTTTGTCTCAGTGATTGAATTATGCAGAACATTAAGCAGAACATTTGAAAAATCTGTGGAATTTCCCTTTAACCTCAAGACAATCTAGCATTTTTTATCATCTGAAGTATCCTTTATGTTTCCTGTACTATTTTGTAGAACAAGTGTGATGGAATGGCTCAACCTAAAAATGAATAAATGATTAGATCTCCCATTTTCTCTTTGTCTGTCTCTGTAGGTTTGTGAATGTGTTGGTGTATTATGGTCTGTCTCTGGGTGTATCTGATCTGGGCACAAATCTTTACCTGACTCAGTTTTTGTTTGGACTGGTGGAGATTCCTGCAAGGTCACTGGTGTTGATCCTCCTGCCCTGCAGCCGGCGACTCCCACTGAGTGTTTTCCTCTTGATCGGGGGCGGAGCGTGCCTCCTCATGCTCGCTGTCCCAGCAGGTGATCACACAGCTGCAGCGAGTTTATCTCTGCCACAGGAAGCACTCTTCTTCTCTCTTCTCTTGTTTCGTAGACTGATCTTCTCTCTCTTTTTCTCTCTCTCTTCTTCTCTCAGATCTTCTTAATATACAGACTGCTCTGGCTATGACTGGAAAATTTGGAATCACAGCTTCTTTTGCTATCATCTACATTTATTCAGCTGAGCTGTTCCCAACTGTGCTCAGGTATTTATTTACACATATTAGTCCAAAACATTTCCCAGAAAAATGTTGATACCTGACAATTTGTTTGAACAGTGTAAAAATGCTCTGATCTGGCGCTGGAGATTCAGCTGCATCGACTTCGACAGTCTCCCATACGGAAGAAGACAGAACCCAGAAGAAGAGGGACAGTGGAAGACAGAACCTGGAAGAAGAGGGACTGAAGAAGAGAGAACTCAGATGATGAAGGACTAGATGAGGCATAGAACCCAGATGATGAAGGACTGAAGGAGACAGAGAACCCAGATGATGAAGGACTGAAGGAGACATAGAACCCAGATGATGGAGGACTGAAGGAGACAGAGAACCCAGATGATGAAGGACTGAAGGAGACATAGAACTCAGATGATGAAGGACTGAAGGAGACAGAGAACTTAGATGATGAGGGACTAGATGAGGCATAAAACCCAGATGATGAAGGACTGAAGGAGACAGAGTACCCAGATGATGAAGGACTAAAGGAGACAGAGAACCCAGATGATGAAGGACTGAAGGAGACAGAGAACCCAGATGATGAAGGACTAAAGGAGACAGAGAACTCAGATGATGAAGGACTGAAGGAGACATAGAACTCAGATGATGAATTTCTGACAGAGAACCTAGATAATGAGGGAACGAGAGGGAAAGAGAACCCAGATGATAAGGGACTAAGGGAGACAGAGAAGTCAGATGATGGAGGACTGAAGGAGACAGAGAACTGAAAAATGATGAGGGACTGAGATAAGACATAGAACTCAGATGATAAGAGACTGAGAAAGACAGAGAACCCAGATGATGAGGGACTGAAGGAGACAGAGAACCCAGATGATGAAGGACTAAAGGAGACAGAGAACCCAGATGATGAAGGACTGAAGGAGACATAGAACTCAGATGATGAGGGACTAGATGAGGCATAAAACCCAGATGATGAGGGACTAAAGGAGACAGAGAACCCAGATGATGAAGGACTGAAGGAGACATAGAACTCAGATGATGAGGGACTAGATGAGGCATAAAACCCAGATGATGAAGGACTGAAGGAGACAGACAACCCAGATGATGAGGGACTGAAGAAGACATAGAACCCAGATGATGAGAGATGGGAGACTGAGAACCCAGGTGATGAGGGACTGAAGAAGAAGTGGAAACCAGAAGATGATGGACTCAGGGAGACATAAAACTCAGATGATGAGGGACTGAAGGAACCATAGAACCCAGACAATGAGGGACTAAATGGGACAGAGAACCCAGATGATGAGAGACTGAGAGACAATCAAACTGAATGAGGAAATTAGAGATTTCATGATGTATTGAATAATCAAACTGAATTATATGTGAAGTTACTTCTAACTTATAGCTTCTCATAACACAAAAACGTGCATCACATAGTACACAACACTTCTACACAGTAGTTGTTTTAAGTTTAAATGTAATATTACATCTAGATGACAAGTCTGTAAAGGTTCTGTTATTTTCCCCCACAGACAGACAGGCATTGGTGTGTCCTCCATGTTTGCGCGAATGGGTGGAGTTTTAGCTCCAATGATAAATCTGCTTGGAAGGCAAAACCCGGTTGTGCCGGTGCTGATATTTGGCTCCACCCCCCTTTTGGGTGCAGCTCTTGCTTTGGCCTTGCCTGAGACAGCCAATAAACCACTGCCAGATACCATTCAAGATGCAGAACGGTAGGCAGATACACACATAACTAACCTGACTAAACAGCATAGAACTGCACAGAGCTCAAAAAATACAGTTTCAAACTCATCCACATCATAATCACACCCCTGCTTATAAAGCACATACAAGCACATACATACAGTACAAGCTATTGATAGATGATACCTTTAATGCTGAGTAGGACAGTATCAGTATCCTGATACCAATCCCTTCATTTATTTAATTTACAGTCCAAATGGCCATTAATCCCTTAAATGGCCAGGGACTATCAGCGTGCCCAAAGTTTTATTACACACTTCTATAACCCAGAAATAGCTCAGCCAGTTTGCATTGAAGTTCCTGTAGTTACTGAATAATAGGTCTTAGAAAGTAATAAGCCTGGGATTTCATTTATCAGTCCCAAACAGAAGGTTCTCAACAACCTCTCTGCAGGACTGTATGAATCTGTATGAATATTTTTCCACATTTCTCCAAATTGGTTGCATTTTCTGCTTCTCATGATCCAAATAATCACAAACACATTCAGTGATGCTGAGGTCTGGAGGTGGTCAGTCCACTGTTCTGAGAGCACCAGCAGCTTGTTTGTTTAAATGGCAGATTTTCTTCTTTTTTGTCTGTTTCCTTTTCTCAGTAAGGGCTTCTTGACAGCTGCACATCCTTTCAGACTCATAGCACTAAGTTTCTTCTCACAGTGAAAGGATGGACAGAAACACATGGATTTTTCACATTTAAAGGAAGAGTAGAGCTTGGTTTTCTCCTCTGTCTGAAAGATGAAAGCTTTAAGTGCTGTTTATCTGATGATGACAGTGTTGGTGGTCCACCAGGTCTTGCATGATTTATAGGAGTCCTGTGTTTTTTTTTATTTCCTATACATGAAAGTCTTGGCTATCCAATCTAAGCCAATATGTATTTGTTCATTAATGTACTATTATAAAATTGTGTTCACCAGGAAAAAAAGCGTCTGTTTCAAGAAAATATGGACATAACATTTTTAAAATAGTCTAATATTTGGCTAATATATAAAATTTAATTACTAGATAAAGAGAGCACATTATTGATATTTTATATAAAGATTGGTTCTCAAAAGGAGAGAACCAATTTAAGCATTGTATCTTTTCCTGTGCAGGTTTACTATCCAGAAATATGACCGGGATCTCCCTGCAGACTCCATCCAGTCACCAGGCAGCACAGAGGGCCAAGAGCTGCAGCGCCTAACAAACGAGTCTCCATAGACACACATACAGGTGCTTGCATGCAAAAACACACAAAAACAACCAGGAAAGACTTCCCACATATCAGTAATGGTATGAGTCTGTGAATCTGCAGGTGGACTGGACTTCTTCAAAAATTATCAAATGTTTGAAAATGTTGAATTTTGTACTGGATTTTTAATAAGTTAGTTTTTGGTCAGAACGTTTTATAGTTTCACACAGAGAAAAGCAGCTGTGTCACCAAAGGTTTTAAACGATAGGTGGCAATGGCTCAGGAAACGGCGTGTCTACTCTTTTCATCCACACTGTTAATCAAACCAATCTATGCAACAGGAAGACCTTTCACTCGTAAAATCTTATACATACACTTTAGTTAGCAGACTAAGCAGAGTCAGTGTCAGTATCATCTGTGATTTTTTTATATTGATCATAAACTAGATGTGTTCTTTGTGAAATCATTTTGCATGTCTGTAACTGTAACTGCTACTACTATGTTTAAAATGTATATTTTAACATCGACATTATATAGTCATGACTAAGTTAACTGTAGATGTATTTGATTTTGGGGAAGAGGGTACATTTTCCTTTGTGGGCAGGTTTCTCACAACAACAAGTGGTGAGGTTCCTGCCTTTTAAGTACAGATGTGAAGGGCCCGTATCATAGAAAACCACATTTACCTCACGTTTTTTACATAATAAAAGTTGCTGTAGTATGTATATTTAAACACTGTTAACATTTTAAAACGTACTACTCAGTCCATGCAGTGTATATATGGCATGTTTTAAATCTATATGTGAAACCAACTTATTTACTTACAGTACAGTGCCAAACTTTAAGGCATGTGAGAAAATCAAACTAACAGAGCTATTTGTCTGGTCAGCAAGTGTTTAGTTGCTCAGAAAAATACTAATATTAGAATAAATACAAATGTCATTAATACCATAAGAAGTGATTCCCTGTACATCAATATTTTTGTTTAACCATTTCCAAACTCAAGGAACCCCAGTATTAATTGTAGTTCATCCAACACCTGGTTTATCTAATGAGTGCTGCTGATGGAATTTGGGGCATCCAGGAGCAATGTGGAGTTTGTTTTTCAGATTAGCTCACAAGATATCAATGACATTTTTGAAAATAATGTCTTGTTACTTTTTACTTGTTTTTACTGTACCTTTTACTGTTCTTTTGCATTTATTCTAATGTTATATGGTGTTTTACAAGCAAAAACAGATTTACCGCAAAGAGAAATGGTTTTAAATAATGTGAATAGGTAGTTAAAACCTTTGCACAGTGCTGTATATCTGCCTGTTCAACCTATAGCAGTTTAGCCCCACCTATTGAAGACTGAAGATATAAGGAGTGTTTCATCCTGGACTGCTTTTTGAATGAGGCCCTATGCAGGATAACCAATCAGAACAAAGGTCATGAAGATATAAGGAGTGTTTCATCCTGGACTGCTTTTTGAATGAGGCCCTATGCAGGATAACCAATCAGAACAAAGGTCATTTACATATATCAGTCTTAAAGGCACAGTAACATTTAATTCTAAGGGATAAAGAGAGATTGGAAAATGATCATATACAAACAAATTATGACTGTTTTTGGTACATGAACCGACACAAATCTTTTTTTCATTTTTTCTATGACCAAATGAAAGAAATATGGAGGACATGGGCCTTTTAAAAAATACAGGGCAAATAGAGAGTTTGAATAGGAGAAAAAATGAGTCAAGGCAAGAGATAAAAATGATTCTTCAACGAATCGCCCTTACTAATGAGAGTACCAGACTATAGATTATTTTCCATGAAAGAGTCATGAGCCGTCATGCACTCTTCTTGTGTTCATGACCATATGAGAGTTCTGAGTGTATAATTTCTGGTGATCTCATTAAAACATGGAATAGGCAGAAATCATTATGGTAGAGCACACTTACCATGAGTGCTGACCATGATTCTTGTGACAAACAAATGCTTGTGACACTGTTATTAGGGTTGTGTTTGAGTTTTAGTTGCTGGGCATGGAGCCTTGAGAGTTGATTATTTACAGCTGCCCACATCATGACCTTCTTGACTGCACCAAGCAGGCCATTACTCAAGGGAGTTAACCAGTGCCTTTTCTATAACCAAGTCCCTTGAGGGAGTCTTCAAGAAGCTCCTGGTACAAACAATCCTAAAGATTTGACAGACATTTTACAGACATTTTTTTTGACAGACTGTTTACATGAAATTGATGATATGGGTTACCAAAGAGAACATTTTTTATTGTGAACAATTGGTTCTTGTAGTTACCCATAGTTATATTTCTGGATGTCAGGAGGGAAAGGTCCTCAGTTTTGTGTTTTAATGTTTTGAAAACAATGTCAGGGCAGCCATTTTATTGTGTGAAACCTCAGATTGGAACTTTGACCATTTTTATGTCCTTGTTCCTCAGTCTTACAGGATTCCACAGTGTTTGGGAATGAAATTTGGTATGTAGCTATGGTAATGTATGTTTCATTGTACACATTTATTAAAACAATAACCAAACAGTGACTTGTTTGTGTAAGAGTGAAATGTCTCCTTGCAGTTGATCTCCCTAGCCTAATCCTGATTCAGCCTGTAGAAAGATTCGTCCTACCAAGTACCTACACATCAGATGTTTTCCTGAATCTCTTATAACTGAATTTCCTGAAGAATTAGCTACACACAGACTAGATTTATCAGTAAAACTGAGTACCTGTTGGACACAGTCCCTAGTTGTTTAGGAACAGAAATCTAGATAAAACCTCCACTGAGTGACCACGTACATGCAGTGTTGGGTGGCAACAATATGGTGTACAGCAGTCGGCCATAATATTAAAACCACCTCATTTCTACACTCTTTGTCCATTTTACCAGCTACACTTATCACATAGGTGCATGTTGTAGTTCTACAATTACAGACTATAGTCCATCTGTTTCTCCGCATACTTTGTTAGACCTCTTTCACCCTGTTCTTGAATGGCCAGGACCCCCACAGAGCAGGAATTTTAGGGTGGTAGATCATTCTCAGCACTGCAGTGACGGTGATGTGGTGGTATTAGTGGGTGGTGTGTTGGTACGATGCTTTAATGAAATTCAAATACGTTATCAACAACTTAATTATCTTTCATCAACCTTTCACAGTACTATCCCATTATAACTGAAACTGTTCAATAAAACAAAGAGGGGAGGCAGATAATACTGTACCTCAGACCTACGACCTATCTAAGCCTTTTAAGATGTGGATTTCAAGTAATTTTCAGGTCAAAGGGGTGAAGTACAGAAGACAGAAGAATAAAGGAGACTTCTAAGAGTTTTGAGACGCACCTCTAGTTGCCCCCTTGGTCAAGGTTCCCAGACTGGGCATAGTTAGGCAGCAAAATGTCAAAACTTCCCCTGCATGATAAATAAAGTACAGTATAAGAAGCATCTTTCTTAAAAAATTATATTTATTGTCTAATCAGAAAAAACTCCCATTGTATCCCACTCCAGCATCCAGAATAATCCCAAGTAGTGGCAAGTTTCTGTACGTGTACACTGGTGCTGTGCAATACAAACACAATACTGCAAATCATATTGCCTCATTATGTAAATGTGATATGCTAAAGCATGGATAAGCACTTGGTATTTCAACAAGACAGCAGCTTGACTGTGGCAATATTATTTACTGAACAAAAAAAAAAATGCTGTTTATTAGAACATTTAAGGACTTTCAGTCTGAGCATCCGAGACTGGCCAGCATGCTCAAATACTACACAATTAAAAAAAGATTCTCTTTTGCAAACTGTAACAAACATCACAGAAGTAATTACTGTAATCATTTACAAAACAATATATTGTGCAGCTCTAATGTGCAAGCACGTTTGTCTGCATGCATGTACATGAATGCAGTTAGGCCAGCGTGACGTATGTTGCATCAGTTGCCACTCCACAGTTGTTGTCCTTCATGGACATGAGCACATAGCCGTCATTGCCCCAGTAAGTGGACCAGGAATTCTTCACTAGCCAGTAAGGCTGGTTGTCCAGTACCCCATAACCCACCGCCAGCACAGCATGATCCAAGTCATCAGTCCCATTTTCTACATCACAAACAAGAAAGTACATCATTGCATATGATGACCATTATTTTACACAGATTATTATAGTTAATATAAGCTTCATCAGACCATCTTATTAGATGACAGCTAATGTCATGTTGCAAACAACATAGGGCTCAATGCTAAGGTCTGGTTCCTAAAATTGATTACATGATAGCCATTTTAAAGTGAACATCTGGAGTAACTAAAATTTTACATAATTACAACATAGATTAATAGCAAAAACACTTCCTTTGTGAAGTGGAAAAGTTATTTTTAGTTTTGACTCCACAACTTCAAGTTTATTTACATTTAGACAGAAATCATAAGTTTGTTTATTATTATTATTATTATTATTATTATTATTATTATTATTATTATTATTATTAATATATTTACATACTTAAACAAAAAGACATGAAAAGTCAATGCCACAGGGGCAACCAGAAGCCACAAAATAGTTCAAAATTGGTTGCTAAGGGCTCTGAGAATATTACAACAAATCAGGAGCTTTTGAACTTCAGACGTGGAGGGCCTTAGTCCAGTGCAGTTTGGGGATTTCTCCATTTAAAACACCTAATTCAATTCAGTAGCTAGTTACCAGGTTTAGTATGAGTGTTTGAGCAGGGAAATCACAACACTGTGTTGGTGTAAGGACCTCCAGGACCAGAAATGGTCACCCTTAACCTAGAATAGTGTTTCTCAACCCTGGTCCTGGAGGCCCACTGCCCTGCACATTTTAGTGTTTTCCCTGCTTTAACACACTAATTTCAACTCAATAATGGGCTGTTAATGAGCTGATTAGTTGGATTAGTTGTGTTGGGGGCAGGGAAAACACTAAAACGTGCAGGGCAGTGGGCCTCCGGGACCAGAGCTAAGAAATACTGACCTAGATAATCAGTTAAAAAGCTAAAAGCTGTGTGTACACTGACTGGTTACTTTAGTATATCTACTTGTATCTACTTTCTTTGTCCCTTTTATCGGGTCTGTTTACCATATATGTAGAACTGCATTGTCACAGACAATAATCAATTTGTTTCTCTGCATAATTTACCCTGTTCTTCAATGGTCAGGACTCCCACAGGACCACCACAGAGCAGGTATTATTTGGGTGGTGAATCACCCAGCGCTGCAGTGACACTGATATGGTGGTGGTGTGTCAGTGTCACTGCAGTGCTGAGAATGAGTGTTAGTCATCAGTGCTCACATGAAGCTGTTGGCTGAATATTTTTGGTTGGTGGACTATTCTCTGCCCAGCAGTGACTTCAGTGCTGAGAATGATCTACCATACAAATAATACAAGCTCTGTGGTGGTCCTGACCATTGAACAGGGTGAAAGGAGGCTAAGAAAGTTCTAAAAGAAACAGATGGACTACAGTCTGTAATTGTAGAACTAAAGTGCACCTATATGGTAAGTGGAACTGATAAAATGGACATTAAGCATAGAGACAAGGAGGTGTACTTAAGGTGGCCAGTCACTGTACAAAAAGTGTATGTATATTGAGAGACTCACTGCAGGCAGGTTCATAATATACTCCATTGCTGTAGAAGGTGAAGGAGCGGTGAGAGGCGTCAATGCTGACCGCAGTGGGACCATTCTTAAACAGCGCAGCCTTCAGGGCTTCCACATCCCCACTGGTCACATTGGTGTAACTCCTCACACGAGCGGTCAGTGAGGAGGAGTTGTAGTGACACAAACCGTTCTGTTAAGAAATAATGCAGGAGAACATGCACATTAAAGCAGCACCATCTCTACTCATATATATTTATATATTTATATATTTATTATAAACTATGAAACATACCCTCATTTTTGGCCATAACAAAAGTCTTAACTTATTAAATTTATTTAAAAAAATAAAAAATAAATAAATAATAATAATAATAATTTTAAATACTGCTGCATAAATAGTTCTTTCACCTCACATTTCTATATCCAGTGTCCTTGCACTTCCAAAGTAATGGACTAAATCATGGGATCATTTGAGATTATAATGCACTGGCTCAGTTCCAAAAAGTCTAAGTCAGATCACAGATTTACACTCTTCATAATTACACAGGGGTGAATGACCCGACAGCAGTTGCTGCATATTGTCGGTCATTATTGTTTTTCACTTTTAAATGTTCAGTTTTCCTTTATATTGTGTATATAATAAAATCTTATCACATTAATTTACACTGAAGGCAAGGTCTGGAGGTTTTGTTCAGACAGCAATGATATGCTAATAAATGCATTTAGGACCCACCATGCCTGTGTATCCTCCATAGCTCTCTGCAGTGGAGATTCCACCATGTTTCATGATCCACTCGTATGCTCTCCACTCCTCTCCTCCATCACACCCATTATTACCAAAGCCCCATGTACAGTCCACCAGCATCTGCTGAGACAGTATCACCTGCTCCCCTGTCTGAGAGAGAGACAGTATAAGATATAGTGAGTTACTGTGATAAGGTGAGGCTTTGTCTGACGCATAATCTGTCTGGTTAGGTCATGTATATTTTGTTAATCTCTACAGGAAAAGGTAAAACAGTGTAATCTAAACTGGATTCAGTCTCAACTTGGAAACAACACTGAAGAGAAAATTTATGAAACATTTCACACCATAAATTCAGTTGCGTTAGCTTGTTCTTTGACATGTACATTTACGTAATTTAGCAGGCACCCTTATCCAGAAGTGAAGTGTTTCTATTCTGATAATATATAATCTTCAAAGAAGGTAAAGCCTGAAGACCTCCTTGAGCTAAGACAGAAACAGGAAATCAGTATACCCGGACAAATCAATACAAAATACACGGATTACAAGACATTTTACTTAGGTGCAAGGTTAGAGTAAATGTTCTTATTCCATTATCTAGTTGCAGAATGTTTGTGTATCAGCAAGCCATTTGTATCCAAACTTTTTGTACTAACAGTTACCTGGGATAGACTCACATACAATACTTTACAAAAGTGCTTGGTTAAAACTGCTCATCTCAGCAGTGTGTGTCTATTTTCCAGCAAAATAAATAAATAAATAAATAAAAACTCTGTTCTTACATTATAGACTTCTAATATAGACACAAACAAATAAGTAATAATTTAACTTTGTTTAAAAGTTATTAATAAGGTGGTTAAAAGGACAGTTTGAAGAACAAGCCTGGTTCCTGACCTTTCAGTGCGGTACTGATGGCAACTGTATATACAGTGAAATTTCTGGAGGAGAGCTCTGGAAATGATTAAGCTGTGTGTGTTTGTTTATTTTTATTTATTCTAAAGTTGCTGTTTGATCTAACAAATGTTTACTGCCCACATCAATGGCTTTATATATCATTTTCTCAAACTTCTGCACAGTACTGTATATAAACAGGTGAACTTTGTACATGTAACCATTTTGTTCAAACTGCAATAAGGAAGTACAGAAGTATGCAAATACTACGTTTTTCTGTGAGATTTGCACAATTTTACCTTTAAAAACAATGCTCCTTCAAGTGCTCCTGTTGTGGCAAAGCTCCAGCAGGATCCACACACAGCCTGGTCTTTTACAGGGGTCACAGCACCTAAGCACACAGACATACAGTATAGTGTTTAAACTCAGTATTCTAATCATCATGATTCATATCTGAATTACACCGTAACAAGGCATTATCACGGCACCTGAACAGACCCAAGAAGTACACATCCATGCACGCACAGACATGTTTACAAAATAACTTGTACAGAAAGACACACCATAGAGCCTCCAGTCCAGGGAGTCTGGTGTGGCAACAGAGCGGAGTTCAGTGGGGAAAGACTGAGCGTTATTAGGGGTCTTCTTCCGTCTTCTTCCCCTCATGACTGCCAGCTCTGCCTGCGAGTGATCAGCCAGGTGATTCACAGAGAGTGAGAATGACAGGCCTGCCCTGTTCATGGAGTGAACATACCTGAGAGAGAAGAGGAAGGAACAGGATTTGGTGTCAGGGAAGGAAACAAAATTATTTATGAGGTCTCCATGCCTCAACATTGTTCCTCACCGAATATTATGTACAAAGTTGTGTTCTCGCTTCTCGTGTTCCTCCTCAGTTTCATAGTCGCGCTGATATTTCTCTTTAAAGTGCCCAAATAACCGATGGGCATGTCCAACAGGAGACGTATGTATCAGATCTTGAATGGGATTGGCTAAGAGCCGGTGCTCCGCTCCTGGACCAGGGAATGGGCCACAGTCCATACCTAATAACAAACAGACCACATAGATATTTTTTTATTTACTCTGTTTACAAAACACATGCAGAGAACATACATAAAGGATGCATTTGTATTTATATACCATCTGGCAGGTTGAAGTCTTTAGGGTCAGTGCGTGGGCTGAAGTCACTGTAATCAATGAGATATTTGTCATAGTGGGAGCCGAGCAGCGTGTTGTAGCCCATCATCTCATAGTGGTGGGGTGTGGCCACTGAAGGCCCTCCCTCTGGGCGTGTCACCCACAGACGGTAAGTGTTCTTTTTGTGCCCGACTATAGTGATGTTCTTCCACACTTCACACAAAACACCAGCATAGTAATCCATCTTCTCAAACTGTACACAAACACATTAAAAATGTCACCAGCGTGCAACAAAAATGCAGCAAACACACAGCTGACATTAACCCCTTAAAATCCCAGGCTTATTGCTCAGAAACTACAGGGACCTCAATGCAAACTGACTGAACTGTTCTTAGATTATAGATGTGCGTAATAAACTTAGAGTCTGCTGGAGGGCTCTGGCCATTTAAGGGGTTAATAAAGAGCAGCAACAGCATTTATTTGATTAACTTACAGCCTGTGATTAAATTTAGTCTCCTGAACTTCCTTTGAACTCCAGCATTCCATGGAAATTATATACTGTTTAACAGACATCCCTAAAAGTTTGTTTCCCAAAAGACAGACTCTCCTACAAATGCTCAAGACGCATACCTGGAAGCCCTGTACGTTGGGCAATGCCGCCTGAGGCAGGACAGGATCTTCCTTAGTGCCATTGACTTGGAAGCACTTCATGGCATTGAATTCGGTCTCTGTTGTAACCGGTGTGACCTTATAGCTGACACCTTGAGGCACTGCTGTACCAAGCTGGAAAGTGCAGACCTGGCCTGGGGGAGGCATTGTGCTCACCATTGAAACACAATTCATTCAGAGATGCGCTGCATGAATAGTAGCTGCAATAACTTCAATTCTAAAATAACATGTTTTTTGGAAATTGTCACAAGTCAGACTCAAGAGCCATGTTTTATTCAGAAACTACTCATAAAAAAAACTAATAACTCTGACAAATACTTAATTATTGCTGTGAAAAGCTATTACTTTGATTTGACTGGCGCATTTCACATCAAACCACTCAGAATTACTTTGTTTACATGTAACTGACTGAAGTAAGCAAACATTTTGAAAAGTTGGTGGAATCGCCCTTTCAGAGCTGAGATGTGCAACCTTAAGCGACCTGAACACACCAGCAAGACACCACTCACCATGATAGTAGTCAATACGACTTCTCTTCCCCTCCAGGTCATACCAGGCTTCAAACGGCTCTTTGATTTCAGCGTAGGGCAGTGAGATCACACCTTTAAAAAGAGCAGGATCATGATTCCCAAAGAAAACCAAACTCACAGCCACTCACTAAAGAGAAGAACTCTGCCCCGTGTCAGCAGACAGGCAGACAGCTACCTTTCACATGATGCATGTTGCCGAAATCGGGAAGTGTTCGGCCCGCCAGCGGTGAGGCCTCCAAGACTGCGGACACACAGAGCACACGCGCTTTTCATTATCCCGTCTACATTCAGCCACGCAGGCTACACTTAACACAGCAGGGCTTATTTACAGCTCGGCTCCAGCGTACAGTGTGAAAATACGGAAAAAATGCATGAAATAACAGGCGTAGCTGCTGCAGATCTAAAGCAACGATCATGAAAACAAGAGATCCAAAACACAAACACTCACCTGAAGCACAGCCGAGTAACGCGGCTACCGCCAGAAAAGGCCCCATCGTGAGGTGAACAAGTCAGTAAGCAAGTGGTCAAAAGGACATACACACAGCGCAGACAGCTCATCTGAAGTTCAGTTTGTTAAAAACACGCTCCCGCCAATGAAAAGCGCTGCCCTGCGCAACGGTCCAATCACAACATCGGTGGGCGTGGCTTGATGAAGTCATATGACTTCGTTTGAGTGCCTCTCACATGACTGCAGTCAGCTGTTTCAGTTCTAGCGATGGAGGAAGTTTTCACGTATGTCAGCAATTAAAAATGCTGTGTTTATACTTGTGTCTTCAGTAACATATTAAATTATAGACAGGATTTAAAAAAGAGTGATTTCATTCTGACAACAACCACCCGCCGCTGTGCGTAACTGGAGATGAAATCTTGGCTGAGATTTGTTGAAACCTAAGATGAGAGGCTTTTATTTCCAGGTAAACACTGGACTAGTGTATCTGCAAAATCACTAGAGGAATCTGGAGCACTGCAACGTCCTAACTATTATGTCGTGAACTATTCAATATTATTTAATTGTTACACTGAATTAAAATAAATAAACCCACCTATTAGACCGTTGCCAGTCTAAAGGCCAAATCTGTGCTGATTACAGAGAGAACAGCACTATTCAGTGGGCACTTCCTTATGTCAAGCAGTCTAAGGTTTGCCTGGTCTTAAGATCCATATTAAAGGGTTAAAATTAAATCATTGTCAACCTAATGCATGTATAACATAACCACCACTGACCTTGTCAATGAATAAATCAAATATGACTCCTCATCATGAAAACTTAAGCTCAGCCAATGAACACTCTCCTTATTTTTAATTATGAAAATCAGATACATTTCATAGGGTTTCTCAAATGTGACCTGAGACCCAGACAAAAATCATTCTCTACTACTGCAACTTTCACTTAAATAAAAGATGACCCAAAAAGTAACATAACTGATGAGAATCAACACAAAGCGAGTTGTCAGATCAATACAAAAGACACTGATTACACATGATCAAAACTCTATTTATTTCATGAACTACTTTGCCAGTTACAAAAGTGTTGAGTCTGTTATTATAATAAGAACAACTATTTCTTTTTTAGCGTCCCTGCTGAAAACCTAATAGTTGTGCTTCCTAATGGAAATTTGCTTAATGGTTACCCTCAGAGACCGCTAGTTTCCCATAGGACACCTTCAAAGCCCACTAGAAAACCGGTAAGTGCATCTGGTATCAGTCCCAAAACACCTGTTAAACCATTAGAATACTTTATATTGTGTGATCAAAGCATCATGAAAAGCACGTTACAAAACCACCAGGAACCAACAAAAACACTTAATGCTTTCTGTGTTTTTTTCAGCAGGAATTTTTAAGAAGTTTTTATCCCCTATACCTTATTTAGCCACTGGCCAAAGTAAGTGGAGCATAAAAAGGAAGATCTTTCCATTATTGCACAACAGCACCACCAGTCCAGCATATGAGCAACCACATCTTTCTGAAAGTCCACTTGTAGGAGAACATTTAACCCTGCAGATACCTGACTGACTTCCATTTCATATAGCAATGGCTTAGAGAGCAAGCCCATCAATCAGAATGCTGTGCTTGCTCGAAGAATCCCAGACATGGACAGGAATGTCTTCAACCTGATGACTTGAACCTGAATCCAGGCACACCTGTGGTGCCCAAAGAGGAGCTAAAGGGGGTGAAGCAGTGTTAAGATGTATGGTGATCATCTATACAATTTAACGGACAATAATGTCTAAAGCTACTTATACAAAAGCATTTAACAAAGTAGAAATGTAACAAACTGTGACAAAAGATCATATTACTCATGTTCTAGAGACATTGTGCAATATTTTCAATTACATTTTATCATTTTAAGAATACTTCCCTGTAACACCAAGACACAGACAGACATAAAACAGTAACCAAACCTCTCCAGTATTGTGCTTTAGGCTGCGTCATTTAAAAAGAGAACATAGAGCTTGTTAGAGCACATTTGTATTTAATTGCTGTTAAGACTTGATGCTGTTCAGTGAAGTCCAAGTTTTTCATCTCATGCTATAAAACTAAGATTTGTGAGGTTCATAATTACTGAAAGCTCCAGGCTGGTCTTCATATATTCTGACAACTGGATGTTATTTAAAATTAAAAATGTATTTCCACCAGTGAAATTTAATTCAGTATTAAGGTTTTTGTTATCTTTAATGTATTTGCTTTTAGTCTAAGTGAGTTCTAAATTTTACTATTAATAAGAAACTTGCATTGGAAATGCTTTTTAGTTCTGGGCTTAGTCTGGCCTTTTGTGTGGCACTGATTTATGATTAGGCTAAAGTTTTGTTTGAAGTTCTTTTGACCAAGAGGACTACAGAAGCCAAAATCACTGTTTCAGTGGTGAACAGGTCTTGACCTTAAATGACCTTAAACTTATAACCATATCTGCTCTGTTTCTGGTTAGATCTCAAACACAAGGGACCAATTAAGGGCCAGTTCTCCAGTCACATATGAAGACTAGCCTTAATCCCTAAACCATGTTAATTGAAAATTCTTTCACAAATATGCTTTAGTGACTACTAGACTGTCCCAATAAATGTTTAACCCTTTTTAGAAGAACTACACTGGAAATGTAAGAGAAATTGCAGGACTGTTCGATTTCATGGACGAAGCTGCCTTGCGGAGGCAGATTACTCTGAGCACAGCTGGAGGTTGGTTCTGATGGGCAGCACAGCGTCCACCCAGCTGTTTAGGTTTCCAATGACTGTATTCCACACGCTTATCTCCTCTTCAGTGGAGTCCATCCAACAAACCGTCTGACCGTAACTCACACCTAAAGAGCACAAAGACACACATTTACAAACACCCATATGGGCTCAGAAAAGATGGAACTAATTTATGGTTTATTGTTTTAATTTGATGTGCGTTGCCTCAGTTATTGATGAAGATTTATCAATCGTTTTTCTTTTTTGCTCAGTTACCTGTGTTGTGATGGTAGTGTTGCTCGGGAATGCAGATAATAAGTAGCGCACAACACTTAGAAAAAATGTATAAATGCTTTGGCTTTTACTAGCCGTCTCATTCAGAATCAATTTTTCATGTGGAGGCATTTCATTCAGAACACAAAGTGGCGTGCGCCCGCTCCCCGGGCCCCGATGGAGGCTGCGAGCACCCGAGCCGAGAGGGAACAGAGCTCGCTGCTCCACCTTCTCGTCACCGCCGTCCTCGCTGGGCTTCGTCGCCGCTCAATGTTTGGGCCCCGCCTTCTGGCAGGCTCTCGCAGCCGCCATCGGGGCCCGGGGGGCTGGAGCACGCCACACACAGTAATGTAATAAATTCTGTGTAAAATGCATGTGAGTGTGTATGTATAAACACACATAAATACATTTATTCAAAAGTGTGCGATCACATCACATTTATCACTTTTGTTACTTTATATTCAATAATAACTTAAATGTTATAAAATTTTATAAACTAGACACCAACAAGTATTTTCATCCTCGAATATTTCAAGTATTTTGCGCACAAGAGGTGAATAATAATACAAATAAATACAATATACGGAAATTATCTAGATTTGATCACTTATAAAATTTGAGGCTTTCTGGATATTGATTTTATTATAACTTTCTTGATGTTACATAGCTTTTTCAGTCATTATTTGAAACCTGCAAAGTTGCATAGTACTAACATCATATTAGGACAATTTCATATATAATATTGCTCCATACATATCTCCATACATATTTTTTTCGTTTTACCTGTTTTTTTTATGTTACTGAAATACTAGTCTTACAAGCTTTTGACTGGTACAACCCCATTTCCAATAAAGTTGGGAGCGTAGTACAAAGACAACGTATTGAATGTTGAAACTGAGAAATTTTATTGTTTCTGAAATGTATATGCCGTTTTTCACAAAAGTTGGGACGGGCAAACAAAGGCCTGGCTAAAAACACCTGGTGGAACATCTTACAACTAAATAGGTTAACTGGCAACAGGTCAGTAACATGACTGGGTATAAAAAGAGCATCACAGAGAGGCTGAGCCTTTCAGAAGTAAAGATGAGGAGGGGTTCATTACTCTGCGAAAGAAAGTGTGGACAAATAGTGCAGTGATTCAAGAAAGACGTTTCTCAACATAAAATAAAATAGAACTTGGGGATTCCATCATCTATGGTACATAATATCATTAAATGATTCAGAGAATCCAGAGAAATCTCTGTATGGAAGGAATAAGGCTGAAAACCAGTATTGGCTGGTCATGATCTTCCAAAAACCACTGTCTGTGAACACAGTTCATTGCTGCATCCACAAATGCAAGTTAAAACTACACCATGGAAAGAAGACACCGTATATATACATGATCTAGAAACACCACCACCTTCCCTGGGCCAGAGCTCATTTAAGATGGACTGAGGCAAAGTGGAAAAGTGTCCCATGCTGCCATACAGATAACATCTTTTCAGGGAAGGCCTTGCTTATTTCAGGAAGTCAATGCCAAACCACACTCTACATGAATTACAACAGCATGGCTCTGTAGTAAAAGAGTCTGGGTGCTAAACTGGCCTATCTGCAGTCCAGACCTGTCACCCACTGAAAACCTTTGGCGCACTATGAAATGAAAATACTGAGCAGCTGAAATCCTATATCATATCAAGCAAGAACAGGAAAACATTTCAAAACTACAACAATTGGTCTCCTCAGTTCCCAAACACTTACAGAGTGTTGTTAAAAGAAGAGGTCATGCAAAACCTGGTAAACATGGTAAACATGCCCCTGTCCCAATTTTTTCGAAACGTGTTACTGGTATCAAATTCAAAATGGGCACATATTTTTTGAAACTTCATGGAGTGAATTTAACTCATTTCGAACTTAATGGCAGTAATGCATCTCAAAAAAGTTGGGACAGGGGCAACAAAAGACTGGAAAAGTAAGTTGTACTAATAAAAAACAGCTGGAGGAGCAATTTGCCACTAACTCACATGACTGGGTATAAAAGGAGCATTTCAGAGAGGCAGAGCCTCTCCAGAAACGCTGCCATCTTCTCTGGGCCAAAGCTCAATTAAAATGGACTGAGGCAAAATGGAAAACTGTTCTGTGGTCAGGTGAATCAAAATTTGAAATTCCTTTGGAAACCACGGACGCCGTGTCCTGTGGACTCAAGAGGAGAGGGGCCATCCAGCTTGTTATCAGTGCACAGCTCAAAAACCTGCATCTCTGGTATGGGGTTGCATTAGTGCCTATGGCGTGGACAGCCTACACATCTGGAATGGCACTATCAATGCTGAACAGTATATAGTTGTGTTTTAGAACAACATATGCACCCATCCAGACAATGTCTCTTTCAGGGAAGATCATATTTCAGCAAAACAATGTTAAACCACATACTGCATCCATCACAACAGCATGGCTTCGCAGAAGAAGAGTCTGGGTGCTGAACTGGCCTTCCTGCAGTCCAGACCTTTCACCAATAGAAAACACTTGGTGCATCATGAAACGAAAAATCCAGCAAAGAAGACCCAGGATTGTTGAGCAGCTAGAATCCTACAGCAGACAAGAATGGGACAACATTCCTCTTCTACAACTCCAACAATTGGTCTCCTCACTTACCAGACGTTTACAGACTGCTGTTAAAAGAAGAGGGGACGCTACACAATGGTAGACACGGCTCTGACCCAACTTTTATGAGATGCGCTGCTGCCATCAAGTTCTAAATGAGTTAATATTTGTCTTGAAACGGTAAAATGTCTCACTTTCAACATCTGATATGTGTTCTACGTTCTATTGTGAATAAAATATGGGTCTATGAGGCTTGCAAATCATTGCATTCTGTTTCTATTTACATTTATTTACATTTTACACAGCATCCCAACTTTCTTGGAATTGGGGTTGTACATTTTGCACCATGTTCCAACTTTTTTGAAAACATTCCATTTGGAAAATTCCAAAAGTTATAATTACTGATGAAGAGCCAAAAAATGTGTTTTTAATAGAAGCAGATTGTTCTTTTAAGATGTCAGTGGAGGAAGCTTACTGAACTAAAATTTTATCTAAATCACTTTTATCATTATTATTTTACCAGTACAATTTCTGTAATTCTGGAATGTACTGTATTTTTCCGTGTATTTATATTTGGAAGCCTTGGTGTACATAGCTTGGTCATTATGGGTTTTTGAAAACTTTGGTTTCACAAAAATGAAAGCAAAATATTACTCCATATCTGCAATAATTAGAAGCTGATGTATTTGGAGAAAAAAAAATGCTTTATTTATTCATAAAATCTCTGTTTTGCTTTGTACTGTTGTGTAACTATTGCTGACACAGTCACTGGTTTATGCATCACTGGACAATTAATGCATCTGATAAGAGTGTTTTTTTGTTTTTTTTATTGCGTATTTTAACGTGTGGACCTAAATGAAAAATTTACCTGAGCCTATGCTGAGGCGCACTCCTCCCAGGCAGTTGGAGGAGTTCCACACAGTGATCTCTGTGCATGTCTGTGTGAGGTCACTGGGCTGAAGGCCGTCATACACCATCGTGTGGTTGAACACAGGACTGACTGAGCCACGGACCACCCGTGTCTGCTGACCGCTAACGCTGGTCTCATCTGGCAAAACTACACTGCACACACCATATGCACATATGTACTTGCTTTTGGGTGCAAACATGAATGCATTTACAACGTAATGATTTGCAGATAAAGACCACATTACAGAGCGCACATGGTCAGTGTTACTGATGTATTTCATGATTTTTCTGCATCTGATTGTGAATGTTTATATGTACCTTTTCACATAGGTGTTAGGAACGCCACGCTTTGGAGGAAGGAGTCCAATGACCTCCCTCAGCCAAATATGTAGCTCACCAGTCAGAGGATACCCTCCTCCTATGACCACACATTCACAAAAAGATCAACACACATGTACATACAGGATGTAATGTATTTAAAGTAAGTGTTTATTATTATTATTGTATATATATCTCTATCTCTGTTTGTGTGGCTATGCAGTGACCTTCAGAGCCGGCAGGTACAAATTTCAGTGAAAATAAGACGGTTCCTCTGCTGATGATAGCATCAGGATTGATTTGTACCTGTGACAGAGTGAGAGAGAAAAAGCAGTCCAATAAATATGCTCAGACAAACAATTTGACAGTTTTCACTGATCTCAGAATCAAAAGGTTTGGTCATTATGTGATCATAAGCTGCACAGGCATGTATTGATATTTTTCTTGCCGTAAAGCAAAAAACATCAAAGGCAGAAAAATAATAAAATAAACAGAATGACATGCAATGTTAAAAGAAAGGAGATAGTTGTTAGGTGTCTGTTCAGGCAGCACAACAAAATACATGATGTTAATGTTGTACAGTAAATAAGTAATAATAAGTAATCTAATCTGATGTAACTGATGAAGATACCACATGGAAAAAGCTGGAAGGGTGATATATTGCTTTAACTATTTTGTTCTGCTTTAGGGTATTTGTAAGTGACTCACCCTGGGCTGGAGGGGATACCAGGTAGGTTGATTCCGCCCCCAGTCCCACTGAGCAAGCCCCACCTCCACCTCCCCCAGGAACAGGTTCCTCCTCACACGCTCCAAATGCCACACAGACACGCTCAGCACACGTGCCTGCAGCTCCGAATTGCGCACTTTATACTGGGAAAAGATCAGTGTGGTTGTCAATTATATATCGTTGCTGTCAAAGAAAAACAACTATCTGGCAACTTTGCAGGAGAGGGCAAAACTTTGCTTTAATGGAAGTTAATTAAAATGATTAATGAAAAGGGATTTTATTCCAAGCAATTTTGGAACATCGCTATAGATCCATTCATCCTCAAATTTTTACCCAACGCTTTTTTTCATGGAGTGAAGATGCCAGTATTGTATATTGTTCAGTATCTATTGCAATATATATATATATATATATATATAAATATATATATATATATATATATATATAACATTGCAATAAGTACTGAAAAATATACAATACTGGCATCTTCACTCCATGACAAAAAGCTGTAAATGTGCTATTTAGAAATACAAAGTCCTTGATGAATATGTCACTGTTATGGCAAGTCCCAGACATCTTCATTTCTAATAAAGGTACTCTTTTTGGCCAACTTCAAATATTTGTAATATTTCAAGCACAATATGATTTGTTACATTATAACAAGTAAATTTCAAAATGTTTTATATCTTTCATATAATGTATTCTGCAGCAGCTATAACTATAGTGGTTTCTTACTTTAAGTGTTTCATCGTACACAGGATTTAGGGTTTTCCTCTTTACTGAAGTCTTCCTTTTACTGCGAGATGTGTTGTCTGGGAGAAGGTACACTTTCACATACCTGCAATGGATCAGCAAAGACATAATGAACAGCCCTGACAGCACCTGGTAATATGCTGACGTACTCCACAGTGTTGTGTGGTCGGTAATTTGAGTTTGTGCACTAGAGCAAGTACTTGTTAGCATTTGCTGTGCTAATCATACACTAATGGTAACATGAGCTAAATCTAGTGACGTTAGTGTACTTTGTTACTACTTGGGAGACATAGGTAAAACACAAAACCTAGTATTGTATGAATACGGGTATACCTTCACCACATCCCACTTTGTAATCAGTAGCAGTCTGAGGTAGTCCAGTTTTCAAGGCAGCAGACATAAAAGAGAAATATGAAGGGAATGGCCGGTCTCCTGGGGATAGCCTTAAGTGTAGCATGGGGAGTGAACAACTCCCCATCCTGTGCGGTCTGATGCTGTTGCTTCTTCTGCCTTGATCGGGTGCCCACTGCTCGCCAGCCTTCGGGACCGGTTTGACCACCATTGAGCTTCATGCTGTACAACGCTGTGCAAACCTCACCCTCATGAACTGACCCTCCTGATGATGTTGCTGCTGCTGCATAAACTAAAACTAATCTAATTAACCATTGCTCCACCTGTTTTCCCCATTTTGTATTATAACATTTTATAATAATGCTGTTTGCTATCCGGTGTCGACCAGAGGATGGGTTCCCCTTTTGAGTCTTGGCTCCTCTCAAGGTTTCTTCCTCTTGCTCTTAGCGAGTTTTTCCTTGCCACTGTCACCATTGGCTTGCTCATGGGGGCTCGGACCTGGATTTTTCTGTAAAGCTGCTTTGTGACAACACCTGTTGTAAAAAGCGCTATATAAATAAACTTTGACTTGACTTGACTTTGACTTGACACCCGACTGCTTCTATTTCCTCTCGCACCATATGCAGTGCAGGTCTCACTTGGTTAGCACACACCACTGCAGTGTCAGGGCTTGATGTTGGCAATAAGCCAAAGACCAACAGGTACTGATAGTGTGCAAGACTTGCAATATTTACCAGTGTCTGACAGTCGTAGATATAAGCACAAGTTTCTTAGACACATGTATGGGACAAAAGAAATTAGGAAAGAATTAAGAAATTAGGATGTGAAACACTTAGCATTTTTGCCAGGCCCAGAGAAGCTGCTGCATGCTAGAATTAAAAAGCACTGCTGACATAGCTTCATCTATATATTATTCAGTTTTTACTATTTTGCACAGTAAAAAATGCAAAAGATTTAATTAATAAATGACAATATTTGCATTTTAGGCACTTTATTAGGAACACTATACTAATATGGGATAGGGCCACCCTTTGCCCTCAAAACAGTCCCGCTCTCAATACAGTCTCAATTCTTTGTGGCATGGATTCCACAAGATTCAACATTCTTTTCAGATTCTGACATGACTGAACCATGCAATTTCAGGTGCACTTTCATGCTGCAAATGTCCCATTCTACCACATTCCAAAGGTATTCTATTGGATTCAGATCTGGTGACCGGGAAGGCTAAAGAACACTGAACTTGTTGTCATGTTCATGAAACCATATCAAGATGACTTTGGCTTTGTGACATGGTGCATTATCATGCAGGAAGTAGCCATTAGAGGAGGGGTAAATTATGGCCATGAAGGGAGGCACTTGTTCAGCAACAATACAAAAATATGCTGTGGCATTCAAGTGATGATTGAATGGTAATCATGGGCCCAAAATGTGCCAAAAAACATTCTCCACACCATTACACCACCTCCACCATTCTGGATTGTTGACACTTGCTGTTGCTGCCAAATTCTGATCCTACCATCTGTGTGTCTGTGTTTCCAGTCTTCAACTGTCCAGTTCTGGTGAGCCTGAGCCCACTGCAGCCTCAGCTTTCTGTTCTTGGCAGACAAAAGTGGAACCCGATGTGCTGTCCATAATGAGATGCTTTTCTGCTCATGCACGAATGAGTAGGTGTACAGGTGTTCCTTACAAAGTGAGTATATGTGAAAAGATACTAATTACACTTTTACTGCGATATAATTTCTATTCAAACCGCACACTACTAACATAACCCCTCTGCATAAACATCCAAACATCCTGACTGTAACAATACATCAAATAGCTAAAATAATACTAATAAATTATAACAGTGTAAAACACTATTGCTTCTACTACTAATTATAATGGCAATAATGATGATAGTAAAGTAAAATGATAAAATACAGTGAATAACATTTTGAACTTAAGTGCTTTAACTATATTGCAGTCAACACACTATTCATTGCACGCAGAGTGCAGTTAGGGCTGGGCGATATTGCAAAAAAGCAAAATCTCGATTATTTTCAAATTTATGAATGATTCTCAATTCCGGTTGGGATGGTTCTTGCATAATGCCATTAGAAAAAGACAATTTCTTTTTTGCAAAACATAGTAACAGCACCACCTATAATTATTAAATTGTGCAAATAGTGGTTACTATTAAATATCCTTTCAAGGGACTGTGCAAGCACAACAAAATCTGTAACAAAAAAAATAGCAATAATTAAAACATAAAAGAACCATTTTAATTAGTGATATTCTTTTAGGAATAGCAAGCAGCTTCCTTAAAGCTCACAAGCAACTCTCACTTCAAATAATGTGCAAGCAAGACCGTAGATTAAGAAAAGTGCAAACCTCAAAGTTCTTTACTTCTTTACACAGGTTTCTTGAACGGAACACAAGCCTATCTACTGTTTCAGGCTTGAGAGACGCCATTTGAAAGGTAAAGGCCTCAGGAGGCTTCTTGCGGAGACGACGTTCAGTGAACAATGTGCCGTAATTGCAGAGAAAACGCACAACCGCAGGCGTCGCGCGGAGGCTTCGTTCGCCGTGTCGCGCACATGGCAGCTGGGCGAACTCCGTGGACGAAGACGCTATGCAACAAAGCCTTTGATTGGTCAGTAAAAAAAGAGGCGTGCCTTTAAACAAAGATGGACAACTTTGAGGAGCTTCAGCTTCGGCAGACACGCTAATATTTCAGTGTGAAACACGCATTTGTTAAATAAACAATGAATATCTCATAAATGTAAGATATTAAGTCTACTATTCGGTAGTGTTTACTAGTACTCAGCACCAAAACATACAGGTTATCTTATATTTAGGTTCACAAGAGGACGAGGCTGAAGTTGGCTTTCTATTCACCAGCTTCTTGTTTGAATTTCCCCGTTCCACCTTAAATGGTGGCGGTAGTCTCAACTCAAATGTCGCCATAGTTAGAACTGTGAAAGAATCGTTTTCCAGCAGTCCGGAGCATCCGCGACAGGCAACACGAAACCGCAGAAAGTACGCGATCTTATAATCTCGCTAAGGCGCTTTCGGCTTCGCATAACCCTTGAGAATTTAGTTTCGCAAGAAGTGTTAAGGCCTTAACAACGTGCCCTGTTGCACTGAAAACTCACTCATTTTCATCGCGTTGTTTCACTCATTGCTCCCAATCCATTGGGCGTTTGTGTCATAAGGGCTGGAACAGATTTGTCGTACTGCTAAATTTGGTTGCAACTGTCTTTCGACACAACTTACACTTTTCCACACCACTGAACTGATGTCTCCACCTTTCTTTGGTACAAGTTCACTCCTCTGAAGCGCCGCCTGCCTCCATCTTAGAGTGTTTGTGTTTTTGTTTTCTATCGCACGCGGCTGAGGTCACTGCACAGACCTGTGCGAGGCAGCGTTTTGTTTTTTTTTATTTAAGATGCGTTTCTCGTACGTCTTGAAAATTTGAATAGTTTTGTTGGTATTTTAATTAAAGTACAAGCAATGTAAACATGTACAAACTCGATTGTCACATTTCTAACATCATATGAAAATGTTAACCGAATTAATCGTGAAAAACGCCCAGCACTAAGTGCAGTAATTATAATACACTATGCATGGAAGTCTTACGGGTATACTTACGGGTCAGAGCGGTTGTTGCGCGCTGGAGCCAAATCCTGACATCGACACACATGGACATGAAGTTCCTCCCTTTTTGGGTCATAATAAAGAGAGAACTGAATCCTCCCAGTCACGGTAACACCTCCAAAATCCCCCACACTGTACAGACTCATCAGGCTTCCACTCATCTGCCACAAACACAGTCAACTAAAGTTAGCACTAACTCACAGATTCAGATTCAAAGGTACTGCACATACTGTGTGATATGGACAGAGATGTCTGAGCCAGTATTAGAAGTCCAACTCATTGTCAGTGTTGTTGCTCATGGGCGTAGATAAATATATGTGTGTATGTGCAACGTACCATGTGATTGGAGTGCAAGCTGTTAACTGAGCCGAATCTAGTGTCGTCCAGTTCAGTGCTGCCAGAGTCGATATCACCCTCTGAGTCCACCTACAGACACACACATCCAAATTATTCAACTTTTAGAATATGCTGTACATTACACAATACAGCACCTAAATCAGAAGTGGATTTGAAAACACCAGCAGTACATTTCATGATGAAAGGACCAATAAAATGGTCCACAATTACATGAAAAATATACAATCTCTTTACTTTAACACATTTTAAAATTACAAATACACTTTTGCTTCGACAATAATGATACAAAATTTCGACGGTAACAATATGTGTGTTGAACATACCTGCAGCGACGGCAATGTGTTCTGCAGTACTCCATCTACAACCTCTGAACCTTCAACACTTCCTGAGACAGCAGGGCAGAGAGGAAGGATAAAGCAGGGAGGTTGAGAACGGAATATAAAGAGTATAACAGGAACTATTCCCTTTACAATCTATTCCTTGTTTTATGCTCAATCACTGTTGTGTGTGATTTCCAAAACAGATACAGAGCTTACCTTCAAATCCTGAACTACCTTCTGTGTTCTCTGCATTCTTCTGAAGAAAAAATAAATGAAATGTAAAAACATATAAATACTTCATGCCACCATTCTTGATCATACGTATACAACACCAGTCAAACTGACCTTGGGGACGTGTTTCGTCCTGGGCCGTGGTTCAGGGGCCACGCTGAGGTTGGGATTGTAGAGAAATTAGTTAAAGTTAGCTGAGATACTGAGATGTTTTTGATGATTTTGATTGAAAGAAACTATTATTACTGAAGAAACTCCAGGTTCAAAGAATTAAAGAAGGTCAATAAAACTGCAGAGTTCGCAGATTCATACTGGAATAAAGTCACAGATCTTGTCAGTACATTACATTACCTCTCAGGTAAAACTAATCCAAGTCAAACAGGACTTTTAGACTGTGATGACTTCACTGTTTCATTTAAGTTCATTAATATTAAAACCAATGAATATTTATTTTGAAAAAGATGCTGCTGAACTCCAGTGATCTGATATAATAACCCAAAACAGACTAACAGATAAGGCTGCACCAACCTGTCTCTTTTTTCTTCGCCTGTTTCCCTTTCTGCTTCATCTTCTGTTTTTTCTGTATCTTTCAGATCAGCTGTGTTCTCTTCTGTGCTTTCTTCCTGCTTCTCAGTCAAATTCTGTTCTTTCTGATCCTCAAACACTGACATCGCAAGCATATCTACAGAATGGAGAATACACTGTAAATATGCCAAGAAGGAGTCAGTGAGTATAAACAGCAATCAGGTGTAAAACTGGAGTAGAATATGGCCTAGAATATGAGCCCTTTTTCACATATGATGTAAATGATCAGTAAGAGATAATATGACCTTTGCCCCGCTTTTTGCGTCGTATGGAGGCATGGACGATATCGGCCCCTCTGTTTTGATAGCGCTTGGCACACTCTTCATTAAACCACGAACCACTGAGGGAGCGCAGACGCACAGGGTCTGACTCCACTTGCTGTAGCTTGCTGAACACACACATACACACACACATATTACACAGACACATAATAACACACACATTTAAAACAAACTTACTTCCTCTCTAATCCCCCTGATTTACAACCCTGTATAACATTCAACAAATCAACAGTATAAACATGCTCTCCAGTACTTCCCATAAGTCTGATAGAAACTTGGGTGGAGCATTGTGGGCCCAGGGGGTGGTATTCTAATATTTATGGATATTTAAACTCCTCTCAGTATTCTTTTTCTCTTTTGTTTTTAAATAAGACAGTGGTTCTCAATCCTGGTCTTGGAGAACCACTGCCCTGCATGTTTTAAGTGTTTATATGCAGAATTCAACATATTGGAAAAAGTAAAGTATAAAATATGAAATTTGCATCCATAATGTTTGCATGGGCGACATTTCATGTTGTTTTTTTTTCCAATATGTTGCAAATAAACAGTAATTGTGCATTAAAATGTGTAGAAGGATGTGTTATCTTATTTTCTTATTTCTTTTATGTGTTCTCTTATTACAAAATCAACAAAACATGTCATCTGACCAGGGTCGCCTTGTATAGCCAACAAATGGGAAACACCGCTCTATCACATGCACACACACACATTTATACACACACACACACACACCTGATCCGACCCTCCTCTCGTTGGCGTAACTCAGCATCCCTCAGCAACACGTTTAAAATCATGGTTTGTTCCACCTCAGTCAGGTGACTCAAATCCAGCTGAGCAGATTCTTCCTCCATAATGAACTCACCTTGCACAACAAACACTGCTTTAGGAACATCAGAAAAAGCAGCAATAATTAGTAGACACAATTTTAAAATCACTAACCTTTCACTGTTCAATGTGATTTTACTGGACTAAAAAAGCAGAGATTTTTCAAAGACCACACCTGAGTGTTAAGGGTGGAGCTGAGTTTGAATTACAAAGCCTACCTGGACACCCAGATTTACACATGCAAACACTCCGCTGCTCTCCCTTTCATTCAGATCTTTACTACGAAAAAGCTGATATATGTTGTACTAGTTTACATAGTGATTATAAATGTCATTAAAAACACTGGAAACTTGAGAGGAAGAACTCTGAGGATGTCGTAGTTACAAAACTAATATACACGTTCAGTTTTACACAAAACCAGAACAGTCAAAATAATGGTTAGAAAAGTAGATTGGAACAAAATCCTTCATTTGCAATAAAAGGAATGTATTTTTCACTCTCTTCCATTTTACTCTTTCACGTACATATTACTAATATTTAGTTTAATTCATTCTATTTTGCTAGAGACAGCAAGGTCAATCCATGTGAAGTCACAGCAGGCCGCTCAACTGACCATTTCAGATTTGCTTTTGAAGCACTGATGCTAAATGCATGAAATATTGTCAGAGATTATTTCCCTACCGATGGTATTCATTTTTTTTTACTATTGGTAAGAGCAAATTTTAATTAACCAATGAACCATATAATGTAGGCATTTTGACTGAACATATATTTACTGAAGTATCAAATATACCTTGTTTTACAAAAGACAGAAATGTATAACGCAGACACACTACACACTATACAATCACAAAACTGTTTTAGGTAGCAAATATATATTTTATGCCAAAATAATCTATTAAGGTATATTCTAGAAATTTCCGTAATGACCAGTTATACCAGGGGTCACCAATCTTATCCACAAAGGGCTGTTGTAGCAGCAGGTTATTCAGCTCAAGTAGATGCACACCTGATTCCATCTGTTTAATCAGATGGTCTTACTCTTTAATTGATTTGTAATATGATTATATACGTGGGGCATGAGACCCTCTGTCCTAGACAAACTGTATTAGAGGGACCATGAGAATGCATCAATGTTAATTGTTCTTGTTCCTCCTCTGATGCAGCAGTTCCTCCTCCGATGTTGAAAGGCAGATACATATCAGATATCTAATCCTGTTTTGTAATTGTACAGTACGTAATATGTCTGAAAACAAGGAAGTTCAATAAAAATGTTTTGGCTCTTAATACCAACTACATACTGGGTACATTTGATCACTGAAATATGCTTTCACATGTGTTGAAATGTGCTGTATGAACTAAAGTGTGACTGTTTTTTTTATTATTGTAATGGCTTACAAATGAGAAACCTTTATTACTTGTAGACTAAGCTTCAATGCACCTTGTTTTATTTATTTATTTATTTATTTATGGTAAATTTCCAGGAATCCATGAAATGGCAATTATGCATGCCTGTATCTCCTGTTCGGTACTGAATTCAAAATAACTGAATCCCTGAACATTACATGCATCTAGCATGTAAAGTATCAACTTAGCAAATTTTGTACTTTTTTAATAGCACTCATTTTAAAGCAAAAAAGAGCACATTTATTAAGTTCAAGCCCACATGTCCAAGCATCTGTATATCAGAAGTATAATAATGATAAAGAATGTTGTGCACTATTTATTGGGCATAATGTCAACATTTTTTGAAAGTATTAGGGAAATCTGAGTGGTCAGTTGAGAACATTTTCTGAACTTTTTCTCCAGATCTGGCCATTTAAAGCAAACACACCCAGCAGCTGGACTGCTTTGCTGTTGCTCTTACACTATAAACATTCAGCCCAAAACATGTACTTCATCTGGCAAGAAGCAGTTCAAATTATTTTATTCAAGTCAAATAAACTGACTGATTTAAATGAAGAAAGCTAAATTTTAGTTTACACAAAGTAACACTTTTCACCAGTCGAAATATCAGAAACACTTTAAACCAACCACTGACTCCTTCCTTTCACAGTGTACTTGTGAGCTTTGTTGTTTTATTTTAGACCAAAACAATCCCAAAAAGTAAAAAAACATGACCTAACAAACTTGGGTTCATGTGCTGATAGATGCTGGATGTACTAAGAAATTCCACTCAGTTGTAAAGAGCACTCAGTAGACTTTTTACTCTTTTACTCATACTCAAGTTTCTTGGTAGCTACCTTCACTTCTACTCGAGTCATTCTGTTCCAGAAATAGCAAAACTACTTGAATACAGTTTTCTCTGTGTGACTCTTGTGCCCTCAGTTGTCAGTCCCCTTCTATGTAGGCTTACACTATACAATGTTCAATAAAGCATGTTAAAAATATTTTAATATAGTTTTAGGCTCCGCTGCTCACTTCTGCAGCAACAAAATAAGTAGCTATGACCATCATAAAGGTAAGTAGAGGTAAGATGGAACCACGGTCTGGTTAATCTGGTAAAATATGGCCTAATAAAAGAGGAAAACTGTGGTTAACTAACGATGCTGACAGCAGAGAGCGCGCACGAGCACGCGCACCGACAACAAGAGTAAACAAACAACAGCAGCCTGTGGAGGCCAATGGCTCTCTTTTTCACACAAATTCAACAAGTCAGCAAATACTGTTTTAGAGCTCGAAGAAAAGCTCCACACTTACAGCTGGAGTCACCAAACTCGACAAAGTAGAAGAACTGGATGCAAAGACCAGCACTCACAAACCATCTGAGTTTTGGGTCATGGCTTTCGTGCAACTTTTCTCGCGTATCGTGTGTTATACACGTTTACATTCTCCTCAGTCATAAGTACACATGGCTAATCTCCTGCTTTTCGGTTGCGGAGAGAACAAAAAAGTGAGCGAGACGCACCTGTTTCTCTGACTCCTTCACTTCAGCGACGCAGACAAAGCCAACAGCACAGTGCAGAGTTAAGACACAAAAACATTATTACAGTTACCTTCACGTCATTTAAGGTGTCCCATTTGATGGCCTCTTTTGGAGTTTGCACAAAGTTTTCCGCGGCTGGAGCTGAAGCTGAAGCGGGCAGCAGCGCTGCACTCCTGCTTCTGCCTGAACTGGCTGCATTAGCGCCCCGCGAGCCCGCCCTCTAGGCACGGTGCAAAAACTGAACCGGATCCCAGAGCGTTGCATGGGAAGGCTATTTGCTATTCATCAATTCACTTCACGTCTCATGTTTAACTCATTCATCTCTCGCTCTCTCAGTCTCTCTGTCTACACTACTTGTCCTAAAGTTTGTTGACTCCGCTTGTAATATGAAATTAGTAAATTCAGCTACCGAAGGTGCTCCCTTGCTGACACAGGCGTGCACACACAGCTTACGTAATCTCCATAGAAAAGTCTTACCAGTAGAATGGGACACATGGTCACACATGAGCCACATGGTCACACATGCCGAGCTTTCAGAATAGGGTGGCCAGGTAGGACCCTGAGATTTACTGGGGTGGCACACTGCTAGAAAAAAAAGTTTACTGCATTAACATTACATACAAACTGGTGTTTTTTTTCTCTGTAAATAACTAAATCTGTCCACCATTTCCAAATGAAAATCCCTGCTGAAAAAAAAATCATAGAAGTCATTAAAAGTCTCTGTTGGTTCTTGGTGGTGTCCAGTAGTCATTATTGGTATTATGTGTTTTCCTGATGGGCTGATATCACGGTGTAAAGGATTCTAACTGGCAGGTGTTCTGAGTCCAGATGCATCTGATGGTTTCCTAATGGGATCTAAAAGTGTTCTACAGGAAACCAATGGTCTCTAATGGTAACCACTAAGCCAATTCTCATTAGAAAACAAAACCAGCAGGTTGTAATCCTGATGGTCCTAGCAGTCTTTGTTTCAGCAGGGATATTACACCAATACAACTACTGCAAACTACAAAAGTAAACTTAAAGGCAAAACTGTGTTGATGTTGCTAACATTTTTTAGTGATTCATGAGGAAGGATGTGTTTGAATCATGTAATTAAATCCATCACTTTTGTTTAGTTCACAGTGATAACACTAGCAAAACATTTTACACAGACAGGCCACAGAAGGTAAAATTCGAACGGGGAAATTCGAACAAGAAGCTGACGAACGAGAAACTGACTTGAGCTTTGCCACTTTTTGTTTTTGTCAGTTTCTCGTTGCAGATTAAACGTAGCAGGAAACCAGCTAGAGTGCTTTTAAATATAAAAGAGTCTGTCAGTTTGTCTCTAAATTATCGATGTTCGTCTTGTAGTCATCTTTCTTTTCTTTGCCCTTTCGTTGCTAATAGCTACGCGAGAATGTCTGCGTTGCTATGGCGACCAGCAGTCGGCGCGCCGATCTTCAGGGTCAAAGGTCGGTAAAATATTATATAAACTAGCGGTTGTACATTAATTGCAGCGTTTATAACCATTTATTGTAAAATCTGTGTTGGAACTGTGCGTTAGAATGCTCAGCAAAGCTTTATTTTACTGCAAACGTGGATTATTTTATTATTGCCTAAAAATCTAAATCTGCTGTGGAGTAACAACAGGGCAGTAAAAAAGCCGCACGTGGCTTCCCTGGTCTAATGATTAGACAGCGAGCCAGACGGCACTGTATAAGGTAACCTACACCACATGCATATATTCAACTATAACAAGAAATGAGCGTGATAAGTTATTATAGCTGACTAACTGTTGAAAGTTAATGTATCTAACTACTGAATTGCCGTATTCACAGTGTAGCTTACAGAGCAGCACTGCTGAAAGCACCCAGTGCACATTCACTCGCTAGAGCCCCCAACACTGGACTGTACAGCAGTGGAACTGCGTTCTCTGGAGTAAAGGAGTCTCATCTAATACATCTGCGGTAGAGTGGTGCTTGTGATCCAGAACTAATCTGGACCTCACTAACGCAATCAAACCCTCAATGAACAATCAATGTTTCAACATCTAGTGTAAAGCCTTCTCAGCATAGTAGAGGCTGTTACTGCAGCAAAGAGGGACAAACTGTCTATTAAAGGTGTATCAGGCAATTTATTCTGTTTTATTTTTATTTTCTTGGTAGTACAAATAACCTGGAAAATATGTAGAACATGATTTAAAAACAATAATTTTAGCCATGGTGTCAGTACAAGTGAATGCTGTGCCTGAGAAACCCAGTTTGAAAACCCATCTGTGTTTCCATTGACCTCCTGTCAGTCATTTTCTAAGACACTTCCCAATGCATCATTATTCCACCCGCTTATCTGTCTGCAGGGCAAAGAAAACATAGCAGAATCCGGTTAGCAACCTGTACCACCAGGTTCTAGTACTCTGGGGGCAAAACACACTGTGCTGCCAAAAACCTAACAACAAGAATCAACACTGGCAAATGTTTTTAAAGATGGAATTATTACATGTGAAGGGAATGAACACAGAATTAGTAACGTTCCTTCTGGACATATATGTAAACGGAATATGTATAAAGTGTTGGGCTGTTTGAATTGCTGACTTTACATATCAAATCAAGTAGGTAAATCTTTATTACTCAGAGAACCTGGTAAAGATGCCCTTTTAAATAAGCAACCATCACAGATTAGATGAAAAGTCTCTCTGAATAAGTTAATTGTAATGGTATGTCAATAGTTTACAAAGTTGAATGAATCAATACTTTGCCAAGGGGGGTATTGAAGAGTATTGTAGTCCTCTCTTGATGCATGTACCTTTTAGCTATGTTTCTGAAAGCAAACACAACCCCCTGAGATGCAGTAGTATATACCCATGGTTTTCACTATTATTGTATCTTGGGAAATTGTTGTTTTACACTATATAGTCAGTATACTATAGTATGTGGACACCCCTTCTAATTATTGAGTTCAGGTGTTTCAGCTACATCCATTGCTAACAGGTAAATAAGATTTAAGCATATAGCCATGTGCTTGCATATACTTAATGCAATATGCAATCTCAATAGACAAACATTGGCAGTAGGGCAATGGGTCATACTGAAGAGCTGAATTACTTTACACGTGGCACTGTCACAGGATGCCACTTTTGCCAGAAGTCAGTTTTTGAAATTTCTGTCCTGCTAGATCTGCCCCTGTCAGCTTTAAGTGCTATTATTTTGAAATGGAAGTGTCTAGGAGTAACAACAGCTCAGCCATGAAGCAGTAGGCCACACAAACTCTCTGAGTGAGCCACTGACTACTGAAGCATGTAAAAATCAGTGTCCTCTGTTGCATCACTCTCTACAGAGTCCCAAACTGCATCTGGAAGCAACTTCAGCAAAAAGAACCAAACTTAACACAGAATGAACAGAAAACACACGCACACAAAAAATGTTATAACATGTAACACAAGTAAGTGTGTTGTTATTGAACACATCACTTTTTAGGGGGCACAAAAACATTGCAGACAATTATATGCTTCCAACCTTGTGGCAACTATTTGAGGAAGAGGGGAACTCTGCTGGCCCACACACAGCCCTCACCTCAACCCCACTGAACAACTTTGGGATGGATTGAAACATTGATTGTGAGCCAGACCTTCTCGCCCAATATCTCTGCCTGACCTCACAAATGCTCTTTTGACAGAATGGGCACACATTCCCACAGATGCGCTCCAAAATGTTGCGGAAGACCTTCCAGAATAGTGCAGGCTGTTATAGCTGCAAAGGAGGGGGGAGCAACTCCATATTAGTCTCCATGGTTTTGGAATGCAATGTCCAACACGCTCATATGGGCACGATACATAGGTGTCCATATACTTTTGGCCATATGGTGTAGCTATGAAAAATAAACACACTCAGTGTGCTCTACTGAGATGTAAGCTATCTCAAGTATTTTGATCTCCTCGCAAGCAACAATAGCATAATACCATACTTTTATTACTTTTTATTATCTATATCTAAATAACGAAGAAAGGCAATACGTCTAATACACAGCCTACCATTGCTAGGAAATGAAGCAATGACAATCCTTGATAATGCTAGCAAACTGTAAGTGAACTCGACACTGGACGCCGTCAGGTCTAGGGCCATGCTTTGTGTTAATGGGCAAGAACAGGAGGTCCAGTGTTATTGTTGTTCATCTACTTTACCACAAAAAGTTTAGTGTCTTGAATCTTGACTAATGTACCTTTAATCTATCTATCTATCTATCTATCTATCTATCTATCTATCTATCTATCAATCTATCTATCTATCTATCTATCCATCCATCCATCCATCCATCCATCCATCTCAGGTAGCTTGCATTTTCATGCCAATACCATTAACCCCTTACATGGCCATGGGCCCACCAGCAGCCCCAAAGCTTTATTACACACTTCTGTAACCTAATAATAGCTCAACCAGTTTGCATGGACCTCCCTGTGGTTACTGTATAATAAGCCTTAGTATATAATAAGCCTGGGATTTTAAGAGAATAAATGATATAAAATCTGTATATTTTGGAAAGCATGTAGTCTGTGCTTTAAGTACAAAAAGCATGAGCTTCAGTCATGGTTGTGTTCATATTTGTGCACACTGCAGTCATGCACTCATGTCTTGGATATGTAGCTCTGGTTAGCTGAACATGAGTAGCAGCTATCAGCCCACACCTGCTAAATACACAGCCATTCACACAAGTACACCCAGTAAATACACAGAAAGGCGCATGAGCATTATGCAATCATAGTGCAATTATACAAGCAAACTCACAAAATCCAGCAGCTGAAGTGCTGTGTATTAAGAATTAGTGTTTATGTTTTTTCATCTCCATTTTATAGATTTTAACATTTTGCTGGTTAATGCAGTGACTTTATCTTATCTTCTGTTTTTTACCCATTCAGTAAAGGAAAACAGTCCTTACATGGAGACACACACATACACAGACTTTTTCTGTGATAAAAATGAATTTTAGTTAATTCATTGTAGTTTAGGTCTATATTATCAGGAGGTATTTTGAGCACAATTAGTCAGTTTATAACAAAATAATCATTAATCATACAGAGTAAAGGGGAGAACAGTCAGACACTGGTAGGAAATTACAATAATCAAAAAGGCAATAAAAGAATTAAATGTATAACAACAAACTGAAATCTTAGAATATTACATTTCTGTGTGGATTTAAATTTGACTAAATCAGGTGTCTGAATATAAGAAATCTTCATAAATCTACTTTCTCTGACAAAATACTCACAAACTGTCCTCAAACATACCTCCAGTGGTGTTAACACTGGTAGCATAAGATGTAAGCGATCATTGAAATGTATGTGAAGACAAAAATATAATCCTGAACCAGGTCTGGAATATTTTTTAGCGATGCTTATTCGAACTGCAGGCAAGCATGCTCCCTAAACATGTACAATTTAAAAAGAACCAACCCTTGACTTACAATATGAGTGAAGTGTTTTTAGCAGGCAATGCTGCCTTTGCCAAAGCAAGGAAGTCAGGTCTTCACTATTACAAATTCACTTTTAGATGTCAGAGAAACAGCAGATACTTTAAAAGATTAGTTATTATTTAGATATGATAAATACCACCAGCATTCCTAAGTGTAGGAATTCTCCCTGTAGACCCAATGGCAGTCCAGCCAGTTTCTGGTAACAGAGCTCAGTGTTGTTGCTCACAGTTTCTTGAAATTGTTAGTGGGGTTCTGCAGGGTTCCACTCTTGGGCCATTTACATTATATAATAATGGGCCTGGAACACAAATTTACAATTGTAAAAATCATCTTATGCAGATAATATATGTCCTTATGGGCTTCCTGAGGAATATTAGATATAAAAAGAACCTTTAATTGTATACAGTCTTTCTTATACTCCTATAACTAGTTTTTCATGAAAGGAAGACAAAATATATGCTGGTTTCCAAGTTTCCATTACTTATTTACTACACTAGGCAGCTCAGAATTCATTATATTTAATAGCGGTGTTTTGATTGTTAGAAGAAACATTTTAAAAGGCCAATAATAAACTCATGGAGAAACACACTGGGGTTTGGAATGTGTTTATTAAAAGGGGTCTTTTTTGTAAAAAGTCACATACATATTTCCAGCACTCTTACACTCTCAAAGGTTGTGCTAAAAATCTCACATATCATTTCACACATAAACATACACATACATACACACACACACACACACACACACACACACACACAGAATCCTATTCAAACACACAAGAACCTCTCATATACATGTCAACATACATCCCAAACAGCACTGCAAACACACACTGCCAAACTTACCATCATAATTATCCCCTCCCACACATTATAATAACTACACACACATCCAATCCCATTCCTCTCATCCCTGAGTGTGTCCTCATAGTTCATCATGAGCAGCTGCTTCTTCTGCTTTCAGTTTGAACTCCTCCTCAGTGATTTTCCCATCCTTGTTGCGGTCTTGGTTATGATACATGCTTTCTATGATTCGTTGTGGATCAAAACCAGGGGCCAGGCGACCTTTGCCTTCATTCACCTGGTGCTGGATGTAGTCTGAGAACTAGAGGGACAATAGATGTTATACAGACAAAAAGACACTCAAATACGAACACATGCAAATGTATATTCTTGCTGTGATAAGGAATGTTAAAAAAACTGTGTATCTTAGATTCTTTATGACAACAAGTAAGTTTCCTATTGGTTCAGGTAACAGGTAACTTTCCTGCTGGTGCAGTCATCCTGTTTATGGATCCTTTGTACTGTATTTATTGGTACTGTTTCAACCAGATTTTCCCTTAGGGATAAAGTAAGTATGTAAATAAGTAAGTATGTAAGTCAGTTGGATGATCGGTCACTGGTACACCAATCCAAACTTTGTCTCTCCCAATACTGACTCTGATACTGATATTGGTTGATACTGAGTACCGATTACAATAGTTTTTTCTTCTTCATTTTTAAATCTGTATACCTATTTATGTAATGTGCTGTGGCAACTGGAGAGTTCCAAAATATAGAGATATCAATTTAACAAATTTTGTTACAATGAGGCCCACTGGACAAGTATTTCATATCAAACTATTTTCTTCTAATTTATTTAAGGGTATGAAGACTGACTGATCACTGTAGACACCTTAACTAACACGTTATCATCTTCAAATCACCCAAAAATCTGACAATTAATTTCTCAGCCTACTATAAATTGATAAAACTGTTAAAGTATGAAATAGCAATAATGCTGACAAAGCTGTTGTGAAGCACAACAGAATTAGAGAAGCAAACCTGGGCTTTTATTCTGATGCACTGTCACACTTTGTTAAGAAGGGCTTTTATTTTGGCATGCTGCAGCACTCTTTAAAAAAGCGCATGGCTCATTTTATGTTTGCAAAGAAACTTGTTTCATCACCTTAAACAAACAAACAAGTTTGCATGAAATGTAATGTTTCATTATTATTTCTTGTCTGTACAGCATTCAGTTCCATGAATATAAAGTAAGACTTAGATGTGCAACGTGTTTTGGAATGACACTTTTCCTCCTTTGAGCAACCATGACTTAGAAACGGTATCTAAAGTGGATCAGGCACATCTGGCCAATATCTGATCCGTTCACTAAGGTCTGTATCAGTGCTAATGCAACTCCAATGGATCTATCTATCTATCTATCTATCTATGAAAGATGGAAATGTTCTTACCATCTATTAAAATCACTTTATATCAGTTTCTATTGGTCTGGTCATCATCAAATGTACTCATACTGTAAATGTGAAGAGCCAATAACAGCCATGATATCACACAAAAATACAAATACACACATGCAGACAAGTCTGTACCTCACTGGGGTCCACTTCTAAGTCCTTGTTTCTGTCCATTTCCTTGAAAAGGTCGGGTGACACATCTTCATTCCATACAAACATGTAACCCTCAGGAAGACCCTCCTCAACGCCAATCAGCTCAATATCAAACACCAGCACTGCACTGCCAGGGACCTCCCCATCTACAAACACATATAATACACACATATGAACTAATGTCATTACAGTGGCATTGCAGTACATTCATCATATATAGCTACTTGTAGAACAGTGTTTTTTGTTAAACTGTGTTTAATTCATAAATCGATAACCTGCATGTGATCCTACTTCTGGCAAGAATTCTACATGCTACCGCATGATTTCTGCACCCTCTGGTGGTTCTATCAGAATAGCAGCAGAAGTCAATGTGACTTTTACAAATAATTCCACCCAGAGGCAGCAAGTGAAAAGTGAGAGTATTAGAAATTAAATTCATGTCTACATAACTGTTGGTACTAAAGTGTTCATTTAAATAGGTTTGAACCTATTATTCTACAGTCATGTGCAAAGGTTTGGGGCACCTCTTGACAAATGACACATTTTGTAGATTTTCTATGTGAAAATAAGTACACATCCTCTATACAGAACACACTTCTGTACATTTTAATGCACAATTATTTTTTATTTGCTGAATTTAACATACTACAAAAACAAAATAATACAGGTTAGGTGCAAGTTACAGTACATTTTATGTTTTTTCCAGTATGTTAAACTGAATAAATATAAAACATGCACTAAAAATGCCATTTTTAAGTTTGTTCCCTGTAGAGTATATGTTTATTACTTATTTTCACTTAGAAAATCAACAAAACAAATGAAGGTGGCATACATGCAACATCTGATTTTAGCACCCTCTGGTGGTTCTACTAGCTACTACAGAATCAAAACCAGGCCCTCCATTCAAATCCATTCAACCGCAAGGACCTACCAGCAACTGGTTCTTTAAATTTCTTTATAAATAAAGATACAATAAACCACAGAACTCCTATTACAGTGACTATCACTACTTTTCTGGGTCACACACAGGGTAATTGTGTGCGTGTGTGTGTGAGAGAGAGAAAGAGAGAGAGAGAGAGAGACATAGATTAATGAATAGCATTAGACAGAGAGAGAAAGAGATACATCCTTACCCACTCCTCTCTCTCCATAGCCGAGGTGAGGAGGCACAACCAATGTGCGTTTCTCCCCCACACACATTTCCATGAGACCCTGCTCCATGCCTGGAATTACCTGTCCTGCTCCCAAAACCACGTCATATGTCTTCCCATATTTGTGCCTACACACACACACACACACACACACACACACACACACACACAGACCACAGCAACTGTATGGATGAATTCTTTTAGATCTGTGTTTTAGCTGTGACAGGAAAATGAAAAGCCAAATGCATTATCGTTCAAAAGTTGGAAATCACTTATATTCAATCACTTATTTAATGTAAATTTAAATATTACAATATTTGACACCAAATTGTATTTTTACATGTCTTATTCAATATTTCAAGTATTTTTGGAATCCACAAGAAGTTAGTAAATGATGATAATATACTGTGATTCTCTGTTTAAAGCAATTCTGTCAGGATTTCTGCCTCAAGTTTGGTCATCACTGTCAAAAAATAAGAAATTCTATTTATTTTATTATAACTTAGCTTTCTAAGTCATTTTGAAATCTTCTACAGCTCTTTTAATTATTCTTCCTTTTACACCTTCCTGTTTATTATTTGAGACCTGTGAAATTACACAGGACTAACATATCAGAATCATTTTATCAGGGATGCACCGATATGGAACTGTAGACTGATACCGATAACCAATATTTTTCGTGTATATTTCTGTCAGTCCTGATCTGACTGGAATACATACACATTTAAAAAATACAGAAATTCTGACTAAATCTACCTGGATTAGCATTATGATTTAAAAAAGTTAAAAACCTGTGAAAATTTGCTCAACCTCCTTTGAGCCTTAAATCCATACATTCTCAGCTTATTTTTCAGTGATTAAAACTTATTACTATTAATTATTTAGTAACTACTATGAACTATTCAGAAACTTCTATAAACTAATAAAAAAATTATATATAAGTTATGTTTGCACCCACATATGAACATTCAGGTTTTAAGACTCAAAAACAGAAAAGGTTTATTTATGTATGCGTGTTACTAACGAGGAGTCGATGTAAGTGCCGTCCAAAAGCGAGGCATTGTAGTGGTATTTGACAAAGTCCCCGCGTTTGGTGGAGTAGCCGCACTGCTCTGGCTTTTCTTTGGTTATCTGCACTGTATCAGATGGGTTATGGAAGTCAATGATCTGGACATCAAAGACCAGCACAGCAGAGCCAGGGATCTTAGTGCCTGAGAGAGAGGAAGAGAGAGAAAAGGAGAGAGGGTAAAATAAATCCTTTATTTGAAATTATTTAAACTACAATTCACAGAAAATTAAGTGCAAACCTAAGTTTAATTTAGGTTAAGTGCAAACCAACCAACAGTAAAGAGAGAAGTTTCAAAAGTCTGAGCTTGCAAGCTAATTTCATCATCCTGTACTGTAGTTCATTTTATACATTCTGCTGTTTCAGCCCCACACAGTTTGCCAGAAGATCTGATGAGGCAAAAATATCCTTATGTGGTTAAAATGAGGAAAGGCTGGCCATTATCGTGCCTGCAGAGTAAGACTGTAGGGATGTCAGTTTTTAGATTTTTAACTTTAAATGACCTTATGACACAGCACTGTAGCTACACACCTGTCCCCTCCTCTCCATACGCGAGGTGAGGCGGGATGGTGATCCTCCTGCGCTCTCCGACACACACACCCAGAAGACCTTGGTCCATCCCAGCAATCACATAGCCTTTCCCAATGTATGTGTCATAGGTACGATTCCTTGAGTAACTGAAACACAAACACAACACAAACATTGAAATGCAGCATACAAGCATTAGTTATTACCACTTTAACCAGAGTTAACTAGAGATTTCAATGATCCAGTACCAGGTATCAGTATCAGGTAATGGAAAATCAGAAGAGGGAAAAAAGAATGAATCTGATCCAATCCTTTAACAAATCTAAACTGAAAGAGCACACATTCACACTGTGATGTGATGTTGTTAGCTGTGTATTTCTTCCTGTGGAGTAGTGTTTCAGTAGTTTGAGCATAACAGCCCAATTGCTCATCTTTCATTAAGTGTTTCAATTAAAAATAGCTAAATTTAAAAATGAATAGTTTTTGAAGACAAAAATTTTTGGATCGTAATCAGTATCAACCGATATATATATACACACACACCGATCAGGCATAACATTATATCCTTGTTTCTACGCTCATTTTATCAGCTCCACTTACTATTTAGGTGCACTTTGTAATTCTACAATTACAGACTGTAGTCCATCTGTTTCTCTGCATACTTTGTTAGCTGCCTTTTACTCTGTTCTTCAGTGGTCAGGACCCCCATGGATCCTCACAGAGCAAGTACTATTTGGGTGGTGGATAATTCTCAGCACTACAGTAACACTGATGTGGTGTTGGTGTGTTAGTGTGTGTTGCACTGGTCTGAGTGGATCAGACACAGCAGTGCTTCTGGAGTTTTTAAACACCTCAGTGTCACTGCTGGACTGAGAATAGTCCACCAACCAAAAATATCCAGCCAACAGCGTCCTGTGGGCAGTGTCCTGTGACCCCTGATGAAGGACTAGAGGATGACCAACACAAACTGTGCAGCAGCAGATGAGCTATCGTCTCTGACTTTACATCTACAAGGTGGACTGACAAGGTAGGAGTGTCTAATAGAGTGGACAGTGAGTGTTTACAAACTCCAGCAGCACTGCTGTGTCTGATCCATTTGTACCAGCACAACACACACTAACACACCACTACCACGTCAGTGTTATTGCAGTGCTGAGAATGATCCACCACCCAAATAGTACCTGCTCTGTGAGGGTCCATGGGGGTCCTGACCACTGAAGAACACGGTAAAAGGGACTAGAACTACAAAGTGCACCTATATAGTAAGTGAAGCTGATAAAATGGACAGTAAGTGTAGAAACAAGGATCATAATGTTATGCGTGATCGGTTTATATATATATATATATATATATATATATATATATATATATATATATATATATATATCCAATTTTACTTTTCTTTTTTTTTCAGTAGAACTGCATATATATTGAGTCACTCAGTATTCTTCTCAGTTCTGCTTGTGAGTGATGAGCAACCAGAAGAAAATACTGAGAGACATCCCATTATTTCTCCATCTGTCTTTCGCTCACCTGGAGTCAAAGAAGGTTCCATCCAGCAGTGTCCCATTGTAGTGATAGCGCATGAAGTCTCCCTCTTTGCTTTTACGAGGGCAGGAGTCTGGAAGACTCTGGACCTCCACTGTGATTTCATCTTTGGGGTTATGAAGGTCCAACAGAACCACATCAAACACCAGAGAAGCCTGAGCAGGGATATCACTGCCTGAAGAGAGAGAGAAGAGTGTGAGATGAAGCAATAACCTTTCACAAATAGTTTCCCAAAAGATCTCTAGGGCTAAGATCACATTAACTATTGAAGAAGTGACATTACGCATTATATATGTGTGGAAGGCAATGAGGCTTTTCAGTTTAATTGGTTGTGAGGAGACATAATTATGCTACACCGGAGTTAAGCTTTAAGTAGGCCTAAATATAAGCAACAACAATAACATCCAATAGTATTTCCTCTATCAGTGCTTTATATCACACTTTTAAGTGCAATATTCTTTATTTTGTCTGGATGACAAGTGCAGCTGCAATCATTCTACTTTATCATCATTCTATCATCTACTCTATAATTCTGCAGCTATAACAGCCTCCACTATTCTGGGAAGCCTTTCCAAAGAAAAAAGCATTTGTGAGGTCAGGCAATGATGTCTGGCTCACAATCAACATTCCAATTCATTCCAGTTTGTCAAACCATGTCTTTATAGACCTCACTTTGTGCACAGAGGCACAGTCAGGCTGGCACACTAAAGAATCTTCCCCAAACTGTTGTCACAAAATTGGAAGCATATAATTATCCAAAATGTCTTTGCATGCTGTATCATTGACATTAGCCTTCATTAGAACTACAAGGCCAAGCCCAAACCCTGAAAAACAACCCCAGGTCATTATCTTCCCCCCTGTCAAACTTTACTGTTGGCACTATGCATTCTAGTACGTTCTCCAGACATCCGCCAAACCTAGATTCATCAGTCAGACTGTTAAATAGTAAAGCATGACTCACCACTCCAGGAAACATTTCCATTGCTCCAGAGTCTAATGGCAGCGGCTACTTATTTCTTTTTATTTCTACTTCTTTTTTATATAAACTCGGAGACACACCACTACTCCTACTCTGGAACAAGTGAATTTCCCTTTGGGATCAATAAAGTTCTTATCTTATTTATATCATTTAACTTGCACAACCCATCTATCTCACATACACTCATCTCAGAACTCATCTCTCTCATCTCTTTCAGCCACAACCCTTCACCCAAACCAAGGTGCATATCTGAGTTTGCACTAATGGCTACCCACTGATTCACCTCAAGTGTGACAATTCCAGATTTCAGGACAGGTTCAAAGATTTCAATATAGGAATGCCACATGACCATATTTACCATCTCCATGTTCTCCATAGCCAAGTGAGGGAGGCATGGTGATGATACGTTTTTCTCCCACACACATTCCCAGTAGCCCCTGGTCCATACCAGCAATCAGCCAGCCAATCCCCACATACGTATCATAGGTCCTCATGCGTGTGTGACTAATAAAACAGAGCAAACAGAAGCAGCAATTATAACGATTCACTGCAAAACACACACAAACAGAAACACCCAAAGCATGGTTTCCTGGAGGATTTGTCCACCTGTGTTACCTTGACCATTGTTTATCGCTGTAAACTGCAAAGGCCCAAACATGAGCCAACACCTCAATTTCTTACTCTTGTAACAATTACATATTAGTTTTATTAATTGTAGTTATTGAACATTAATAACTAAATAATAAGCCTGCATTTGAAATGGGAATTCCACTGATGTTCCAAAATGTCTGCATAATTAAAGGGTCAAGATGTAAACAAAGTCATTTCGAGTAATTTGATGTGAAACATGCTATTCTAGACACATACTGAGTCAGGCAGCGATAAGAACAAGATGTCTGAAGCATGCCCTGCCTCTAAAAATTACAGACAGTTACTATAATAAATGGTTAATGGCTATATTTGCATTGTAGACATCATGAGCCTTGGTTTTTTTTCCTCACCATTGTAAAGAAATTTGACTCAGCAAGTTTCAATATAAAATGTACCATTTCACATCAAACTACGCTGAATGACTTTGTTTACATCTCATCAATTGAATTATTCAGTAATGTCAAAAATTTGCTGGAATTCCCCTTTAAGGGGCTAATTCAATTCCGTTTTAATTGTGCAGCGCTTTTACATTGTCAAAAGCAGCTTTACAGAAATTTGGCTCCAGACACCTAATGAGGGTAAAACTCCCTCAGAGAATGAGCAAAAACGCTGAGAGAAACTCAAAAGTCAGAGTTAAAAGTCAAGACGTATTACAATGTTAGCTGTGGCTGGTGGTTTACTGCTGCCAGTATGTCTATGTATTTCCTCACCTGGAGTCAAACAACGTGCCATCAAGCAGAGTGCCATTGTAGTGGTAGCGCACATAGTCAGAGACCTCCACAGTGCGGCCACATTTCTCTGGCTTGTAATAAGTCTGAATCTGCACCTTATCTTCTGGGTTCCAGACATCCAGCATCAGCACGTCAAAGTGCAGGATTGAATCAGGAGGGATGATGTCACCTGGAGGATAGAGGTACATCCTTAATAACTGGGTTATGAGTGAGAATACTCTAGAACTGTACAGCACTGCTGACTGCTAGGGATGGGCAATGTGGCAAAAATATAACATCGCAATACTTGAAAATATTTTCATGATACATAATATTGCATCACGTTATTTGTTTTTTCTGAGGTTTGTAAGTTGGAACAGCCAAAAAAACAGCAGAACCACATTTTTAAAAATTCAATCTAAAACTGAGAACAATGATTTTTAGTCAGTATTTCATACACTGCACTGCACTAAATCCAGCAGGACCAATTACACTCTCTTTGTAAAGAAACATGCAGCTGATCACGGTTCTTTAAGCACTGATGATATCCACAATACACTCAGAACAGCATACAGTGTGTAATTTATCACGATAATGGTAAAATGTCGTCTACTTAGTGCTCACACCTTTAAGATTTAGTTTTGTGCTGCTAATACATTTTAGCTTAGCAAGGCCAACTTGGAACTGGAATGGATGTATGAAAGGAGGAGCAAGGGCATGGTAAGCGAAAAGGAAATACATGTATCCACCCAATACGATAGCATCTGCATAGATGTGTGTAGACAATGGCATGCAAAAGTACTAAAATTACTTTTATCTTGGCTGGTAATCTCATAGCAATAAGTTAGCTGGGTCTAATTTGCTTTCAGTTTGTGTTCTCATGTCACTTTAAGCATTCGTCCATATGCATGAGAACCCACACAACACAGTTTCACTCATCTGAGCTTTAGTTTCTCACTAACTAGTACCAACATGCGGACATGGCCCAAAATTCCTTTCCAAAGTCACTCCCTTCAGAAGTCCCCACCCCCAGCTATTCTCTCTCTCTCACTCATCCACCCCCACAACCAGCATCCTCTTCTCTAGCCTACGAAAACACCTTCCCCCTCTTCCCTCTCTGTGCCACACAACACCCCCACTGCTTCTACGTCGTAAAGCAGGGTTTATGGGAATTGTGGGCCTCATCCAGGTAAACCCTATCAGGAACATGTTTAAGCAGAGAACAATATATAAGGAACTCAAAGACAGAGATGGAGGACACTCTGCTGATGCACTCATATACACGTATACAGTACAGCAACACAAGAAGATCAATCATCAATGATGGTGTATATAAAATTATATACATCTTCATATCATCGGTCTCACTGATCCTCATGTTAACCTACTGTATGTGCAAATGCATCCTAAATATAACACAACTTTACCATAGCCGTTCTTCCCGTAGGCCAGCTCTGGAGGGATTTTGACAAGACTTCTCTGATTCACACACATGCCCACTAATGCTTTGTCCATTCCGGCAATAAGCTGACCCCGGCCAACAAACACATTGTACGTGGTGCCACGATCATAACTGCAAATACAGAGAGAGAGAGAGAGAGAGAGAGAGAGAGAGAGAGAGGTTAGCAACTGAACACATGCTACTAATCTGCACTAAATATTCTCTTTATGGTCTTTATGGTTTAGCTCTAATTGAGAAGCCTCAGCTCTCCCTTCAGGAGCAAAACTGCAGCAGTTTGACCACCAGTCATCTAAGAGGGTCCATCTGCTTTACTCATTCATTCGTGCATGAGGTCCACAGACCGCTTTCATTCATGCACTGTTTAATTTACTCCTTCGAGAATCATGGCTACTTGTTTTGGTGAAAATGATTATTATAATTTTTTATTTATAAATTATTATAAATAAATTATTACTTCAGACACACTTTCTGTTTTGCCTGCGTGGCTGAAACATGCGCTCTGCTCATTGCATGAGACAGAAGAAGCGCACTGTCCCACGCCAGCAGAGATTTGCAGAGTTTTTCCTCTTTCTGTTGCTGTATTTTACCTGGAATCAAACTTCTTGCCGTCAGGGAACATGCCGTTGTAGTGATACCGGACGAAATCCCCCGGCTGCACGGCCCGGTCGCATTTCTCAGGCGTGAACGTTTTTTCCACGACGATGTCATCTAACGGCACCGGCGGGGCGTTACACGCCACAAAACTGACAAGAAAAGCCAGAAAAATCATCCTCCCCGTTAGCCGCTGTATCATCTTCCCTCTGGACTCTGTAAGGCTTGGTGAGTCTTCTCTGCCCGAGTGCTCCTCCGCAGCAGCCCACACAACTCTCTCCAAGCACTTCAGAGGCCGCAGACTCTCGGTGCAGATTTGTAGACGTGGTACCGCAGGCCGGACCTTCGACTGGAGGTTTTCTTTCAAAGCAGCTCAACTTTTCCTCAGGCTTTCGTGTCGTCCTGTTTTTATCGCACCTGTATTCCGGCAAGTCCCGCCTCCTCCGCTAGCTTCGCTAGCAGTCCGCACAGCGGGATTGGCTGGCGGGGTTCTGTCTCCTGCGCTGTAATTGGCTCCTATGTCGTCATTAGGGCGGCCAAACAACTGGATTGGCTATGAGCGCTACGATTGGTTAGCGGAACCCTGTTTCCTGCACTGGGATTGGCCAATGTTGACGGACACGAGCTACTAGCCAATCCTAATGCAGGAGACAGGATACCGCTAGGCAACCGTGGCAGGAGCGCAGGAAGCGCAGATTTAGTGGAATACGGGTGGGAAAAAAATAAATAACATGAGACGGTATCACATTACACCGGAATATCGCGCATGGGCGCGGGATGAGCACGGCGTTTCCAACGTGGCAGAGTGGGGAGGAGGAGGAACTATACGATGGGGGTCGTAGGAGTGTAGGATTATGGATGACCAGAAGCCCACAGTGGGAAAAGACTCAGGCCCAAAGGCTGCTGGCCTAGTCTACACAGCAAAATCCCCAGTGATGAATGAGCTCTTACTGTGTTCACCTGGACTTCACAGAACATTGTAGTTGTTAATTCAACATTGTAGGTGTCCATTTACCCAATTCTGGACCCAAATAATCAATCTGAGACTGGCCAGTGTTGCTATTTATTCATTTAACCTCAATGACCTCAGCTTTGTGCATTGGCCAATACAGGTACTCTGACATAAAGTTAATTAAAGACATGAATTCTCTCTCCTCAGAAAACCCCTTTAAAGCAGCAAAAGTGTTAATTTTATAACTTAATACTGTAAACGTTCATTCAAAACTGTAATGCTAATGAAACACTAGGGATTTACTGGACTTAATCAGACATGTCCCTAATAGGGGACACTTAAAGAAACTCTCTCTCTCTAAATGAGCAAAATGAGGTCACTCATAGTGGGAAACTGAATGAAATAAGGGGCCACAACATGACCTATTTTACCATACAAGTCACTACTGTCCTGAGGTCTCAAGGGTGAACTCACTGCTTCTGCTTCACCGTGGTTTACTCGCACTGCACTGCACGCTACTGCGTTTTCAGATGTCTCACTGTGTTTAATGAGGACATCATGACAAATAAGTGCAGATGTGAGCTGCTGTGAATGACTTGGGGGAAGGGAGGGGGACAGGAGAGGGGGGTTGGAGGGCAGGCCGTGTGGACGTGGAGAGCCAGCTGGGCGCCTCCTCCCCCTCCTCCTCCTTCTCAAACTTTCATCCAAACTCTTACATTGGACCAAAATGGCCTCCTGTCCGCCGTGTCTCGCGCTCGCTCTGCTTTTCTTCGCCTTTCCGCTGGTCTCTCGCGCGCAGTATGAGAAGTATAGCTTCCGCAGCTTCCCCCGCCACGAGCTCATGCCGCTGGACTCCGCGTACCGCCACGCGCTGGACCAGTACACCTCGGAGAAGTGGCCCGACGCGGTGGAGTATCTGGAGGTGAGTCTGCGTTTGTACCGGCTGCTACGCGACAGCGAGGCGTTCTGCAACCTCAACTGCAGCTCGGTGCGTCTGGACGACGAGAGCCGCTTCGACGCTTTTCCGGAGCTGCGCGCCTTCGGTAACGTGATGAAGCGCGCGCAGTGCCTGAAGCGCTGCAAACAGGGCCTGCCCGCGTTCCGCCAGACCCTGCCAAGCCGCGAGACCGTGGAGGACTTCGAGAGACGCGAGCCTTACAAGTACCTGCAGTTCGCTTACTTCAAGGTGAGTAATGCGCCAGGGGGCTCTCTATTTGCACGCCCACCCCCACTCACTCCTGCTAGGGGTTTTCAGTGCTGGTTCGCACTCAACTTTGCTTGATTCTAGTATGTACTTATTTCCACATGCACAAAATATGTTGCATCAACACAGTTTTGTTTTTCATTATTTTGCTTATATCATTTTATTTTACTCATGCCCTTCACATTTAAGTCTTTTTTCTTCTCCAATCTGATGAAATTAATTAAAAAAGTTTAAGGCAATTTACTTCTCAGCTTTTTCAGTAGACCTCAACCCATGCCCTCCAGTTGAATTGTGAAGTCAGTTGCCTTAACATTTTAAGTTGACCTAACTGTTCTGTTTTATTACAACGTGGCTGTATTAGAGCACAGTAATCACTAAAATATGCAAGGTAGGAGCAGGACCAGGATTGGGCACCACTGGAATAAAGCACTGAGTGACAAAACCCCCAGTATTTGAATATTTAGCCTATTTTGAATGTTATATTGGATATTATATGTGCAGTTTCCTTTACTTCAAGTTATGTTTCCAAATCTGAATATTCAGCTAAATAAGTGGTTCTCAGCTCTGATCTGCAGTTTCATCTATTCCCGGCCTCGAGGCGCAATTACCTTAGTGAGTTGGGTTAGGTATTTAGAGGGAAGAGAATAGTTTAAACTGTGCAGGGCTGGGGGTCCCCAGGACTGGAGTCAAGAAACACTGAGCTAAAGAATGTGTGGTGATTGTGTTTGTGTCCATGTGTGTTTCAGAGTGACAAACTGGCCAAAGCCGTGTCTGCAGCCCACACTTTCCTGCTGAAGCATCCTGATGATGAGATGATGCAGAGGAACATGAACTACTACAAGAGCCTGCCAGGTGCGGAAGAACATCTCAAAGACCTGGAGACCAAGTCATATGAGGCAAGACAAACCCATACACATGCTTCTCACACATACACTTAAAGAGGCTCATAGCTTACATTTTTCTTGTGTTTTATTTTTTACCACTTACGACGTTTGGTATTGGTATTGGTATTATATGCCAATCAGAATTCATTTTTGCATGACCATTTTCCAGCCTCTCTTCATCCCTTAGAATTAAGTAGGCTGTTTTTGTTACTGTGATATATGTAAATGATCTCGGTTCTGATTGGCTATCTTGTATTGTACTTCATTCAAAATGCAGTCCAGGCTGTAAACACTCCTTATAACTTCAGCGTGAATGGATGGAGCTAAACTGCTGTAGGCTGAATAGGTGGATAAATGTAAATGAGTTGTTTTTTGTGACATCACAAAACCAATAAATTCAAAACAGGCTGTTTTGCCACTTAGTTTCAGTATATAGACTGAATAGACTGAAGAATAATGAATAGTATGTTCTGAAACAATGTTTACATACTAAATCAAACTTTATAAATCATCAAAAACTAAATTTTATTTAAAAAATCATGTGCTAAATCATGGAATCATGTTCTATATTTAATATTTTTGTTATTTTGCATAAAATAAGTTATACAGTGTCTATTTACAGTGTGGATTACAGTTATTCCACATTACAAGAATTCTGTGAACAATAAGTGAATAAAATGCTAAACACTATACTGTAATTATCTATTTAGATTAATATTTTTGTCAAGTTATCTGCATTGAGATTTGATCTCCACTTTTGAATATGATGAATTCTATATTTTAATTGTATTATAACTTAATTCTCAAGGCTATACAGCTTTCTAAGTGATTTTAGAATATAGTATGGTCCATACATCATTGTGGACTCTAATTTCATACTTTTCAATTCTAATTACACATTCCTAATGTCCTACACATCATATGAAACATTATATGAAGTTATAAAGAATCATTTTATAGACATTATAAAGTCATTATATAGTCAGTACCTTTGAGTATGTCTTAACTCAGTTTGAAGACATTAAAAACAATGTGCGCTGTAATTTAGTTAACGTAATGACAGACCCTAACTGATTGCGTTTTCTTCCACAGGCACTGTTTATTCGAGCAGTCCGGGCATATAACGGTGATAACTACCGCACATCTGTGGCAGATATGGAGCTGGCGCTCCGAGACTTCTTAAAGGTTTATGATGAATGTATTGCTGCCTCGGAGGGTCCCAGAGAAATCAGAGACTTTAAAGATTTTTACCCCTCCATTGCAGGTTGGTTTACACTTTGTCAGATAAAAATGCTATAAACTCTTTTCTATAAAGGCTCAGATTGTTTTATATCAGTCTTTACATATTGTTTTTATATGATCTGTTAACCTTTTAGTTTCATTTTAAAACTACTAATAATAATTTCATGGGTTTCTCCCAATTCTCACTCTCTTGATCTATAGATCACTATACTGAGGTTCTTGAACGGAAGGTTCAGTGTGAGAGCGATCTGACCCCCGTTGTTGGTGGATTTGTTGTGGAGAAGTTTGTGGCAACTATGTATCACTACCTGCAGTTTGCCTATTATAAATGTAAGTCAAAAAGCTCAATATATTGTGCACTTCAACCCTCAATGGAAATTAATGTGTTACATTAAGGCTTCCATTATTGCTTAGTGTGTTAATGTGTGTGTCTCTTGTCGTTCTCAGTGAATGACCTGAAGAATGCAGTTCCGTGTGCTGCCAGCTACATGCTCTTTGACCCAAGTGATGAGGTGATGAAGAATAATGTGGTGTATTATCAGTTCCACAGAGAGAAGTGGGGACTCAATGATGAAGACTTCCTACCCAGACCAGTCAGTATTTCATATTTTCATCAATACAGGCACCTGTACTAGGGATATGCATTCTGACTAGTTTTGACATTTGAGCAGGGAAGAAAAAAACATGCTTTTTGTGTATTTTTGTCTAAAACAATTCAAGAACATGAACAAAAATTTAGCCACTCACAGAAGTGTAAATGTGAAAATATATCTTGTTATTCAAAAATGACTGTGCAAGTAATAGAGGCAGACTTTAGGTAAAGAACTAATGGGCTAATGTTAACACTAAAGATGAACAGTGCAGTGGTATATATTGATAAATTGTGGGCTTCTGTTCACATTATTTTTTGTCTATGGATGATGTGACAACTGAGAACAACTTTGTTCATTGTTTTTGGTTATAGCTAATGCTAGCTAGAATTGTTATCCCAGTTACAGACAGTTTTTTTCCTTGCTAGCAATCAATCCAAAGGGCAAATCCAAAAAACAGAGTCGAAAAGAACGGGTAATACAGGTCATACACAAAATCAGGATCACAGATAGAACGCTCAGTAGTAGCAAAATGAAACAATACGTCACAAATAACTAATGCTAAAGCCCGGGCTTATAAGCTAAACTGAGGGAGTCACATGGTCAAAACACACAGGTGTAACACATCAGAATTCGGGCGAACGAGAACGCTGATAGGAGCATGTGGGGAGATCAGAAGTCAGCTGATCTCCCTGTGTATTCTGGGAGATGGAGTCCGTGTGTGTATTGGGGTTTGTAGGAAGAGTCAAAGTCATGTGATCTCCCAGAGGATTCTGGTAAATCGAGTCCGTTTCTTCCGCTTCGCTCGTGACATTCGTGACAGCAGACAGAAGTCAGATAGCTAACGTTACTGTTAGGAAGCTGAATATCACATCTATATTGTAGTGGAACACAGATGGATAAAAACACGAAAAGGGTTCAAACTGTTGAGGCTGAGGGAGGCAATGTTGCACTGCAGAATATTACATAGCAGGAAATGAAACACATGTATTTTTCTACTTGATTTACATGAGTAATTGTATGTTTTACTCGATTTTGTATGGCTGTTAACAGGAGGCAGTACGGTACCACAATCAGACGACACTGCAGCTGCAGATGTTGAAATTTGCCAGAGAAAAATTCCGGCAAGATGATGAGGTGAGCACAATAGAATATGCTTGTGTCCATGAGGATAATTATGTCAATGTTAACACTTACCTCGTAACAGGAATTGTTAAGGCCATGTTACCATCCTGTGTTCACTAAGAGAGAATGGAAATATTCACACTCTGGGTTTTGTTGTGCATCTTTTGACATTGTCGTCATAATATGTACTAAAACTGCAGATTTCTGCTATTCCCTGCTATTGTAGCCAAGGAAACTGCAAACTGCATATCAGAGTCTTCACACAGTTGCTTTAAACTGTGTCCAGTGATTTAACATAGGCTTGCTTTTTGTAGTTTCAGAAACCATATCTATAAAAATGGGCAAAAGTATGTTGTATAACTAAAACAGCAGCCGTCCTGAAGCCTGACTTTTGTCCATTTGTGTCCAGACTTTGGACATCAAGTATGTTGTGGCTGATAAACTACATTTGGTGTAAGGAGAAAAATATAAATCAGTGAACTGTCCCTTTAAGGTTGACACTGAAGTGATGAAAGCCAATAAATCTGAGCAGTGAAGACTTTTGGTTGCTGGTTATTCTCATCTAAAGTGTCAGTTGTCGGTTGAGGTGGATTGGGTAGATCATGCCTCTCTTGGTGCGTGCTGTAACACATTTAGCCACTGGAGTGCAGAGTGTGCTCATGTTTTCAGAACCAGCAGAACAGCACTGTCCTCTAGCGGCTGAATCCTGAACGTAGTCTTTTTTTAAACATGCAAAGCTAAACTGCTGTAAATACTTCAGCCCTGGCCCATTTTGTGATTACAGCTGTCTTGCTCCCTCCCCCTCTCTCTCTCTCTGTCTCTCTCTCTCTCTCAGGGAGAAGTTTTGGAGTTTCTAGATGAGGTTCTGGAGGCTGAAGAGGAATAGGCTAATGAACATTTTTTTGCACTGAAAATAACAAAACCAAAAAGGGAGAAAAAAAACAAAACTATGAACTATGAGCATTTCCAGTGTGAGTATGTTTGCTATATTTATTTCAGGTGACTGGGGGCCTTTTAATCTGTATCTCCCAAGCTTATGATCCACATAAACGCATTGACAATATTAGTACAATGCAATGTTACTGAACAATCACTGTAATTCTGAGGGACAAATCAAACTATGTCATTTGTTTATCTTTTATAATAAATTACAGTGTTTTGTATACACTGCAGTCCTGTGTTGTTCTTTTATGGTGAAAGTGTAAGTATATACCAATTCCTTATTATGTATTGTTATTCAAAAGAAGTTTTGCAAAATATATTCTTAGGGAGGTCTTTGTTGGCATATTGCGGCAAGAACACAAACTAATCATTCCTTTATTTAAAAGCATAACACGAAACACTGTCATATTGTATTGTGACAGATACAGTTACGAGTATCATTGGTTCTGAGGTTCAATGGAACTAATATTAGCTCATGGTAATGGTATCAAGGTGCTTGATTATTGACATTAAGTAAAGCATCTCTCATCATTTTTAACATTTTTATTCCGATCTGATGCAAAACACATTCCTAAGATTAAAGGGGAATTTCAAGGATTGTCTTAATATCTCAGCATAATTTAATTGCTAAGAAGTAAAAAAAAGTCATTCCAAATGGTTTGATATGAAATGCCCTGTATAATAGCAACTTACTGGGTCATAATTGTGGTTGTGATAGGAACCAGACATTTAAAGAGCCTAATACCTAATACATCTAAAAGCTTCCTCACAGGGAGTTATTACATTAAATAGTTATGAATTCATTGCCTGCTACCTAGAAAAGTTATAAAGTTATGATAGTTTTGGAAAGATTTTGGCCTAAAGTGTATTTATTCGTGGTAGAGAGCTACATGCAGAGTATTGTAAGGCAAAGTAGTAGAAGTAGTAAAACCAAAAGAAAACTAATTTTCTCAAGTTTACCACTATTGTACTATTATTAACATCACATACAAATAAAATGGCTGAATTTGTGTTGTAGATGACATGACACCACCACTGTAAAGAAACCTGAGTCAGTAAGTTTATCTACACCAAAACATTTCATATCAAACCACTCTGAATGACTGTTTACAACTTGATGATTGAATTATGCAGAAATTTGACAACTTGACAACTATTGACCAAGAACGACTGTAATATGACTAAAATCTCCAGAAGACAGCTGTGCTCTGTGGTGGAAGACACAAAATTCCTAGACTTGTGCTCAAAATCAGCAGTGCACACACTTGAGTACCCTGACTAAATTTAACAGCAAAAGACTAAACACTGGATCTTAACTTCAAACATTTGAATTTAAATGTGAATGTGGTCTCACACACACACACACACTCTCTTTTCATTTTTCTTTGCTGAAACGCTGACCCATGATTCTCTTTCTTTCCTTCTCTCTCTCTCTCTCTCTCTCTCTCTCTGTGAAATTTTCCTACTATGGTGTGATAAACTGCACAGATACTCCATGTTCAAACACCTTTAAATGAGCCTCTGTTCCTCTTCTTAGTGTGTGTGTGTTTGAATGCGACCATGAATGTTCTTTCTCAGCACTTTGTCATACTATTTAATGATCGCAATGTCTTAATCATGTATAAAAACAAGTCTACAAAGTACACTAGCTAGTCCAAGTACCAAAAATGTGATTTATATTTTTCAAATTTCATTTCCTGCTGACACCAGGCTAAGCTGGATGCACAGACACATACAAATACCCCCACCCAAATACACAAGCTCTAAATACTCCAAATAAGAGCAGGATTCAGCAAGAAATCCTAAAGTGATTGGATTTTATTGGTAACCGGTCAGTTAATTTGTCACAAGAATGTTCAGCAGTGTCAGATGGCCACATGACTCTGACTACAGAGATATAATGCATTGACCAGACCTCTGATGTTCTGATACATCACAGAAACATTTAAGAGAATGGACAAAATTAGACTTTAGGTGATAAAAGGCATCATTTCATATATGAAACAAAAATAACAGGAAAAATAACAGGATAAATAATGCAATTTGCTCATGTTCTTCTTTGAAGGAATGTTACTTGCTCCTCTAATACTAGCAGCCAGTTGGGAGTCTGCATAGTCACAAGCCGGTGTCAGGTATTTAGCGTCCTCCCAGACTATTGGTGCTGAGAGACCTACAATAGGAATTGGTACAAGAAACTGAAAAATATTTATGTGCCAATTCATATCTGCACTGAAAAATATATTTTTTTTAAGCAATACACCGTGATCATATTTCTGAACTATTGGCACTGTTGTTTTTGGGAGAGTTGTCTTTTAAACGCCTGTGCAGCCCAGAGCACACTGACCCAACATTCCCCAACAGACACCTACATTCTATTGCTGGCAGTTGACTTCATTCTGTTCCAGAAAAAGAACTGACAGGCCAAATGAACCAAGAAAAACATTTTAGAACAATGAGAATGGGAAGAACATTCTAGCATAGTGTGAATGAGGGAGAACATTCAAAAAGAGTATTTGGTTTACACATTATTACGGTACGTTAGAAGTTAACACCTCTACAAAACACAAACAAACCTTTTTTTTCCTAAGATAAAGGGAGTGGACATTACTGTGCAAAATATGGCATAGGATTAAAAGCTGTGACTTCTACTCTTGACGCTCTGTTTATTTGAATAAGGTGCAATAATGTTGACACTTAAAGGGTTCTGAAATAGGAAAACATCTCAAAGCTCTGTAAGTAAACAAAACCACTTTTTACCTGCACAGGAAATTTTGTCATAGAGCACCGTTGAAAAAGAAAGATGGCTAAGAATGTCAAAAGTACACAGATTTGCATTTTTTCTTGGCAATGAAATACAAACTTTTGTTTAATTCAGCCAAAGCATTAAACATAGTGTATCTATTTAGTCTGCATCAGCTCAGTGGTGTGTAGATTTTCTAAAGAGCTCAGACTAATGTTAGGACCCCTTCATGAGCTAGTAACTGAAGAATTTTGGGCCTGTTCACAAACACAGAATTTATGTGAGCAATAAAAATTAACATCAGAACATTTTTTTCCAAGTTATTCATTTTAGGTTCTTGCACATATAGTTCTGTATAAGGATTTGAGTAGGATACATAGAGAGCGTTCAGCATTATAGCAAATTATTCTTGTTACCATTTTTTTCTTCTAAAATTACTTCTAAGTTGTGTACTTCTAACTTAAAACACAAAACTTGAAGACAGCCATTGGATCACTGGAAACAGCAGATCTAGCACTCCACCTAGTATACCCACACTAAATACAGCTGATTAATAGCGTAATATGAAAAGCTCTACTACGCCGCAAACTTTGTTGAATTACAGCTCTTACAGAGCAAAAGTCATTGTCAGTGTCATGTGCTAACAGTGGAAAACAGCAGGATACTAATGCACGTTACATGCAAAAGGTTAAATCCATTCACCTGGCCCACAAAAACTAACCTATCTAAAGTTCTCAAATACATAATAAAAAAATACTGTCCATATTGGTTTTTTTTTACAGCCTCAAAACACTGGCTATTTTGTTGTGCAAGCCTTTAAAATTAATCACTAATGTGGATTTGGTCGACTGTTACTAGAAACGATAAAGCACATATGACAGAATCCAGTTCTGGCAGGCCACAGTTCTGCCTTTTCATTAAGCACAGCTGATTCAACTTCAAATTTAAATCAGGACAAACGCTAATCACCTGTAAGGAACCTAGTTTGACAAGCCTGTGATATGGTATAGAACACAATAATTACAGTAGAAACATATGTATTACATGTATTGGGAATTTTTTTTAAGGTATCAGTTGTGGCGAATGGTATTTCAATTTAGATTCCTAAAATATGCTGCCTACAAAGGCTAAGTCATAATCAAATGCATCCTTAATCCATAAGACAGTCCCAGAATGCAACGCAAGATGGATGGAAGCAAGCAGCAAAATCATCCTTGCTGAAAAAAAAATACGGCACAGGAGTTTATTCTAAGCTGATGCCTGCTAGTTTATGCTGGTCTGGTGCTGGTTTAACTGGTCACCCAGCATGGTCATGCTAATTAACTGACATACCAGCTTCCAAAACACAACCAGTGACCAGCATATTAACTTCCGTTGCTGCTGACCAGCAAACCAACATCCAAAACACAACATGTGGTGGTTTTGCCGATGATCACCCACACTGATCTGTGCTGTGTTTTTAGCAGTGATATGCCATTACACTCATTTTATTTATGATTTTGATCATTTTATATTGCGAAACAAGCTAGCTGTCCCTTCAGCATATTTCAAATGGCAATTAACTGACTGTTAGCTTAGCTAATGTGTTGAATTGTTATGTTCTTGTTGTGAAAGATCATTATCTAGGTAACATTAGCAGGCTAATCAATGGTCTCAGCTATGTGAGGCAGTTTTGGTTAATTAGCAAGAATCATGAGGATTCTTTGGTTCTTATCTGTAGCTAGCCTAGCTACTAAGCCAGCAATCTTCACAAACATACTGGTGATACTTGTGGCTGAGGTGTATAAAAACAACACAAGATGAACCTTGCAAGTTAAAGGAACAACAGATAATGTGACCATTCTCTAACTGAATTGTCTAAATAGGCTGTTTTTAATGTTTTGTTTTTTTTAGCTAAAATGCTACATACCTAGACAACTGCCTACGTAGATAGTGAGGAGAAACACAGCTCAGTAGGTTTGTTTTGTATCTATCAGTAATAATTTCAGTATTTACATTCAGTGTACTTTAATTATGTTGGTCAAAATATACTGGGAATGTGTGTTTGAGGAGATATAGTAATGCTTTTTTGGTTTGCTTTTTTCAAACTTCCATTTAAATGTAGAACAAGTGTACACCACCATGTCCTCCTATAGCTTAAGGTCCAATGCTGATTTAAAGCATTATGATAAAAAAATTATACAACACATATTTAAAGTATTACGACACTTGACAATGTTAATTCTTAACAGAGCGGACTCCTTTCAAAAACACCAAAGTTTTTCAAAAGTCAATCAGGTGAACCTTCATTTCCTCTCACCGGAATGTCTGCAGACACAAACTAGGCCTAACACCAATGTGTAACACTGAGACTTCCAGAACTCACAGAATCTAGCAGTCACTTTCACATGTCCACTGAAACACCCCTCATACTCTCATAGTCACACTCACTCACAAAAGACAAGCCTATACACACAGACAAATGTGTTAACACAGAAAAACATCTCCCATGCATGCACTGACCCACACCCAATGCATCTCAAATGCAGTCCACACTATGAAATTAAATTTACAAACCTAATCTAGAAGAAACAAAGCATCAAATATAGATAAACACAGCAAAAAAAAACAACATGCATGCTCTAAAGCAAGTATGAAAAATAGAAATATGTATTAACAAAGCATTGAAGCAATACACAATTTCTAGCTGCTATCACCCTTCCTAGTGTGGAAAGAGCTAAAGCTTCAAAAACTTGAATCCCCAGATTGTGTGTGTAGATTAGTGTATGTAGTTGGACATAGATCATAATGTTCAAACATGTATGTTGTTTGTGTAAGCTACGTATGTTAGATTACACAGTCTGCTGGAGCTCGATACATTGCGTTTGTCTGTTAGTTCCATTGAGCTGATAGTGAGAGCTCTTCTGCTGCCTCCTTTTGTAACACCACACACCTAAGGCCACACCAACAACAGCTGCTACTAATCCAACGATAACGGCTGCGATGGTTGGCCCACGACCAGCTACTTGGCAAGGGCCTACCCCACAAGCTCCATCCTCTGCTTTTTCCTGTTGATCCGTGTCTCCTTCCATCGCACTCTGATTGTCGTGGCTTTCAACCGAGATATCACCCTCTTTGGTGGGAATCTGTTCCAGGAAATGGCCAAAGTCTTTCGTTTCCCAAGAGACACTGATTGTGGGCGTGACCACATTGCTGACAATGTGTATCTCTTGAGTAGGTGTGGTGTCCAGAGGTGCCATGCCTGAAGGTGTGACCGTGTGTTCAAAACCCATTCTTTCTTGGCTGGTACTGACATTCTCAGGGGAAGAGCTGGGCGTGTAGGGCATTGGTCTTTTGTTGAAGGTCATGTCATCTATGCCAGCTGTGATCTGAGTGAAGCCGGTGAAAGAAGTAGGGCTCATCTCCACATCATTTGCCCTGTCAGTTACACCATGAAAGATCTCTTTAGATCTGTCGATCACATCCTTGGATTCCACCTCAGCTGGTCCCTTGGCCTCTCCTTCCATCTCCTCTATTCTAGGTTCCTCTGTAACTAATTCTTCTGACAGCTCTGTGACTCCATCAGATATCTTTCCTTTAGGCACATCAGTAACTCCTTGATAACCTTCCTCATAGCTGGGAAACACTCCCCCATAAGCCTTCCCTTCAGTACCTTCAGTCACACCCTCAGTCTCTTCTTCCTCTTGACGATCAGTACCTCTCCCAATGTCCTGCTCTTCAAATGTCTCAGATGTACCTTCAGGTCCTTTCTCCTGTTGGCCGTGGATAACTCCTCCCACACCTGCCTCTTCAGGACTGTGTGTCACAGTTTTAAACCCCTCCACCTTTGAATCATCACTCTCAGCATCCACTCCTGGTCCTGCCTCATCTGTAGACCCTGCACCTGCTTTCTCCTCCTCTTGTGGAACAGGGTATCCATCCAGCCATGATTCCTCCGTGCTGCTCACACTGTGACCAACAGGCTTGTCAGTCGGAGGTGGAGTTAGGTGTTCTCCATCATTTTCTTCTGTGGTTATCTCAGTCTCTGGCTGCCTGTCATCTGTTTTGGCTATGATGTAGTTCTCATCATGGGTGGGAGCTTTAATGGGTGTTTCTGTGGTGGTGAAGGGATGCTCTTCCTCCTCGAAAGCCTCTGAAGGGAACCAGAACATGTGTTTCTGGCTGAGCTGGGACACTGGAGGCTCTGTTACAGACACCGCAGGGTCTTCCTCATCAGTGACATCCTCTTCCTCTACCATTACGTGCTCGTCTTGCTCGGGCTCAGGCGTAGACTCTTCCTCTTCTTCATTGTCAGTGATCTCAGGCACCAGACTCACACGATGCACCTCCTCCAGGCCCTCATACAGATGATGGTCATCTGGGAGCTTGTCTTCATAGTCGATGAAGGCCTCAGCATCATCTGTAATACATTAAAAATACTTGCACTAGTGATTCTTTCTCAAGTGTACTATACATGAATTCTGATTTTAGAGAACTAGACCCAGGGAAAATGTCTTTACTATACTAATCTTAAATGGGTCTAGTCACACTGTCAAATAATCTTGCTCAATTTTCCAGCCCTCTAAATAAATGTTCAGAACAAAAATCATGGAATTTTGTGCTATGGCTCTAGAGATATTTAATTGTTCTAGAACCTATAAATATTGATTCCAACATCTCCCAGAAATCCTTTGCTCTATTTCAGAAGGTGTGGGCTGTATCAGCACTGCACAGGCATGATCAAACCCTCACATCTGCTGTGAGTCAATTAGCATCACAACTTCAGCAAAGATCTATGCTGAAAGACTTTGAAAGAGATATCAGTGAAAAAGTTGCTGCTGCTATATGGAACCCAAACTGTGATGAAACACATAATTTCTTCTGACAAACGTCTGCATGTGTTCAAAACACATCAGTATTTCAAGAATCATTTAAAGGTTGGTCTTTTGAACCAGCATAAAACTCAGACTGGAACTTCCATGGAAACTCGACCGAAACAGAAAACCCAAGCTAAAGGAAGACTATCTGTAATAATAAGGCCAACGCTGATTTAGCTACTAGTAAAAGTGCTCATTTGACAACATAATAAATTGTGTGTCATCTCTCAACAAAGCTACCTAAAATATACTGAGGTAAAATAGTTTTGCATTCACAAGCTGCTTTCATAGATTCACTGTGCATTTCCTTCTCATATTGCAGCTGCAGTTGACTCTCTTCTATGGCTTCCAATATGAGCTTCAATAAGTTTGTCTTTCACTTATCTTTCACTTATTTACAAGTTACAAATAACATACTAGTCATTTCATCATGCTATAGCAAAATCTACATAATGTTACTAAACTCTAAAGCTGTTTCAGAAGCCTACTACTAAATCCATTAAAGCCTGTCTCACCCTGAGAAAGCTTACTTATATGTTTAAAGAAAAGTTGGGTCAGTACTGTACATTTTCTCACCTTTGACGCAGAGCTGCACCAGGCCATACCACTCTCCACAGCTGTCACACAGCAGGCTGAAGGCTGACTCTCCATTAGGCAGAGTGTATCCTGGGTTACAGGCGTACAGAAGCTCATCACCCAGCTCCAGTCCTGTCTGTCCCTGCAGGTGTGTGTTAGGGAATGATGGTGGTGCTCCACATGGAGCCCCTAACACAGGAACAGGAAGGAGACAGTTTTGGAAATGGATGTGGACATCAAGGGAACATCTGTCCCTAGTTAAATCTGTAGGTAGTTTGTAAGTATGTAGCATATTGTTATCAAGAAGTTTATTTCAAATTACATGACTCTATATTCTATACTTGTTCTTGATTTATTATTTATTTTTCAACCTCTCTTGATCCCTTAGACCAGGGGTGCACAACTCTGGTCCTGGCCAGTGTCCAGCACAGTTTAGTGATTTACCTACTCAAACACCCGATTACACTTGTCTGTTAATTACCAGGTTTAGTGGGTGTGTTTCAGTAGGGAAACCTCCAAACTGTGCAAGTCCCTTCAGGACTGGAGTTGTGCACCCCTGCCTTAGACTGTTTTTGTTACTGTGCCTTTAAGACTGGTTCATATAAATGACCTCTGTTCTGATTGGCTGACCCCTTCACAGGTGCAATTAAGTATATCACATTGAAAATGAAAGCAGAATGGTGGAAATTTGGGGCAAAATGTTAAGTTTGGAATTAAATCCTCAAAGATGTCGGAAGAAATATACTTTAGCTAGTCCGTTCAGATGTCTGGACTCTCTTTAAGGCTACAATGATACATTTCCTTTCTGACAAATAGAATTAGCACCATGTTTAATTGTTTTCTCCATTTTCCATTCAGCTACAGACTGTCTACAGCTGAGTTGCCCAATCCTGGTCCTGGAGATCTACCACCCTGCACAGTTTAGCTTCAGCGCTAATCAAACACACCTGATCCAGGTAATGAAGGCCTTCAGGGGCATTGTGAGCATTAGAGCCATTAGAGTGTGTCAAATCTGAACCTGAGGGGTGGTAGATCTCCAGGACCAGGATTAGGCACCCCTGCTGTAGACAGTCTGGTCTACAGTAAAAACACTGTTTATCACTTCAACATGAATGGGCTGTAGGCTGAACAAGCACTTTTATGTAAATGTGTTCATGGTTGTGACACCATGGTTGTGACACCATTCAGGTTTAAAACTGACCTGTATCTTTTACACAGAATGTAGCCAGTTGCTCAGATGTCTCAGTCACATTCTCCACACGCATGTCCACAGCCCGTAAGTTCCCAGCCACGCTCCTGCACACTGTGATCCTGCAACAAAGGCAAAAGAGACGTAGCTACCAGGCAGAAAGTTACCCGAATGGCGCTTGTACTTGAATATAGTTGGAATTAAATACCTTACTCTTTACTTTCTCTCTAATTCTTTTCAGTTCTAGTCACAAGTCTTGCAATATGAACCTACAATTTAAGTTGTGTGCACTGATTCCATCTGTCAATAAGGCAGGGCAAGATAAGGCACATTTTCATACACAAGGTACACTGTAAAAAATGGCTCATCAGATGAACCTAAAAAAATTTCGTATGGTAACAAGCAATTGAACAAGTTTCATTCACCTTAAAAAAAAATACATTGATTGAAAGAATTGTTCATTCAAAGTATTTTTTTAGGTTGAAGAAAACTAGTTAATTTACTTGTTACCGCATGAGGTATAGTAACTGACAAGCCATTTTTTACAGTGTAGAGATTTAAAAATATATTAAAAATATTAAAAAGATCAAAAATGAAGTTAAATAACACTGCAAAAGTGGCTTGTCAGATCTACCTAGAAAAAATTACTTCATGCGGTAACAAGTAAATCACCTAGTTTTATTCAACGTAAATAAATACTTTGAATGAATGATTCTTTCAATCTACGTAGTTTTTAAGTTGAATAAAACTAGTTTAATTGCTTGTTACCACATGAAGTAATTTTTAAATAGATCTGATGAGCCACTATTCACAGTAAAATTTAACAAAGATAAAGTAATAAACATAGAATAAAAGAAACGTAAACTGAATAATAAAGTGCTAAAAGACGCAATGTGCAATTGCTTAAGGAGTCTGAAAGTGCAGAGAATGATTTTAGCCACATGATTGGAATTGAGTATTCTTAATTGATGTACAGTATTGCTTTTGTTCATCTAGACTAAAATTTTGCATTACATTCATTCAGAGTATTTATTTGAGTTCAGTAAAATCAGATACATTGATTTTTATCATGATATGACATTTTTAGGTTGAACTGAATGATTAAGAGGTGTTTTGGATTTAAATATCTTTTTGAATGACTATTTTACGTGAGTAGTCTTGGACTTTTTGTCACTACTGGTGAGGAAATTTGTGATGCATCATTGTAAAAAATATGAGCCAGTTTCTGCAAATAATCTGTCAATATCGATTGTCATATTGATATATTTAATGTTAACATCAATATAGACAACAACTCTCACAAGTCAGCATGTTGGCCACAGTACTTATTGGTACTTATTGCTACTGTCGTACAAAAACATGTAACAAAATATGTAACAGTCACTTTATAGAAGAAGGGAAATAATTTTCACTTAACATCTCTTAATGCAACTTGACTTGTTTGCTTTTTGCAAATTGATTGTCATGAAATGTTTGAGCAATATAAAGGGCACTATCAAGTAGAGAAAAAAATAGTCACACAATTTTATTATGACAGTGACTCGGATAATAGAAGGTAAAATGACCAGCAGCAACTGGACTGCAGAGTTGAGGTGATAATACTCCTGTCCTTCTGCTCAACTTATTACACTCTGTGCTACTCCGTGATGAGATGCTTACCCTATCTGGTGACTGGCCGCATATTCATTAAGAGACATGCACTGGCTTTTGTTCTCCACATTAGCAATGATTAGGGGAAAGGCCTAACACACTGCTTACTGGACACAGTGGTAATTATTTTATGTAGAAAAATTGAGCAATTTCATTTTTAATAATGGAAATGTTTTCCTTTATCATTTTTATAATAGGCTGATTACTGGCCATGTGCCTCATTATTGTAATGTGATTGTGTAAGACAGATTTAATGTTTAATTTTGTGTATGCGCACACACACTCACACACACACACACACACACACACATACACACACAGAAAGTATAACAGTGTCAACTGAGAAGTCACATCGTAATGTTTATCTAAGTTTAAATTCTGGGCCTGGTTTCTGTTTAACATGTATCTATTTGACATCATTTTTATGTGTGTGTGTGTGTGTGTGTGTGTGTGCATGCTCTCTGTGAGCCTATGTGTATAAAAGTGATAACATGGCAGATAACATATCTCAGTCGAATATCACACATTAACAAGGATAACAAAGTGTTTTTATGCCAGTAATGAAAGTATTTCATACCTTATTAACAGATTGCACCTTTGAAGGACATAGATCTAAATAGATCTATGTTGGTGGTTGGTGGTAAATCTAAGTTGGTGACTTATCCCACATTGTATCATTCCCTTGTAGAGTCTGAGTCAGAAATGGAGTGGATCATTGTGTGTGCATGTGTGCGTGCATTTGGGTGTGGGTGTGCATGGAGGTGTCAAGATTTAACTGCTGGGAAACCGGGGGGACCGAACATGAGTGTCCTCTTGGGACAGGGTAAAGTTACCTTGGAAATGCCCCATGATTGCGGATCTGCTGAAGAGTTCACGTAAAGGTCTATCTGTGTGCAAGTTATGTGAAATTTATGAGCCATCTGTGATGAATCTGTATGTAATCTAAGGGTTATTTTGATTGGACTGACATTCCTTTTGGGTGGACTCGCAGTTAGAATTCAGCAAAAGGTACATAAGGTCAACACCACTCAACATATACTCGCATTCCCTAAACCACAAAGTCTTGTGGCTGTACAATGTAGGTAAAGCTAGAAATATATCAAGAAAAAAAATCTTTGTTGTTAATTTGTGATTTTAGATCTTTATTTGAGCGTTTTGACAGTTTACAATTCACAAGGAGTAATAGAGTTGCAGTAAATTTACAATGTGATAATTACATTGGGATTTGGGCATTCAGGTTAAGGAATATACATTAACTGTGGAACAGCACAAGCAGTAAGTAAGTGCTAATGTATTCTGTGACAGTGCCTCCGGTCTTGCTCTCCAGGGGCCTGAACGCCTGAGGTGCAAATGGAAACTTTCTACCTGAATTCACAAAACACAGTCTCTCTCTTCCACAGATCCTGCTGTTATAATCAGATGCTCACACTGTGGTTATGATGAAGAGATATAATAGGTGTGAGAGCATGTGTGACTGGGTCCCTTACCCGATGCTGGGGCCAGTAAGCCAGCCTCTTGTGCAGGCGGAGAAGGCACACTCCACCACGGCATGATGGAGCTCCATTCCTGATGCCACCCGCGCACCCTGAACCTCGCATGCATGTGAAGCTGCCTCAAAGCTTGCATCTGAACCGTTCCGCAACTCCAGCAGGAAGACACGGCCTGTGAAGGAGATCAAAGTGATGTCTCAGCCAAAAATCAAGTTCACATGATTTCCTCCTTACTACAAATGTATTCAAGCAGCCATGACATGTTTGATAGTGCAAGTTTACTTCCTTGGCTTTACAGTGGAGCTTTGAGGCTAATGTGTCTAACAAGTAATGGAAGCTTACAGGTAACAATTAGCATCATGAAAACTGAAAGCTAAGTCATCACACACTAATCTCAAACCATGTCAAGTTGTTAAGTAATCTCAAATAGACTTATTTATGTGGTAATATGGCTATAAGACAAGGTGTTATCTATAAAATGAACAAAATCATGTTGCAAGGCTAAACAGCAGTAGTAGCAGCAGCAATCTAGCAATCAAACTTTTATCCATTATTATAGTTTACAGTATGTCATACAGTGTCAGAAACCACATAAACAAGTCTTTTTGAGATTTAAAAACTTAGTTTGTGATGAGTATGATGATTTCCCTGCTGGAAAAACAGCACTGACCAACATGCATTCCATACTGGTCTAAGCTGGTCTATGCTGATCTTGTGCTGGTTTAGCTGGTCACTCAGCATGGTCATGCTGGTTGATCAGCACACCAGCACTGAAAACATATGCTGGTTTTGCTGGTGATCAGCATATCAACTTCCATTACTGCTGACCAGCATACAGCATCCAAACCACAACATATGCTGGTTTTGCTAATGACTAGCCATGCTGGTCTATGCTGGTTTTTCTAGCAATGTTGCACAAAGCTAACTTTATGCTATAAGCTTCCATTACTTCATGCCATTACTCCATTACTTGCTGCAAAAAGACAGCTTAGATCAGCATGAATTCTATGTTGGTTTATGATGGTCTGGTTCTGGTTTAGCTTATGCTAGAAGGCTAATTGTTAGCTGCATTAGCCTTATTAGCTGCATTAGCCTTGTAGCTCCAGTGCAAAACTAAAGACAAAACTTCAGACTCCGTCTCCTGGCTGATCGACTACATCTTGAGTTTGTGGAAAAATTTGTATGTTTAATTTTTGGCCAAACCATTGTTTTTACATATGTCGACTGTATGTTTTGTGGTATCATTTTCTGCAGGATACAGAAAATAACATTATATTATAAAATTGAACACATGAGGTGTCTGAGAGAGAACGAAGAGGGAATTTTAGGTCCCCATGAAAATCAGAAGATGGTTTTAGCAAATTTGCAAATACAGTTATTGGGATGATAATTGGAATATAGGCTCAGCATGATGAAAAGGGAAACATTTACAATCTCAGGGGTAAATATTTATTCAGTTGAGATTGGAATAACGCATCAAGATGCTAATAAGGTCAAATGAGGGTAGCTGCTACTGTGGGTGCCAGCAGGGATGAGGGGATGGTTTTATTTTTAGGGCCAGGCCGTACAGAGTGGACTCTAACTTTAAATGACGGCAAACAAAAGGTAAGAACAAGAAGAGAAATGAAGATCAGCTCCAAACAGGACCTATGACTCCAAGGTGCGAATGTGAAGTCACATATACACACCAAACACCACAGTCAGCACCATTCTGTAACCCCACCCCAACCAACACTCACACACAGAGAGTCTCAGTGATTGAAAGAAGTCCACATTCGCACAAAAACAGCCACAAACACTGTCCAACTTCAACATCACTTTCCCATTTAGTCACAGTTTCACACACACAACTAAAATAGCAGTTGGGGGCAGTCATTGTGGTGAGCTATTCCAACAGTGTCTTCACTGACCCTTCTGACTAATTTCCACCAAAACATGAGCTCAAACGATGACAAGTTTTACTTTACATTGTATGAAATAACGAGTGTGCAAAGAGGCACTGGCTGTCTCAAACCACAATTACCATTTAGCCATGTGCATCTACTGAAATGGTACAATATAATACTTAATTCTCAACAACATGTTTTCTGTCTGATCTTATAAAATCTTGGTAGATTTCAGGTGACTATTTGCATTCACATCCCACATTTTTTGTATTTTTTTTCTTGAAGTCTATGCCACTTGTTGGTTTCATGCACAAAAACCAGTCAATATTCAATTCTACATGACCATTTCCAACCTTTCTTTATTCCTTTATATATTATGGAGCACCAGTAGATTTGATACAGGTTTAGAATGAAGGCTCAGACAGTGTGGTAAAGTATAAATCATATGGTTGGTGTCAGACAGTCATGAAGTCACTTGGCGTTGGATCATGGAGTAATACTCAGCTGACCCACCTTTTACCATGTCCGTCATCAGTCTTTTTTGCTGTTAAATGTCACAATGACTGAATGTCTGTGATGTAGATGTGAAGATATTAGGTGTCAGGAATGAGCAAGGTTTTCTGTAAGGGTAACATAATTGCTGCCTTATATGATTATACCTTACATCATGATTTTTTTGATGTTGTAGGTCTGTTTTAGATTGGTTATGTTGTTTTATACATAGGCTAAACACTTATTTATATTTTACAATACAATTAGTACCATTTTAGAATAGAATAGCCTTTTGAATAGGCTATTGTATTTAGCTGGTTCAATTAATCAATTAATTACTAAGGCATACTATTAAGACATAAATAGAATAGAATAGAATAGAATAGAATAGAATCATCTGTATCCAACATTAGCCACTCTCAGACAAAATTTCCCAGCGTCTCAGCCTCGTAAACCAACATTCTTCTCAGCTATGGCTGCCAGCATCGGGCTGGAATTTTGACACAGAGCAAACAGAGGCAGCTATGTGTGATCATAATTAGACATCACCTACACTAAAGCAGGGTGGCCCAGGTCTGCTCCTGAAGGACATGCTGCACATTTCTTTGGTTTAACACATCTCACTCAGCTTACAAATTATCATCCTAATTATATTAATATGAATATATTATATGAATTATATTAATGTTAGCTGTAGTAAAAAAAGAGAAACCAAACCGTGCAGAACTGCAGAGCTACAGGCCTAAAGTTACCAAATGACTGGCCAAATTCTAGCCATTCTGTTTACATTATGAAGCCAAATGAAGACTGAATCATAGGTGGAGGACAGCAGTGTACATCACAGTGTCCCACACACCAGTGAAGACACTGTTTATGATGAAAATGAAATATCTGCTGCTAGTTTACATGCTGTTTCCTCTCTACCCTGTGGAACATGTCCATGTTTTGTACAGCTGTTTGCAACATACTGAATTACTATTTGTATTTGCAAATATGTGTTGTATATATATTTTATATTTAAAGAACTATAAATATACACGGTAGGAAACAGCCTTCGCAACTTTTCTTAGCGAGGCCACAGCACACACCGCTGGAATGTGCACACTGCTCTCTCCCACATCCACACACATCCATACACACTCTTAAATGGAATAGAGAAACTCACCGTCCGCGCCCGCGAATCCCGCGCTGAACCACGCCAGGAGTGCGAGCAGGAAAGGAAGGAGCGCGAGCGCTCGACCACTCAGGAGTCCCATACCGCGAGGGTGCAGGTGTGGAGACGATAAAGGGACTTTGCGCGCTCCACGAGAGAGAGAGAGAGAGAGAGAGAGTTACCGGTGCGCGTGGGGGATAGGCTCAGGCGCGCGGGCACGAGCAGGCTTATGTGAGCGAGGAGCGCACTTACTGCATTACCGAGCTGCGGTGCGAAAACTCTCACTGCGCTGTCAGTAAATACGTCATACTGAAAGCGAGCGCAGGAGGAGTCCAGAGAGGAGAGGAAAAGAGGAGAGGAGAGGAGAGGAGAGGAGAGGAGAGGAGAAAAAGAAGAGAGGAAAGGAGGAGAGTGAGAGGAGAGGAGAGGAGAGGAGATGAAAGAAGAGGAGAGGAGAGGACAGGAAAGGGAGAGAGGAGAGGAGAGGAAGAGAGGAGAGAAGAGAAGAAGAGAGCAAAAGAGAGGAGAGGAGAGGAAGAGAGGACAGGAGAGTAGAGCAAAGGAAGAGAGGAAGGGAAGGAGAGAAGGACAGTGAGAGCAGAGGAGACAAGGAGTGTGAGAGGAGGAGGTGAGAGGATAGAAGAGGAGAAATGAGGAGAGGAGAGGAAAGGTGAGGAGACGAGGAGGATGAGAGGAGAGGAGGTGAAAAGATAGAAGAGGAGAGGAGAGGAGATGAGGAGGGTGACAGGAGAGGAGAGGAGAGGAGAGGAGAAGAGAGGAGAGGAGATGAGGAGGATGAGAGGAGAGGAAGGTGAGATGAGAGGTGGGGAGATAAGGAAGGTGAGAAGAGAGGAGAGGCAAGAAGAGGAGATGAGGAGGATTAGAGAAGGGGAGATGAGGAGGTGAGAGAAGAGGAGTTGAGGAGGATGAGAGGAGAAGAGAGGAGAGGAGAGGAAGGAGAGGAGAGAAAGAAAGGAGAGAAGAGGAGAGGAGACGAAGGGGGAGAGGAAGAGAGGAGAGAAGAGGAGAGCAAAGGAGAGGAGAGGAGAGGAAGAGAGGAGAGGAGAGGAGAGGAGAGGAAGAGAACAGGAGGAGAGTGATAGGAGAGGAGAGGATGAGGGTGAGAAGAGAGGAGCAGAGAGGGGAGGAGATGAGGAGGGAGAGAGGAGGAAGGTAAGAGGACAGGAGAGGAGAGGAAAAAGGCATGGAGACAAGGAGGGTGAGAGGAGAGGAGATGAGGAGGTTGAGAGAAGAAGAGATGAGGAGGGTGAGAGAAGAGGAGATGAGGAGGGTGAGAGGAGAGGAGAGGAGAAGAGAGGAAAGAAAGAAGAGAGGAAAGAATAGGACAGGAGGAGAATGAGAGGACAGAAGAGGAGAGAAGAGGAGAGGAACGGAGAGAGGAGAGCAAAGGAGACCAGAGGAGATGAAAGGAGAGTAGAGGAAAGGAAGAGAGGAAGGGAAGGAGAGGAAGACAGCAAGAGCAGAGGAGACAAGGAGTGTGAGAGGAGGAGTTGAGAGGATAGAAGAGGAGAAATGAGGAGAGGAGAGGACAGGAGAGGAAAGGTGAGGAGACGAGGAGGATGAGAGGAGAGGAGAGGAAAAAGGTGAGGAGACAAGGAAGGTGAGAGGAGAGGAGAGAAGGGTGGGGGAGTCAGAAGCTCTGGACTGTATTGGTCATGTTCGGTGATGTAGTACTGTGTTGTAGAGCAGAGCACATGGAGCTCCACATTGCGGCCATGCATATAACACTTAAGGACACACACACACACACACACACACACACACACACACACACACACACACACACACAGAAGAGGAGTTTGGTGGAGGTTTATAATAAGGGAACAGGACACCCAGAAATGCATAGCTTCTATTGTCCAACTGCAGATAAACTCTGTCTCAGATGTATGTGTACGTGTGTGTGTGAGAGAGAGAGAGAGAGAGAGAGAGAGAGCGAGGGAGGGAGAGACAGAGAGAGAGCATGTTTCTAGTAGGGGTAAGAGAGAGGACTGCACAAGTAGGGTCTGTCTGAAAATCTTCTGATAATATTTGCTGAAAGAGCAGAGCTGTGTGTATGTGTGTGTGTGTGTGTGTGTGTGTGTGTGTGTCTGTTTGTGCATGTTTTGGAGGAGTGTATCACTTTATCAAAGCTAACAGTCACACTGCTGCATAAAGAGCAGTCCACATGTGTTATACACACACACACACACACACACACACACACACACAGACACACGCAGACAAACACACACACACACACACACGCAGACAAACACACACACACACACACGCAGACAAACACACACACACACACACACACACACACAATAAAACCTTTTCGTTCCAAAATATTACTTTATTTGCTTTAGTGGTGTATTGTGTTGACTGATTCTACATTGTTTTAACAATGTTTTAACAATACCGATAGTACATAATCAAACAAACTGAGTAAATGTCAAAGACTTCATAAGCAGATCCATCAATAATGACAGCCCACAGCCGTATATGTCCCTCTACTGGCGCCCTCTGCTGTTGCACTCGAGTAGAACAACATAACACATGTAAATGAATATAATTCTCTGACAAACATCTTTAAAGAAACAGTAAAAATACTGTGTATTTATACAGGAATGTTAATTGTAATTTTCACAGATAACAGAAATTTGATTGCATTTTTTTTCATACTTTTAAAAATTCCTGCCAACAGAGCAGCCCCAATATCCAACCCTTCTCCGAAATATACACATATACACGCGTGTGTACGTGTGTGAGTGTGGGTGGGTGAGTGAGAGTGAGTGAGAGATAGAGAGAGAGTGAGTGAGAGAAAGAGAGAGAATGCTGTAATTCACAGAAATGTTTTCCCATGTGGCTCACATTCCTTAGAACATTTTGTAATAGCAACTGTAAAAAATAAGACACATTATAATGATCTCAATCATTTAATCAGATATCAGACATGCTATACGTTCTACGGGGATTTGAAAGTTGTAAACATTTTTATATGAGCACCAAAACAGGCTTAACTAAAAAAGGCCAAGTGTTCCTTCCACCACTTAGACAGAACATCCCATCAGCTTGTTAATTATGCCTTATAATGGATTATGTTGATTAACCTAAGTGTCTCGAGACAGGAACAGTCGTGGAAAATACTTAAACATCATAAATAATACAGAGAAATAAATGCTAAACGTGTTGCCTGAAGGCTGCTATCAGTCTTCATATGCCAAGTACTGTCATTTCTTTCATCACAGCCAGGTGTTGGGTGAGGAGTGAAGCACAGCTCCTCTGAACAGCAGCAGAGAGGAGGAGAAGGAGGCGATAAATGTAATAAACACACACAATAAATTGCGGTCTTTACAATAAACTGTACAAACTATGTGAAATAACATGGCAGTTCACAGAATATTAGGATAACGCTGTTTGGTGTTTGGTATTAAACGCCCGTGTGACATAAAGGCCAGACAACGCTGTACTGACCCTTCATTGACCCTCTGCGTATGTCTGTGAGGCCGCTGTAACGCGCTCCGTTCGTCTGAACGCAATCAAAACAATCAACCACGCGGGCTTTTCCCGCAGAAATGACGTCAGAGCTCCGCCCACCAATCCGCTCGCAGCCCGAGTGCAGGCAAGCTTAAGCTGGGTTTTGCTAATGCGGAGTCGAACCGCAGGCTGTAGTGTTTATTTTCACGCGCCTCATCTGAAGGTTCGGCTCGCGCCGCGGCCGCGGGCAGCGGAGGAGTTCGCGAGCGAGCGGAAACGGCGGAGCGCGAGGCGGAAGTGAGGTCGGCGCAGCGGCAGTGCTGCTCCCGTCCATGTTATTATTGTTGTTTTGACTGGGGGATGGTTGGCGGCGGAGCGCGCGGACGGCGGCCAGCCCCCCGGATCCCTGCCTCCGGTTCCCAAACCACGCACGCGAACGAGCCGTAGTAGGCCACACGACGGACTCGCGCGCCGCCAGGCTGCGGGGTACCTCCTCGAACGAACGCGCTCGGAACGCTGAGCAGAAGGAGCGGAGGACCGGGCTCAGCCCGTCGTCGTCGACGCCGTTTTGTTGGTGGTGGTGCTGCTGACGCCGCTGCGGAGATGAACGGCATCGCCAAGGGCAGGTTTGAGGTAAGACAGCGCGAGAGAGGCCTGCGGGGCGCTCTTATTTTTAAGCGTGCGCGAGGAAAACGGACACGGGCGGTGGCAGCTCGCGTGACCGACGATATGTGTCTGTTTGTGTGTGTGTGAGGGAGAGAGAGAGGGCGTATGTATGTTTATGTGTGTGTGATTGTGTTTGTCTGTGTGCGTGCGTGTGTGTGTGTTTGCTCATGGGCGACGTGGGTGTTTTTACGTGCCGTCGTCGTCGGTGGGCTTTTGTTCGTGAAGGGTAATCCGGTACTAACGCAGCACCGGCTGGCTGGCTGAGCGTGTCAGCGTCGGGCGCGAGGCCCGAATCCGTTTAGCGCTGGAATTGGCCCGCGCGCTCCTTGGACTTTAGATCAAGCTGATACACGCGCGCGCGCCCGTTGCGCGTGATCAAGGCGAGCAAAAACTAGCGAATGCAATGCAGCAAATCAGACTGATCTTGTCAACTTTAACGTCTGCTGAATGTTGAGGTAAAACAAGCCTTATTAACTGCGCTGTGAGAGACACAGTCATGTTATTTGGTTCTGCTGCTTATTGCTGTTTGTCCGTCTGTCTGTGAACGTGCGTGATATATCCAAAAGAATCCAGACACCCTTCTAATGAATGAATTCAGCTACTTTAAGGTGCACCTACTCCTTTGCCCACATTCAGCTTGTACATTTTTATGTACAATGGGATGTAAACGAGCCTAAGGTCACCATGTCCAATGCCAGGCCCCTTGGCTAGAAGGCCATAAAGCCCCTCAGCTCTGGGCAGTGGAAATGGATTCTCTGCACTGACTAAACACCATCCAGTTTACATGAATGTTTACATTTATGCATTTGGCAGGCGCTCGGGAGTGACTTACAGCTTAATCATGTTGAAGATGTAGGCGAACATAGCTTCGGGAGTCCTGCCCAGGGACTCTTATTGGTGAAGTTTGGTGGGCAGGCCTGGGTGTGAAATCAAACCCTAGTCTGAAGTGTGGAGGGCAGTGGTATAACCCACAATGTCTACACCGCTACTCAGCTCTGTCCAATACACAGAGTGCTGTTGCATGATTAGTTCTGAATCTCAAACATCAGTATCTGACCTCCTAATGCTCTTGTGGCTGAGTGCAGTCAAATCCTTACGGAAATGTTCCAACATCTAGTATCGTGGTTCCTAGCCCTGGTCCTGAAGTACCTCCTGCCCTGAACGTTTGGGTGTTTCCATTAAACCCAACACATCTAATCCAACTAATCAGCTCTTAACCAAGCCCTTCCTGAGTTGAGGCGGGTGTGCTGGGCAAACCCTAAAATATGCAGGGCAGGGGGTACTCCAGGAGCAGGCCTGAGAACCTGTGATCCAGTGTTACTGAAGCAAAGTAGGGTGCAAACTCTCTATTAATATCCTTGATTTCAGAAGAAATGTTTGATGAGTAGGTGTCTATAAGCTTTTGGACATATAGGGCAGGTTTCCAGACAGGGATTAAGCCAAGTCATGGTCTAAATTTTCCTTACGATGGAAAATCTCCATTCAGAATCCTTTATAATCCAGGACTAGGCTTAGTGCCTGTCAGGAAAACTGGCGCATGGTGTACTAAAGCAGTCTTTAGTGCTTTAGTACACCAGCTTATCCAGATTTGAGATGGGAAAGTGTATCTGAGACTGAGGTATGTGGTGTAACATGTGGGCCTGTGTTGTAAATATGGCTTTAGGGAGGCAGAAGTCAAAAAGGTGAATATGGATCTCTCTCTTTACGCATTCCCAAGGTGTTCTCAAACAGTGATGAAGCCCCCATCAACAAAAAGCTTCCCAAAGAGCTCCTGCTCAGGTAAGCAATGTCCAAGACCTGCATAATTGAAGGCACAATCCACTGTCTGGTGTCAGATTAGATTGTAATCTAATATATATGTGTTGCTATCTCTGGTTTTTCTCAGGATTTTCTCCTACTTGGATGTGGTTACATTGTGTAGGTGTGCCCAGGTGTCCAAGGTATGTCCCTCCAGAAGATATGATTCAGTAGGATAAAATGGCATGACCTCAAAAGGAGCAAGTTTAACCAAGACTGACCAAGATTCCTTCTGTTTTTTTATTTCCTCTTTTCAACTGCAAATAAAAAGGCATGGAATGTTCTAGCACTGGATGGAAGCAACTGGCAGAAGATCGATCTCTTCAACTTTCAGACAGATATTGAGGTGAAAGGGCGGTCATAAACTGCTCTGTGTGATGTGTAAAGTCTATGTGAGGCAGAGTGTTAATGTCGGTTGTTTGTACATTGTTGTTTGTCTGTGTGAAGCTGGTGTTTGGGCATCACATTCCTTGTTGTGATATTTGTGTGTGCTGGGAATTGTCACTGTGTGTATGGGATTAGTACTGGGTCAGTAGGCTTTGTTACTGAATCCATAGACTGTGACGTCATCTCTGATCCTCCCTCTCTCTCTCTCTCTCTCTCTCTCTCTCTCTCTCTCTCTCTCTCTCTCTCAGGGGCGAGTGGTGGAGAACATTTCAAAGAGATGTGGTGGTTTTCTGAGGCAGCTGAGTCTGAGAGGCTGTCTCAGTGTGGGTGATGCCTCCATGAAGTGAGTTCAGGCTTTTTTTTTTTCAGCACTTAAAACATGAATGGTAACATTTTAAACAGCCCTTGTCAGCTCATATTTGCCTACATAAGCATATATAATAAATTTATCTGTCCCACTCACACATAAAGTGACAGTGTAGATAAGTAGACAAGTCAAGATGTAAGTAAGGCTCTAACTGACAACTGTTGAGGATTTTTTTTCTAAACCATTTGTTGTATTGCTCTTGCCTGTAATGTTAAATCTGTTCCTTTAACAGTCACTGCACAAAGGACTTTAGTTTAAGCATACCTGTATTAATAATTATGAAAAATATTAAGCCTGAAATATGAAGTAGATTGTTGTAGTTCTGGGAAATGTATTTGTTTACTGTACTTGTTGGTTTGTGGACTGAGAGGAAGCTTTGTGTCTCAGTTATGTCTTTCCAACCCATTTAAAACTGCTTCTAGGCAGTTTCTGTGTTTTAATGCTATTGACATCTGTTGTGATCAATAGAATTCCGTTATGCAGGGCTGAACATGATGTGCTTATTGTCGACAGGACTTTTGCCCAGAACTGTCGTAACATAGAGCAGTTGAACCTCAATGGCTGCACTAAGATCACAGATTCCACCTGCATCAGCCTCAGCAAGTTCTGCTCCAAACTCCGCCATCTCGACCTGACTTCCTGCGTGTCTATCACCAACCACGCACTCAAAGCCTTAAGGTGAGTGTCAGTTTTTCATTACATTTCATTCTTACAGTGCAGGAGGAACCCTATGGCATGGAGTTCTTGCATCCTTGTACCTTGTACCTGTCCATCAACAAATAAGTGACTGCCAAAGATCTCCTTTCATCACCAATTTTCATCACTATCACCATGACAATGTTTGCATGGCTGCATGCTGCCATCAGTCATGTTCTGTTGTTTAAATGTCATTGTTTCATTGCGGTTGTTGTAGCTACAGTGAAATTGGCTAGTCGATGGTTGTCAGGCTTACTATAGCGATGTGTCTGGGATGTAATGTTTTCTAGCTGGTCCTCCCAATCTGAAACCAGAGCCTCCTAACATGAAGTTTGCCATCAAGGTGGCAAATTCAGCCAGTGGGCCTGAAATGGAGCTAGTTAAAACTAGGTGAAGTCATATTCATAGTATTCGATTACATCCTTATGAAGACCTTATCGCCATGTTGGTAGGCAAGCTGGACTCTGACTGTGCTCTTGTCTCCTCACTCTTACTGCAGCGACAACCCTGCTGGTAGATAAAAACCAGGCAAAATAGACCAGAATGGCCACAAAAAAGATGAAAAGATAAAGATGCTTTAGATGCAGTCTCCAGGAAACGCTACAGGGTGAAGACTAGCTAGTTTGGTGGACTCTGTGGCTACCAAAACTTCCAAAGCGTTTAAATAATAAACTCATACATATATATCATGTTCATGTCAGTTTCTTATTTGCCAGCTTCTCATTTGAATTTTCCGTTCCACCTTAAATGCTGCTGCTGCTGCAGCTACAGTGAGGTGTGCTAGTTTCGGTTTCGGAAGCGAAAGTAATAATGTAGCAGGAAATTTCGGCCATTTAGATTTTAGCTTTCATTTGTTATAAGTACAGCAACCACTCAAATGAAAAAATTAAATACACTCACACACTGGTTAATTTAACATTGGTTAGCTTTTAAAAATGAGATTTAAAAAATGTTTAAAGAATGTGTTTTACTGCCTTTGCTGGATCAGTTATGATATCTCATTACTACCACCACGGCACTGCTGAATGAACTTAAAATTGCCTATCAAAATGGTGGCAGCGCAACTGTGACGTCATAGGAATATTATCACCAGAGGAAGTGAAGAGTTGAATGGGGTGGTGAGGGTCATGCTTGTTGTTAGCCTTTCATTAGTAGGTGTAGGACTGCTTGTTTGATTGTCTGAAGTGATCTTGGTATATGTGAGCTTGTCTCCATCCAGGCTTTGTGTGTGTGTGTGTGTGTATTTATAAGAGCAAAAATTAATATGATGAGTATTTCACAACACTAACATATTGTCCAGTACATATATTAAGAGATGACTAATGTGGCAGTAGTTAGTATTCACAGAAATGAATAGTTAATTGGGTAAGGGAAGCTTTTCATGTGTTCAGTAACATTTTCCAAAAAGTATAGTCTGATTTTCAAACGCTGACCTCTAATGATTTTTGAGCTTGATGTTGCACTTCTTTTTTGCCTGTCTGCTTTGGTAATGTTCAGTTTGTCCTACTGTTTTTGTTATGGAATAGTCAGTCATTTAGGTTAAAAGCTAACGCATGGTTTATTAGATCAAATTACCAAACCTCCTGCTGCCAGCTTCTCCCGCTATCCTAGGAGATTCCACGATCCATTACACAACATCCCAGCACGGCATAATCTCCTGGTGTACTGCCACATTATTTAATCTCTTAACTCCATTACTAATTTATCAAAGGCAGAGTGTAAGTATTTTGAGATCTTGCGGTCAAACAGGAGAATTTAGAGGATTCTCTGGCTGTAAGGAGCATTTTAATGGGTTTTGAGAATGATTGACTGACATTTCTTCGACTAGTTTAAATGCAAATCAGCATTATCTGTCTTTCTAACCTTTGGAGAGTTGTAATATGACTCACAAACAGAATGTAGCCAAACATAGGTGAATGTTTAGCCTAAACAGAGGCTACAGCACAATTATTAACTCTAGCAGTGGTAAACTTTGTGGATACCTGGGGCGGTGACTGCAGAGGTTTATGAGCATTGTTGCTTATGTAAACATGACTCGTGATGGTTCAGCAGTTTCCACGCTCTTCAGTCTGAGTGTTGCCAAATACAGATATTAGACACTCAAGTGTATTATTTGTGGTAATGTGTACTATGAAATGTTATCGTACTAAATGTTTTTGTTTTCTTCGTATTCTTGTCATTTTAATATCTGAATCTTCAACCGCTGGATGTCAGATTAAACATTAAAACAGCAAAAATGGCAAATTAATTCTAACTAGAATAAATATCATTTAACATTCGATTCATACTTCTGTTATTAATGTTAATCCTAATTAACGCTATTTTTCTGTTATAACTTAATGTGTAGTATAGGGCATGACATGGTAGTTGGAAATGCATACACAAAGTAACATAAATGGAGAAAAAAAAGCAAACTTTTGCTAAATTTTGAAGCCTTCTTCATAAACTTAATTGATGCTTGTTTGTTTATTTACAGCATATATGTATCTTTCAATGGCCTTTGTTCTAGATAGCCTTCTTAGCCAGTTAACTTTAAAATTAGCTCTGCTTTCCTGAGGAGAGTGTTAAAGCAACTGAAGCGCGTGTGGGATTAAAAGTGGGTATGTAAATGTGGTTGATAGACTGGAAAATTTAAATCAGCAAAGCACGGACATGTTTATGAATCACTGTTTACCAAAGTTAGCTGACTAAGCCACAGGAACAGATTAAATCAGTTTATCCAAAATAGAAAAAAATGTTGGACCAAAATGGTGGACAGTTTTGAAAAGAAGAGATGAGGATTTATTTTGAAGATCACAGGGAAAAGGAGTCACTGAACATTTTGCTGTTGTGATTTTAAGTTGGTAAAAGCAGTTTAAAAAGTAAAAAATAGTAAAATCAGAAGACTTTATTAAGGTTTAGCTACTCAATATCATATAATAGCAGAGCAGGCCAAACTGTTTCAATTGCAAATAAAAGTTCTGTATTATCTTGTGAAGAACATTTCTGCTTTTTAAGTATTATTTTATTACTATGTTACTATACTACTTTTTTTTCTTACACAGCCACAGGCACTGAATGAAACTATAAGATGCACTATATAGAATGGTGCAAAAGTTAGAGACCACCTTTTACTGATTTACAGTCGAACCAACCATTGTGTACATATTATTAATTCTTCAGGAGATGTTTCTGAGGATATTATATGTAAGATTGTACACTTATATGAGGAGGGGAAAGTCAAATGAAAACAAGTTGACAACAGTTTCCAAAACTGGATAAAAATGATTAAAAGATGTAGAAAAAATGGAACTTTTAACCACCGTGCAAGACCTGGTGTACCACCAATACTGTCCCCATCAGATAAACAGTAATTAAAGCTTTCATCTTTGAGAGAGAGGAGAAAATCAAGCTCCGTTCATGCTTCAGATCTAAAAGATATGTCAGTCTTTCTGTCCATCCCTCAACTGCGAGAAGACAGTTTAAAGCTCTGAGCTTAAAGGATGTGTAGCTGTCAAGAAGCCAAAATAGACAAACAAACACAAAAAGAAGAAAATGTGAAAATCGAACAAAGAAGCTGCTGATGTTCCCAGAACAATGGACTGGCCACTCTAGATTCCAGACCTCAACATCATTGAATGCTCCCTCACAGAAAATGATTACATGAAATGGATACAAATATGCTGCCTGATGTCTAAGACAGTAGTTTTGTTGCCTAAAACGTCTTGTTAATCCATTTATTTGAATCCGTTCATGCCGGAGGGATACATGCAGGTCATTGTGACCCAAAATAGTACCCAAACAGTACTGATTTTTCCAGATTTATCACTGTTTCCCTCTGGTTCCAGTCACCACCATTTTAAAGAATTTGGAGTCTGTAAATTTCTCTACCATGAGCTATTTCACATCAAACCACTTTGAATGACTCAGAAGAAGAGTTCCCCTTTAATGGCTGTTGTAACTGGTATTTAAATAAAGGGTGGTCGCTGACTTAAGCATAGTACTGTATGTGGAATATTTGTGGTCTGTGTGTGTTTTGCTCTTCATTAGTTAAATAGCAATGACTTTACCGCATTCTTTTATGGTCACCATTTTTTAATGCAGCTGTTTTTGTCTTTATTGTTAAAGTAAATAAACAATTTTACAGCATGTTAATCATTAGTATTTTTTCACCCCACATTTCTCTGTTTGATGAATCGCTTGAATGATTAAAAAATACTCAAATCATGTAACCAGTTACCTAATGTAGCTAATTTTTGTCCTTTGGTAATTCTCTGAATCTTATAATAATATACAATGGTTTAATGTTTTCATTTAATGTACCTTTAAGTGTCATCACACTGCAGTGATCAAATTTGTTTTAGTAATATTGCTAACAAAGTATTACAGAAACAAAACCTTTAGTATTTGACTGGTTGTATTCAAGTAGAAGAAATTAGTTTCATTCACATTTGTGTATTTTTAATGTTAATGTTTTGTTTAGCTTTTGTCTGCTTAGAATTAATCTAGGTGTGTTTTCAGTTGGTCTTGTGTGTTGTTTTGTCTATGTGGTTATCTTACATTTGATTTATGGGTTGTCTGCATTTCAGTGAGGGGTGTCGGATGCTTGAGAATCTGAACCTGTCCTGGTGTGATCAAATCACACGTGATGGCATTGAAGCACTCAGCCGTGGCTGCACTGGCCTCAAAGCACTGTTTCTTAGAGGCTGCACGCAGGTACACATACACACAAAGCCTTCAGTGATATGTTTGAGGATAGTACGGTATTTCTTTCACAGAAAACTGTCAAGTTGTGCATGCTTGAGCAGGTGTGTGTTTTTCAGCTGGATGATACAGCACTGAAGCACCTTCAGAAGCACTGTCCGGAGCTTGTGACAATCAACATGCAATCCTGCACAGTAAGGCTTGAATGTGTTCTTGCTAGGGATTACGTTACATTGTAAAACAGAAGTTAAAAAACCCATTTGAAGTATGTCATTTTTTTCAGAGTGAGAGTACACGGGGTTCATTATAAATTAGTGTTCATACATACAAACTTCAGTCCATATGTACACTGCCCAGCCATCATGATCACATCACCACTGAAGATTTACTTTTTTGAAATTGCAACAAATACAAGGTGAAAAGGCCAGAACTTGTCTACCTTCATGATATGCCATTTTTCATTGCTATTTCACATGGCAGTACCATCATATCTGGAATGATGAGGGCTGCAGAATCCTCCCTTAGAGGTGTGCAAAGTTTCCCATCCCTTCTTTTTGAGTCATCAGCTGCGCAGCATCCGTGTCCCTAATGCACTTGGAGTAGAGTACTGACCTCTCTAATATTTATGGTCTGTGTAGGAGGGCCATAACCAGCAGAGTCATCAGGAAGATTGGACTTAATTAATTAATGCAGACACAGAGATGAATCTGTTTATATCTGAATCAGTGTTAAACAGAGCTGGTGGACACTATGTAGATTAACTCTTAGAATTCACAGTTGTAGGGAAGGAAAGCCTGGTCGGCTCCTGCCTTTATTGTTCAAAACGTTAACATAAATGTTTACAAAATAAAGCCCTACATTTTCCTAGTTTGACCCTTTAAAACCATTCATAATTCCAGCCTGAAGCCCAGCTGTTTCTTCGCTGTTGCTCTGTCTCTGTGGCTGTAGTTCAACTATAAAGACTCCATTTGAACAACAAACAAATTGTTTAAATACAGCTTTTACATGTGAAAGTTCCATTTGATGGCACTCCTGATAAAGTTTTTTCCAGCTACTGCTGTGGTGAATTTGTCCATCAAAGTGTTTCTTAAATAAGCACAAAGATGCTGAAAATATCAGTAATATCCAAAACATTAGCACTTAGGGACTCCCCTTCTCAGTGCTGATCTATGCATAAATCAACAAGCAGCAAACTAACAAATACAACAGCAAAGCATAAAGCTACATTTTCCCTCGAAACAAGATGTACCATAGTGGTATGAGAGTATGAGGGACTACAATCATGGAAGAATTGGAGCCTGTATGTCTCATTCGTCTGAACATGCAGTTACATGTTGCTCTCACTGGACATTAATCATTAAAATTAAAATCTGTGTGCATTTATGTGAGTTTCAAGTTTAGTTTATGTTCCCCTGCATTTGCACAATGAAAATAATGTTATTGAATTATTAAAAGCAGTGTAAACACTCTGATGAAGGTTATTTTGTCCACTCATATAGCTATGAAAAAAAAATCTTTCTAGAGATAAATTGTGATTTGCTAATTATTGTGACTAATTGCAATTAACTCATAAAATCATGTGATTAATTGCAATTAATTAATTAATTTATGCCCTATGTTAAGTAGAAAAGGAGAAATTTGTAAAAAGTTATAAAAAGTTATCATTGTGCACACAGTCTTGTTTTGTGGAAAGAAAAAAACAGTTTTGTAGTGTTTTTGTCACTGCTTAACATCAAAGCAAATGGGCTGCTTATACATAATGTAAATCGGCTGTAATGGTGGAATTCACTGTGCAATCAAAGGTAATCGTTGAATTACATATGTAAATAGTATAGGAAAACGAGTTCAAGTGGTTTATATGGTAGTGTCTTTGCTTCTGACTGTAAGTACAGTGGGCTTTAAAAACATGGCAGAGATAATGGCAGAAACATTGACATGGCTTGTTTGTGTCCTACAGCAAATAACAGATGAGGGCTTTGTGAGTTTGTGTCGAGGCTGTCACAAGCTGCAGATGGTATGTGTGTCTGGCTGCAGCAACATCACAGACGCCTCTCTGACTGCGCTCGGCCTCAACTGCCAACGGCTAAAGTAAGGCTTTAGACACACACACGCGTCCATCGCGCATACAAACACACACACAGTTTCTCTGATGCACATTTTTGAATTTGTCAGGATCCTGGAGGCTGCCCGCTGCTCTCATGTGACCGATGCTGGTTTCACTGTTCTAGCGAGGGTGAGTCTATACAAGCAGACATGCACACTCACAGACTTTCTAGCATTAATTTTCTAACTGATGTCTTAAAGGCTAAATGAAAAACAGAAATTGAGGAAATTTCCATTTATCGTGTACCTTTTTGCTTTTTTTTCAGAATTGTCATGATTTGGAGAAAATGGATTTGGAAGAATGTATTTTGGTGAGCTGAAAAGCAGTTACATTTTTCCCTTAACAGCTGTTTATATATGTTGGTGCTGTCCATGTTATTGTGTAACAGTTCACATATTTTTAGGTTTGATATTATTTTCTCTATCAAGATTCAGTTAAATTTTTATGTGGTAATTCTGTAGAGCTCTAATGATACGTTGCACAGATTTATTTGGCTCAGAAAAAAGACACATTTGTTTTCAAGACAAAAGACTGCAAAGTAGCATAGTGTAGTGTAGCAACAATGTGTTATGAACAAAAACTCATTTCACACAGTACTGTGCAGAAGTTAGAAACCCTTCAGTTATTTAATTTCAAGTCAAATGGCCATTAAGTACAAGTTATTCATTTTTCAGCATCAGGGGAAAAAGAAATAACAAAAAATTACTCAGAAGCCTCAACAACTAAATATAATAAAAAAAAGAATTCAGTAGTTTCTGCTTTATTACAGCTTTCATTTTTGTGAGTCTTACTTTCAATTCTTCAAAGAAATCAGCAGGGATATTTTTCACACCTCCAAAGTTGGTTGCGTGTTTGGCTTCTTGACAGCTACACATCCTTTCATAGTGTTGTTGTCCTCTCACAGTGGAAGGATGGAGAGAAACTCCTGTGTATTTTTTCAGAACGGAAAATCTTGATTTTCTCCTATCTCTCAAAAGATGAAAGCTTTGTGTAGTGTTTATCTGACAGTAACAGTTTTGGTGGGCTACCAGGTCTTGCACGGTTGTTAGGAGTACTGTTTTCTCTATATTTTTTTAAATAATCATTTCAACAGTTTTAGAAACTTTTATTTTTTCCACTTGTTTTTCTTTGACTTTCCCCTTCCTAATGCAAGTGAATCATCTTATCTATATGATCTATATCTATTTCTCTTCCATTTTCAAACCTCTTAACAAAATTAAAATATCAGAATTAAAAGATCCACATAAGCACCTAACTTCTGACACAGAAAAAATGAACTGTACTTGCTGTTTCAAATGTTTAATTGTTTAGATGAAAGACAAACAAAATACCATTTGTAAAAGACTGAGAGGCATATTGACGTTTTTTATTTTTTTCTGATTTTTTGATGCCATATTGATGCTCTTACTACATACATTAGTCTGCTGTGTGTATTTATAATTAACTTGTGTGTATTTTGTATATGTATTTATATTCATTTAAAATTTCACACTTTTGAGCCACATCAAAAAAAAAAACTTTGTATTTCCTGAATTATGTTTGTTTCCATGGTAACCTCCTCTCTTTGCACAGAGCAGTAGTAACTGTGCTTTTTGTTTATGTGGGATGTTTCAGGTGACTGATAACACTCTGGTCCAGCTTTCAATCCACTGCCCTCGTCTTCAGGCCCTGGTGAGTGCCTGCTGTGCACCTGTGTGAAAATACATGGTGGAAGTATACTGTATCTTTAGCTCTTGTTTTCTGGCTGCCTTTGGGGAAAATCATTAACTTCTTATATTGTACTCTCCTGAGGGAAAATTCACCTCTGTTTTCTGTGTGTGTTCCAGAGCCTCTCTCATTGTGAGCTGATAACAGACGATGGGATCAGACACCTGAGCAGCAGTGTGTGTGGTCAGGAGCGGCTGCAGGTGGTGGAGCTGGATAACTGCCCCCTGATCACAGATATCACTCTGGAGCACCTGAAGAGCTGCCAGCGCCTCGAGCGCATTGAGCTCTATGACTGCCAGCAGGTCACTCGCGCAGGCATCAAGCGCATCCGGGTTAGTCATCCGTAGCTCCGTGCCTAAACTACAACTCCTGCACACTGAAAAAATGTATTGTGTTGATGTACTGTATTTTATACATGTGGAACCAAAGCACACACATTTGGTTGAAGTAAAACCAAAGCAACAGGGTAATCTTCATACAAGTTCCAGTCATCACACAACATAAGTCCTACACAGCTGGATTACTAAATTGTGCCAGTATTCTTGTGGCACATTTGCATGTGAGAATAATGGGATGAATTTCACTGGTTTAAATTAATGGCTACATTCACATGACAAGCCTTTTTGCCCAGTTCTTTCAATTCTTTCCACCTTGACAGTTCACATTTGTGTTTGTAAGTGACCCATATCTGTCATAAGTGTGGACTCTACCCTGAATAGACCCTCAAAGATGACATTGATATACACACAGCTAGCTAGAAACCACTAGCATGCTCTTTATGTTGCACTTCATGCAGTTGGTTCTGCCAGAGTGCTGTGTGACACATGCAGACATTATAAAAGACTCTGTTGATTAACATAGGAACCTGGTGCTCGTGTTGCGGTTACCCCATCTGGTGTAAAATGGGCTTAAATCCTATTGTATAAGTGCTTGCAAAAAGCCAAATAAAAGAAGGGATGCCCAAATTGGATTTGTTTAAAGAAACAAATACTACAAAGAAATTGGTTAGTTTTTGCACAGTGACGATTCTTTCTAAGATATGCTCAGTGCATTTGCCCATCAGTGGGTACTGCAGGCAAGTTCAGTGCCACCATGTGGCCAAATCAGATTTTTTCATTGTTCTCAAGGAGCCAAATTAGGCATATATATTTGATGAGCATTTCTCTTTCTCAAATATGAATGACATTCTTATATTAAAGGATATTTTAAAAATATTTAGTGTCGATTTATAAAAGTGAATCTTGCCAAACCCTACTAAAATAGTGTGTGTGTTTGTTTGTATGTTGTTGCTTCTTTCCCAGGCCCACCTACCTGAGATTAAGGTCCATGCCTACTTTGCCCCAGTGACGCCCCCTCCCTCAGTGCATGGAGGAGGTCAGCGTCTCTGCCGCTGCTGTGTCATACTCTGACAGAGGGTTGGCTTTCTGAGGAACTACATAGAGAGCGGAGCTGTCAGTCAACCTCTCAACCCTACCCTGGTCCTGCTGGACACCACCGCTAAACTCTACACAAGGGTGTGGCTGTGGAAGGCATGGTTTCTTCACTGAGTGTTTGCCTGGCAGCAGGATGGAGCTACACAAGTTACACGAGCTACAAATGCAAAATACAACTCAACATGAAACATTATTACTTCATACAGTATGACCTGTCGGATATACAAGATGAAAGTGGAAGAGCCACCCTGTAAAATATTTCATATTTGGATCTGTAGAAAAAAAAAAACACACATCTGTGGAAGTACTTAATGCAGTATGACATGGAACTACTGACTTGAGAACCTCGTCTGTGTAGGATGTCCCCCAGGGCTTCATGACAACCAGACAGTGTTTACTTCTTGCTCCTCTGTCACCGATAGGAATGCATTCCCTCACAAAGGGAACCAATAGATTAACACAATGAGCAGAAAGGGGTGGACCGTGAGCCTCTTTTGTTAGCTGTGGGAGGGTTTGTTTTGGAGATTCTTCCCACAGTGTGCGGGACTGCTTCAAAATTGGGAGCAGGAAGTCAAGGCTTCTGTTGGACTTAGAGTTTGCGTGTGTGTATGAGAATGTTGAAATATAGAAAACAAAAAAAATATAACACTACAACCAAGGGAACCCGTGTTCAAACTGGAGTAAAATGGTTCTCATTTTCTGTCATTGCTCACCATTATTTCAAGAGAGAGAGGGGGGAAAAGACATTTGAAAGGACTTTGCCACATGAGAGCGTAAGGGGGAGAAAGTAAGACGGAGATAAAGAGATGGAGAATGTAAGTAAGAAAAAAAGAATTGTTCAGCTGATCGGGCACTAGCAGTGGAAGTGAAGAAACCTTAGGAGTGATGTGACTGTTCATATTTAGAAAATTCATATCATATTTACTGAGGGAATCTAATATGAATAGATGAACCTGATTTTACGTTATAAGTGCAATATTGCAGTATGCTGAAGGTCTAGATTTTATGTTGTATATGTCAGGATTCACAACACTCCATATTCAGACATTTTCTTGGCAATGTTATGAAAGTATTCTTTTAAAATTGCCCTTTTCTTTACCCACATAGCTGCTTACCTATATTTGCTGCCACCTACTGCGTATTTATTTAGCTAACAGGCTAGTGCCCACTGTGTAATTTGCCACAAAGACCAACATGGAGGGTGCACTTTTAAGCCAATGCAATCATGAGAGCTTTTCAGTGTCATTTTAGTGCACAACTCCACATGCCATTTGTAATGTAGTTTTGAGCACTGAAAGGACTTTTCTTAATGCACACTGGGCCTCGTGTTCCTAATTTAGATGACTGTTGAATCGATTGCCTAATCAATGATGATGTCTTTTGGGTGTGAGTGCCTTTGATTTTGCAATGCCAGAATGAGCGTGGGAAGTCTAGCCTCAGAGATAAAAGACTCAGGACTGCAACGTGATCCTTCTGATCTTTTCCTTCCCTGCTTCATTGATTTTTAGCATTGGACACCATCGCAATAATGAGCGACATCATTGTCAGGCAACGGACCATAAGCTGCGACCAAGTCATGCACCCACATTTGATGGAGTACTGAAGTTGGTAATGAAGGATAAAGAGCGAATTTGAATTCTACCGCAATGTAAAGGACAACCCCCTCTCTCTATCATATTTTTGACAAAGAGTTGGAAAAAAAAGTTACCTGATTGTCCTTGTGTTCTGGTGTTACTGTGACATTTCTTTAAATAAAAGATCTGAGCAGTGTGTCACATTCAGTGTTGTTCGTGCTGCGTATCGGCCCTGTGGTACCACGTTGAAATAAGACTGCCCGCATAAAGGGTTTGTGAATGGTTTAAATTGAGTTTACTAATGGTCATTAATTAGGTCTTAAAAGACCTTAAAATCTTTATTAAACATTTACAACACACAAATGACGAGGGCAACAGTGACCTGTTGTTTGCCTAATGGTGAACACACATTGATTCATACAGTTAAACCTCAGAATTTGATGCTTACTGATCTTACTGCATCTTTATCAGTTAGCATTAAGCCTGTCATTTATCAGATGTCATGGCTCAATTTTGCTCTTTTTATTAATGTGTTATAACTGCTTATTAATGATTAATGAAGTGTTTATGACCTAACTAATAACCATTTATAAACACTTATAAAGGTAGTCTTGAAAGTAGTACCAAATATGTTTTCCACCTTTTCTTAATGCAGTTACTTTTCATTTGTTACTGATGCAAGCAGCTGTTTTATTATTAGGCGGTTTTCATGTGTTAGAGCACCACCTGCAATGTCTGGCTGAATACATTTAAAAGCAACTCTCACTTTAGGCTCCTTTGACAGTGTTTTAGTGGTTTTGTGAACATAGATTAGAGCACATTTACAAGAGTAAATGCATGAGCTTTTGAAAAAACTGTCAGTATGCTCTTTTGGAAAAAGCAAAATGTTTTTTTTCCCATTGCTCAGGCCTCCCAAAGTGTACTGACAGTGACCCAAGTGTATGTCAACAATGGCATTTTATTCCAAAACTTACATGCTTTATTTGAAAAAACCCAATTTAAGAGAGATGAGTTGGGAGTTTCATATATATTTGAACAACCTACCCAGCCCCCAGTATGCTCCACCCCAAGTATATTTCAGACCTGTGGGAAACACTGCTGTCTGTCCAAAAAACGGAAGATATTAAAAGGAATAAATGTCTTCAATAAAACGAAAAGGTACTGTCCAAGTTAAATTTAGTCCCTCAAAGTGCAAATTATATAAATATATAAATGTACCCTCAAAAGGAATAACATGGTCCTTAATGTCCAATCATGCAACTTAAATGAGTTTTAAAGCTACACTACATTCACTTTCCAACGGAAAGGTGCATATTTGTACGTTTTATAAGTATAAAAGTAAAATAAAAGGTCTATGGTCACGACAGGGAATATGGTGTCAATGCAACATTAAAAACACAACTGCAACAACAGGACACAATTATGTTCTCTAACTAAAAGTACCTCCAACAAAGCAGGAAGTCACATGATCAGTCATTTTAAGACTGACCAATGTATTAAACAAGTAGAATCAGCTGAGCTCCTGCTTGTTTGGAATGAAAACCTGCACCCAAGCCAGCCCTTTGTGGATAAGACTGGACACCCCTGGTCTAGAATGTCCTCCATGCTGAGCTGTCCAGTGGAGGTCAATTTAGTATGTGTCCTCCCTGCTGAGCCGTCCATAGTTTCTGCACAGCTGGCACAGTCATATCAAGCACAAGCCTCATAATGTACATGACTAGAGCCACGGGCCATGTCACTGGTTGTGCAATAGCTGTCAGAGTGAGGCCAATCCATTTGCTCTGAGGAATTCACACAATACCTGGGAATCACAAGCACAGTCTTGTTTTTCTTCTGTGTACACAAGGAGGCAGCCTTGCTTTACAAATGAGTTCTCATTTCTCCCAAATGGACAAGAAAGGCTTGATTTGCAGTTTGTGAAGTTCCTCTATGTAAAGATTCTTCTTCATTTAGGCACCTCCTTACTCGTGTGGGAGGTCAGATGTTTCACCTCAGACCAGGCTGTAGGCATTTCACAAGTTACAGGAACAATCCAGAAAACCCCTTCTGATGACATATCTTGAAAGTGGGAGGAACTTCTGGAAAACTACAACTGTTTTGGGGTGAATTTTTGGGGGTTTCACAGGAAGTGTTGCACTCTTGTGCTGCCTTTTGTGTGTTTAAAATGTGTTTTTTTTCCCCTCATTATTCACCAAAAGCAGAAGGAAGCCAGATAGTAAACAGATAGGAAACTTGAAAACACTTTTCCAAAAGCCTGCCTCCAGAAAATTCACCCCAAAGCTGTTGTTTTAAAAGTTCTTCACCTTCACCTTCAATATAAATCATCAGAGTTTTCCTAGTTCAGCTAGAGTGTCCCTTTAAAACCATAAAGTATGTTGTGAATTCCACACTGTTCCTGTACAAGCTGAAATGGTCCAGGTTCCCCAAAGAACATTACATTATAACTAACAATAATTATTCTATGGTAGCTGGGGGTCCCCAAACTTGCTGTTTTGAGAGGTCAAAGTCCAGTGTTTGTGGTGGACAGAGGGACAAATTTACAATTTAAGAAGGTAGGTAGATAACATTTTTTTAAATGTATTTTATCACATTACTTTATATTTTGTTGCTAAAACACAATAAAAAATCTGAATTTAAAGGAAAATAAGCTAAGAATTTAATATGTTACATGCAGTGTATGTTTGTTCTTTTACTAGGTAAGGGCATGGGGTTAGAGTAACTTTCTAGTAGGCCACACCAATGTCCTCACCAGCCACAGATTGGGCAGCCCTGTTATAAGTTCTATTTCTCATGCTTTAGTCTCAGGTTCCTCAGTGGCAGCAGCGTGCACACCTGAATACAATTATAAAGACTAAACTAAAAGAATGTGCTGTGTGATCAACTGTTTGTGGATTTTTCCAGATTGTCCCAAGTCCAAGTGCTTTGCAACTGAATTGTGGATGTTGGCCAAACGTCATATTTCACTTAACTTTTTGCTTTTTAAGTCCTCCATAGATCAGTTCCAAGCACAAAAGGTACTCTGAAGGCATGTACTGTAACAAGCAGGAGGCAGCAGGATGCATGTGCAGAGCAGCTTTATTTAGGGGCTTCTAACACTCATTGATAAAAACACACTCAGTGGGATCAAAACAAAGGCAGGCAGGGACACATGCACATAAACCTCAAATGCTATGCTATGAGTTGAGAAATATGAAACCTAAAATCATTAAAGGTAATTAAACTTTTTTTCTAAACAATAGTTTTGTTCATTCAGAAAATGCTTTACTCTGAGGGATGCCAAAGCTGGATTTATAGTTTCAGGCTGACTGAGATTTCATTAATAAATCCTCACAATGTATCCAGTGGTGACATTTTGCAAGATTGGACTAATATAGCAAGAGCATAATAGCAGGTATTAAACCTCCAAACATGTCACAGGTCAAATAGACAGAATTTTGAATGAAAACAAATCAAGAAAATACCCAAAGGTGTTCACTATTAATTATTTACTTTGTAATAAACTGGAGAATATTATTCCTGTTCTACATTAGAAATGTTACATCAGCCAGTCTTGTTGCCAAAACACAGAAAAATCTCTAATGTTGAATTAACATTTATATTTTTCATATTTGTACCCAGTTGGCCTTAAATAAACAATGTATGTATTCTTTCACCACTGTGGATTACACTGTATACAATGTTTTGAATTGATGATGCTTAAATATAAATGATTCATTTAATCTATGTAAACAAAAATGACATTAAAACAAGTGTTTTGCTCTCACCTCAAGTTTTACTAGTGGGAAAAAGGGCCTTCAGTGATTTTATAAAATGAGCTGCCAAATAACCTTATATATAAAATAGCCTTACTGCTCTGCAAATGAAAAGAGACAGCAACATTAAGATACATATAAGTTAAAGATAGAACTGGATTTTAATGGAGAAAATTTTCATTTTTAACTACTTTAACTGTCACATGTATGTTTTATGTATGTTTTTTTACTTTCAGGAAACACCATCACTATATGTTAAGCTTGAATCTAGGGTTAGGAATGGGACACAAATAAAAATGTGGAAAAACAAAAAACAAACAGCCAGAACCATGATTAACCTGTCTAGAAGAGGACATAAGTATATTCTGTCCCCACTTACAGTGAGGAGGATAATTTAAGGACCAACATTTTCTCCAGAAATCACAGCTGGACAACTGCAAGAGCTGGTCGTATTCTGGGGTTATCAAGTCTCCAAACTACAATTAGATGCCACCCACATGTCAACAAACTATTTAGAAGGCTTGCCAGAGGAAAATCTCTGCTGTCATCGAACCACAAACATAACCTCCTGGAGTTCACTAACCTTTACTGAATGTTTAATTGGAATCGGGTACTATATTTAGAAGTGAATTTGGCATTGAAAAGATTAAAACTCATGATGAAAAGAACCCAATCCCAACTGTGATGTATAGTGGTGGATCCATGATGTTGTAAGGCTGTTTTAACTCCCTAAGGCCCAAGGAGTCATGTCAGGATACATAGCTTCATGGTCTGAAATACTAAGAAAATGGATCCCTGTCTGCACTTTACGTTTCAACTGTGTACTCTGGCCATCTGTCTGAACTGTAAAATTTAATTCTGTAGTTATTTCAATGGCACTGCAATCTCCAACAGTGCACTCATAATTTATAGTGAAGGCATAGATACTATATTAGACGAATGTGTACAAAATGTATTGTGAGCCACAAACTCTGGTTTGTAAGACTATAAAAAAACATTAGGCTCTCTTAACTGTCTGGCAAAACACTGCTTTAAAAAAAAGGGTACCACTGTACAATTAAAAGCAAAGGCCCTACATTATTTACTGCCTGCTGCTCTTTATCTAGCAAAAACACTAAATAGTAACTGCCTTGACTTGTCTAGTATGTACTTTTCAAACAAGAAGATTACAACCATGTCTACCTCATTCAAGCTGCGAATATATCAGTATACTGTAAACAACTGGCCAACATTTTTAAATGCTTCTCAAAAGCATTGCATCTTGAGTGTCAAAGCAAGACTCTATAAGAAACGGTTTGCTATAATATAGACATATTATTCAATACAGATGTATTCTTCAAAGTCCACTAAAATTTCCACAAACAAACTTCTTTACCCAGCCATACTTCATGAAATTCAGTTGAGGAATAATGGATATATTCTGGTTTTAATTAATACTTTAGAACAAAAACGGCGCGTTCACCTTGAAGTTAAACTTTTACACTTCAGGAGTGAAGAGAACATAACATTTTAACACAAAAACAGAGGACATGTATTATTTATTTATAAGGGAAAATATGTAGTCGGACAAGGAGCTCTGTCTGAACAGAACTCCATGTCATATAATTTCCATTCGACAACTGCAGTTACTTCAATTTCTTTCTTTCTATTGACAGCTCCAGTATATCTTCATAGCCCACCTTCCTTGTTTTTTGGGTTGCTTTTTTTTTGGCATTTTGGAAAGCCTGATTTGACTTTTTTCAGCATTTCTTCTGAATCAAAAACTAAATTATTTTTCTTCATACAGACCGTGACTGATCAGTGTAATCTTTGTGGGTCTTTTCAGGGCCTTTGGGATCATCCATGTCTTCCACCACCTTTAAGGGGTACTCCAAGAATGTTTCAAAATGTGTGAATAATTAAATGGCTAAGATGTAAACAAAGTCATTCAGAGTGGTTTGGTGTAAAATGCTCAATTTGAGAGAAACGTCCCAAATCAGAATTGTTCACAGTGGTGGTGATATCAACCAGATCTCTGAAGAGTTTAATTTCCTCATAAGCTCCCTCACAGAAAGTTGAAATGATGATGAAAACACTGCCTAATGCCTGAGACGACTGACAAGATTTTGGTCTAAAATGTAGTTTTTTTTAATCCAGTCATGCCAGAGAGATATTCAAGGTATTATAAGCTAATATAGTACTCAAATGGAGCTTTTTTCAGATTTACGAGAACCATTTTCAACATTTACGTATGAAATCTCAGAAAGACACAGATTAGGTTGTTTAAAAAAAATAAAATAAAATGGCTATTCGCGCTGTAAACATTGCAATTTCTGGTTCCTCTCACCAACACAACACTGAAGACATTTGAGTCAGTAAATTTCTCCACAATGAGCCACTTCACATCAAACTGCTCTGAATGACTTTCTTTACCTCTCAACCGCTGAAAAGTCACTGGAATTCCCCTTTAAGGCGCGTCGACGCATCGGTATTGGCATTAGTATCGGCAGATACGTACAAGAAAAATATCCCTAATCCTTATCAACGGAGTCAACTATTCTGGTTTGAGACCGTGTGTGTAACGTTCATTCTAAGGGACTCTTTACCTCTTAAATTTCCTCACATCACTGATGCTGTAGCAACAACTGACAGCAATGTTAGCCTATAATTATCATTAGGTTTAGGCTTATGATTAGGTTTAGGGGGATCTTTATTTTATGATTACAGTTTGTGGTCATTGGACACGTGTGTGTGAGTGTGTGTTTGATATTTGCAGTAATGAACTCACCAGCAGAGGGCTCCAGTCCTCTGTCAAACACTCAGGTAACCTGCATTATATTTTGTTAACACACCTATAAAGACGTAATTAAGACGCACTGTCCGTATTTTGTACATGGTATTAATCTGAAAATTTCCTGTGTCGTTTCACGATCTTGTGAAACTTTAACGTCCACCACAGTCAGCGTATTTTACGCTGGCATTATCGTGGGCTGCTGTGCGGCGTTGAAGGACCCCTAGGCCTCGGCCCTGCTGTCAGTTTTTGTCCAGTTTAGCGCAGGCTGGCTGCTCGCTAATCGAGCAGAGAGACCGTTGTTACCGGCGGTGCGGTTGTGGTGATCCGGGGAGGAGTGAAAGTGAGCGGCAGCTGTCACAGTGGTGACTATTTCGGGACTGACTGTAACCAGGAGCTCCAGGGAGGGTGCCGCGAACAGCGCAACGCGGCGACGCACTGAGGGTCGGCTACAGGAGCCGGAGTGAGGCGGGCTTTGCTCAGATGGAGGCTCGGAGCGAGCAGAGGCCAGGCTGCACGGCCCAGGCCAACCGGCCACAAGTATAGCTTCAGCTAGCAGCGTTAGCCGAGACTCGGCTACCTAGGCTAAATACACATCTGCGCCTTTTCCTGAGCATCGCTGTAGTCTCAGTACTGAAAGGGACTCTTTCCCGCTCAGATCCGTTTGCAGCCGCAAGTCGATTTGTTAAACCACTTTTGTCCGTTTTTTTCCTCACAAACTTCTCAGAAGTTGTTTTGTTTTGTGTGTGGGACTCAAGTTGTGTATTATAACCGAAGTTGGTCGGCGGTTATTTTGACTGGTACCGTTACCAACTCTTTTTTCTGGTTGGTGACTTTTAGCACATTAACGTTAACTCCCTCTTCGCCTTCTGTGGCGGCGGCGTTGTTAGCTAGCTCAGTGTTTTTGTCTCATTTCCTCAGCTTCTCTGCTGTAGCAGGAACGACACTAACAGCCTTGCCCCCCTCTGAGCGCTTTGGCAGCTTTGACCAGCTATACAGCGATGGAGGAAAATGACAACATGGACTATTTTTACCAGCAAGTGTTGCAGAAGGACGTGAGCCGGCGGCTGCAGGTTGGCCCGGACCTCATCGACTACCTCAGTGACCCGCAGAGATCCGCGGACGTGGAGCAGGACAAATCCCGGCTGGATAAAACCATAGACGAACTAACCGGGTGGGTCAATTCAAGCAACTACAAGGTACGTGCCTTTTTTTCTGACCGTCTTGTGAGTTTAGTGGTAAATAAGAGGTTAAAGGTTCAGTGACAGGGGGTCATACCTTGTACATAAAGGTCTTTTTTTAGTGTAATAACGTCATTATTTAGGAGTGAGCTGCTGAGGCGTAGCCGTTATCAGCGATGCCTGCATTGTTTTGTTGTGACCATACAGTCAGACACAGTACATCTCGACCAAAGTCCGTAGTTAAATCCCATTCCAACAGTTAAATCTTATGAAGTAATGCACTTTTCTAGGCTTCTTATCCCTGCAACTCGTTAGGGAACGCTTCCCGTTGTGCTGCATGCTCCTCTAGTCACTTTGTAAATGTGCATTGTATTTGGCATGCCTGAGCTCTCAAACACGTAGGCATATACCTGTAATTTATTACGTTCTGACATGATACTCGTTCCTTCCTTAGCTTAATTATTGATTTATACGTCAGTGGAAATGAGTGAGCATCTGTGTCCTGGGCCGTGTGAGGCTGGGGGAGGGGGTCGTGGGGGTATTGTTCTGAGGGTGAGGAGGCCTATCTGAGACTATTTAAGGAGACAGCCGTTCACCTTAATTCTGTGTTTCATTTGCAGATACCTGGCGTGAGAGCACAGTTTTTATTTTACAATCGGGTAGTTTGGGGGCTGAAAATGTGTTTCTATTAGAGCAAATTTCAGTAAACTCTGCAATAATTGAACTCTCTATGCTAAACCATACTGAGGTCATTTTCACAGATGGACATTTGACCAGGTGACCAGGTGTTGCATGTCTAAGATGCTCATTGGGTTTGTAGGGTATTTCTCCACATTAACAATTAGTGTGTTTGTAAAATCAAAACATTTGCTTCAGATGGTCCATTTAACTGTGGAGATGTTGTAAAAACGTCCTGTACATTCTTGTGTTTATAGATGTGACGACCTAAAGAGCATCATTTAGGCCCTTAGCATAATACTAATGGACTTTAATGAAGTCTTGGTTGCTGTTGCATTTTTGCTTTTGAGATACAGCTGCAGACTTATTTGATATGTGTATTGCACAAGTACAGGCTCTGTATATATCTTGACATTGGCGAATAATATGAGCTGGTGCTCCCAGATAATTACTGTACTGAAACAAAGGGTTTTTAGTGAAATCATTGCCGATTGTGGCTCAGTAGCATATTGATATTTGTGGGTTTCTTCTTTTAAAGTCAACCTGAAGCCAATTTTTTTTTACTTTTAAAGTTGATGTCCCTTGTTCTATAGAGAATAATTCATCCTTCTATATATTGTTGTTTTCCCATAATCTTTCTCAAAAACTAATGATTTTTGCCCACCTTTAGAACTACTTCTGAGTTTTTATTACATTACGTGCATCAGTGAACAGGGAAAAAATAATATAACCTAGTAATATCATGTTTAACCAACCCCACTTATCACTGAGCAAATAGTCAGTCAGCTTAAAGAGATAAATCACAATACAGAAGAAAAACGCGTTATGATTTCTGATTCCTGTTGACTTTAAACATAAGCTTGCGCTGTCTTAAATGGCTGTGGCTATATGCTGTGTAAGCAGCGAGTGTGGCTGTGTAGTGGAGGCCTATATTATTACTGTCATGTCGTGAATCTCATTGTCCTTGCGAAAGGAGGTTGCAGTGCCTCTTTAACATTGAGCACTAGCAGGTGTATTGCCATCAAAGGCAGTTTAAACGCTGACCATTTCATGTGCTGACAGTGTTCACCATACAGCAGGATGAAGAATGATTTAAAATAAATAAATAATAAATCTATATTTGTATGAGGTGATAAGTCAAAGGACAGGAACATTGAGAAAGCTACATGGATAATTTATACAAATCCAGTGGATGCAGCCTGATACACTCTTGTACTTCAGGTACTTTGGATTTTTAGTGCTGTGTTTTTCATTTGCTACCAAATGCCTATGTTGCCAAAAGCTTGTTGTAAAGTTACTATTTTGTAAATAAAAGTTTTTTTGTTACGACAGGGACTGTATGGAAAATTTGTAGACCAGGAACTCTGCGGTGCTCCCTACCTTGTCTAACCCAGGGCTCTCTTAGGCTGCTTTGACTAAAATAGGTCAAAAATGGAGCTCCTGGATGTAGTGAATATTTGATTGTTTCTCTGGAATGTGGACTTCCATCCTGCACTGCCAAGAAACACACTACAGCAATCCCACCACAACCCTCAGACACACACAAACACACACGCGCAAATTCTCCCAGACATAGCGTGTGTGTGTGTGTAGATACATGCAGAAAGACATCAGGAATGCTTTTCACTTTATGTGCATAGATGTAGCACCAGTGCAGACATTTCTAAGCATCTTAACAGTGAGAGGGGCAGTGGTATTGCTTTTTCAGCCTTCATTGTGGCTCAGTTACAGTGATGTGTGTTTCAGCTGTGTGTGTGTGTTTGTAAGAGAAGATGAGAGGATGATGAGTCTGCATTCTCAGCTGATGTGTTTTTTTGCTTGATGTTAGGTTGCCTTGCTGGGGATCGATATCGTCAGCGCGTTTGTCGATCGGATGAGTGATCGCTTTCGAGGATATGTAGGCACAGGTAAACTACTAATGTGTGTTCTCATTCAAATCTCTTCATATCTCTCATGTGAGATGTAGCTTTGCTGTCTTAAGTCACCGAGATATATTGCTGGGTGGTATTGAAACAATTGTCACAATACAAATAAATCAGTATCACGATATCAGATGATATCTTGATGAGTTAGTATTTATGTAACTTAGTATTCATGTGTTTTCCACATATGGGCTGGACTTGTAATTTGGAATACTTTGTAATTGCATCTAAGGGAACCTTGCACAGTGTGTTTAAACCACTGTGGAACAGGGGCATTACTGCTTTATGGAAAAGGTTGTTATTGATAGTTATTGATTATAGTCAATCATTGTGCTAAAGCTAAAAATGTTACATGAGTATCTGTATATTGTATAGATGACAGCACCCAGCACCTCTCAGCAAATCTCATCAAGAACAACCTGAAAGCAAGACATTTTAATTACATCTGCCTCAGCTGGAAAGGGGAATACCACAATGACTCAGAACTCGTAATATGACATAATCTTTAGATGAATGCCACTCTCTCAGCTGTCTTGGCTCCCCCCTTTCATTTTACCAAGGAAACAGCTTGTTTTGCTAGCAACAGAGCACCCCCACACATTTATACCCTCATTCCTCTCTGAGAACACAGAATACACAATAGACACAAAAAAGGATGACCTCATACATGCCTCTGAGATTGAAAACACGTAACAGTAAATCTTTCTCTTTCTGTCCTCTCATCTCCCTCCCTCATTCCCTCTCTCTCTCTTTCAGTGGTCCCTGCGTTAGTGGATCGTCTGGGTGATGGAAAAGATCAGGTTCGAGATCAGGCGCAGGCGCTCATTCTCAAACTGATGGAACAGACAGCCACTCCCATGGTGAGTTCATTGCTCTCTCTTTCCCACCATCTCCCTCTCTATCTCTCTCTCTCTCTCTCTCTCTCACTCTCACTGGCTTTCTTTTGCTCAGTTTGTTTGTCTTTCTCTCTCTACTCCCCCCCACTCTCTCACTCTCTCTCTGTCACTCTTTTTCTTGCTCTTTCTCTTCCCATCTCCATTTTTATCTCTTGCTTTCTTTTCCTTCTCTCTCTCTCTCTCCCCCCCCCCTTTTTTTCTCACCTTTTCTTTTATTCTTGCTCATACTTTCTCCCCAGTACAGTATTCTATACAAGCCATCAGTAATTTTTAGCCATGCATTTGTCTTCACTTCCCTTTCTTTGACTTCTGAAAGTAATACATATGGCTCCTTACAAGCCCGTCCTCTATTTCTCATTTTGTGTTTGTTCCTGTTTCAATACATGCAGTGAGTCATTTTCTCTCTTTTTCTCTCTCTGTGTATAGTATGTATGGGAGAGGTTGTTCCCTGGCTTCAAACACAAGAACTTCCGCAGCAGAGAGGGCCTGTGTTTGTGCCTGGTCACAACACTCAATGCGTGAGTCCCTTGACACACTCAAGCTGCATCCACACACCCCTGCAGTCTCTGAATGGGCCACAAGGGGGGACTGTTAACTATATCCAAGTGGTCGACACATGGACGTTCAGTATAAATCTCTTGCGTTCTCCGGACTTGCAGACACCCAGGCTCAATATGTGCATTCCCACAGGGCTTTAGGGACTGTTCCACCCTTCATCTAGGCCGTAAAGCTTTGGATACACTACACGACTGTTTGTTTTAAAAAGACTGGGTATCTCACGCTATCCAACTGGTTTCTACAGATTTTTTTTGGGTGACTGTTGCTGAACTGGACTGAACTCGCGCAAACACACACATTCTCCCGTTACTAGGAGTTTGCATGTTCTGTGTGGGTTTCCAGGGGTTCCAACTGGAGATGCTAAATTGCCTCTAAGTGTGAGTGTGTGTGTATGAATGTGTATGTCTGTCGTCTGCACTGCGATGGACTGGCGACCTGTCCAGGGTGCTTCCTGCCACCTGCCCAGTGACTGCTGGGATAGACTCCAGCACCCTCTGTCACCCAGGAGGATAAGCGGTGTAGATAATGAATGAATGAATAATCTTCTCAGAAATATATCCTGAAAAATTAATAACTTAATGGCTTTTTAACTGTACAGGGTGAAGGGTGGTCTTTGATTTTTGCACAGTACTGTACACTTGCAGCCTCACAGATTAGATGTGATGTTAAGCACTTAAGCAAACGTCAAAGAATGTTCATACAAAGGCCTTGAGACTTGAGTCCACAGGTCCGGAGTCCAGAGATTTGGATTTGGCAAGAGATTTGTGCTTTCTCACTAATAGGGACAGAGTGCAGATGTTGGGGATTTGGGATAAGGCAGTATTATATATCATCTGTGTTTGGGGTTATGTTGAAGGTGGCAACATTCCACTGAGGCTCTTTTTACTATTATTCAGTATCTGGTTTTAATAGGTGAAATAATGTGCTCAGGTACTGCAGCAGTATTTGTATGTGGTGTTTTGTAGACTTCAGAGGTCAGTGCTGTAAAGAAGCATGTGCTAGCTTAGAATAGCGTTACACGCTTTTGCATGCGTGTTATTCTCACTCTGAGACATAGTCTTGACAGAACTCCTGCAGGCTGAGTTAATCCTCTTACCTGAGTGCTTCACCCCTACAAAGGTCAAATTAACACACAGCTACACTGTAGTGCCTTTTGTCCGCCAGCACAAGGTGCACACACTCCACTGACGCTAGTGGAAAAGGAGCCATGCAAGAACGTGCGCTGACCCTGACACATAATACCCTGAACTTTCTTACGCTGTACACTAGGGGTGCAGGAAAAAATTGATTCTTAGATGCATTGTGGTGCGGACGTGAACGATTCTGAATCGATTCACAAATGTCAAAAATTGATTTTCTAAATATTTAATTTATAACATAATTGACGGAACGCAAAAGGCGGAACTTGGAAGTGCGGAAGTGCAGCGCCCGGGCAGTCTGTGGCGGCACATAACAAAAATACAACTGGATGAGCGAGAAATCCGACCGGCACCCTCTGCATTAAAGCCAGGTTAGATCAGGAGTCACAACCCAAATGATAAGAAGAGCCATTTTGTCCTTTCAACAAAAATCAAACCACCTTGGCAGCCACAACATTTATGTCCAGTATGTCTTATTATGTGATAATGTTCTAGTATAGGCTAAACAATATAAACGAGAGCGCAGATTTACTTCGCTCTGCTTTAAGCTTTAGCTATAGCCACTTTCCTCCCATTTCCGCCAGAAAACTTTTCCTCAGAAGTAGATCAGTTAAATGTCTCTCAACGTTCGACTGTTTTACGAGGCTGAAGTCGCTTCTTATTTTCCAGCTTCTTGTTCGAATTTACCCGTTCCACCTTAAATTCTAACTGAGGCGCTGAATGTAAATGCGGCACCATTTAAGGTGGAACGGGAGAATTCGAAAGAGAAGCTGACTTCAGCTTCGCCACTTCTTAGTGTGTGACAGTCTCTCGTTGCAGATTTAATGTACCAGGAAGCCAACTGCGCTGCTTATAAATGCGAATAACGCATCGCTGCTATGTGACCTGCAGTCTGCACGCCGGTTCTCAGTCGTTGTGAAACAGGGCTTTCGCGCTGTTTCACACGTCCCGTCTCAAAGATACTTTACTGACACAGCGACCCACACCATCACCGTAACTGCTCATTTTATCACAGATGAGTAGCAGCAGCTTCTCATGCTCCAAACAAGAGCACTGAATGAAAGCCTTCTAGTTCACTTGCCACATCGCTTCCATTTGATTTATTAATAAAAGATATTGGAAATAAATTCATTCACTTTAAATAATTGTTAAATAATTAAAATTGTTAAATAATTAAAATTGTTATTTAAAGTCACTTTAAATAACAATAACACTGAGTTACTTAGTCACTTTAAAATGTATATTGTCTCTATATTCTGTGTATATTTTGTGTATATTTAATATATTTCAGTTGGTTTTTCTTGTATTTTTATTCTTAATTATTTACTTTCTGTAGAGTGATTAGCTGAGCCTCACCACAAGCATTTCAATGCATAAATGTCCTGACATGTTGTGCAAGTGACAAATAAACTTGAAACTTGAACTCGAAACTTGAACTTGCACAGTGAGACAATATAAATGCTATATAGAAAAAAAAGATGCATCGAGATGCATCGATAATCGTTTTATAATCGCATCGCAGCCCTCTGAATCGTAATCGAATCGTGAGGTGCCTAGAGATTCCCACCACTGCTGTACACACACATTCCTGCTGCAGTGACACCATTTGTATGTTAATTCCATGTTATTGCTCCTTTAAAAGATCACCTGTGACGGGATTGCTGCAGCACACTTGATTGTTTATTACATTTTTTTTTTATTCAGAACCTCTATTAAGATACATTTAAAAAGGAATTCCACCATTTTTTCGAAGTTTCTCTGTAAATCAGGCCTTTAAATGTGAACAGTCATTGCCAGTGTTGAGATTGGTAAGTTTGCAGTAATGGTGATAGGTGAGGGGGGGTTGTGATGTCTACAATGCAAATATAACATTTTGACTGTCTAAAATAACCAGAGAACCTACACATCTTTTTATAGAGCTTTTATTACATGTAATAATTTTCTGTGAAGTAGCTTTTGGAGGCATAAAACTCTTTAGACATTTGGTTCCCATCACCACAGTTTTCACTAGTTGCATTTCACCTAAAAACACTCTGAATGACTTTGTTTACATCTTAATGATTAATTTAAGCAGGAAGTTAGATCGTCAGAATTCCCCTTTAAGATATATGCGCACATATCATGTCAGTATAATTGTTTGCTTTTTCAGGATGTCTGTTTGCTCTGCAGAGATTGTATTAACAGTGTCCCTCTCTCTTTCTCTTTCAGGTATGGTGCCCAGCCATTGAGTCTGAGTAAATTTGTGCCTCATTTGTGTGTGCTAACAGAAGACCAGAACCCCCAAGTATGAATTTGTTTTTATATGGATCTTTAGATAATAGAGTTTCTGTTTGTGGAGGTGTTGTAGCGTGACTGTGTTTGTGAATGTGGAGAGGCAGATAGTTGCACTAATTCTACACTAATGGAGTGTGTATGGTTGGTATTTAGTGGAGTAGGAGCTCATGCACAGAAACTAGATCCCTCACTGAGAGAAGGATTATAGGGAGAGAAGGAGTTTAGAGCCTGTAGGAGGTGAGAAGATTTTAAGGGGAAAAAAGAGGGGAAGATTGCTGGGGCTTTTGAATGAGAGGGCACATCACTGCTCCTTTAGCGGGGATCATTGGAGTGAGTCGGCGTGTGTGCATGTGCTTATGTGTGTTTGTAAAGTTTGATGGCTCGTTGGAGTTTGCAAGTGTTTTGTACCTTCCAGGTGCGGGAGACTGCCATGTCAACTCTGGTGGAGGTGTATCGGCATGTAGGAGAGCGAGTGAGAGCAGATTTGGGCAAGAGAGGACTACCAGCTGCACGGTCAGTCTGCTTCTCTCTCTCTCTCTCTCTCTCTCTCTCTCTCTCTCTCTCTCTCTCTCTCTCTCTCTCTCTTTTTCTCTCCTTTTCTCTCTTTCTCTCTCTCTCTCTCTCTCTCTCTCTCTCTCTCTCTCTCTCTCTCTCTCTCTCAGAAAAATAATTTGTGTTTATTGGACCACATGAACACCAACTGAATTAACACAGCCAGAAACACAGCACACAGTAAAAAGCGTTGTGATTGGTGAGAGAGCTACTTTGCATATTTCAGCTGCATCAGTACTGCAAAGGCCAATATTGAGATAATGATCAACACGGTAACTTTAGCTACAAAAACTCACTTTTTCTATAGTGCAAATACAACAAAACATCACTTATCACTACCATGGGTATTGAAAATAAAGACTTTGGTGGTACCAACCAAATTACAATACTGCCAACTATCAAAAAATTTCATGTCATTCAGTACTAAATTTCAGTACCTTAGTAGTCTTGCATCTACTGTATAATCTATTGCGGTCCATAAATGGTCCACACCCACTTCTTGTTTGTAAATTGAAATAAATATCAAAACTTTTTGTGCAGCTGACGGGAAGGTACTGCTATTGAACAAAACATTTTTGAATGATTACCCAGCCATTATCACTAGTGACATACAATTCGCTTCGCTCTAGCTATCTATGAACTGACCCAGAATATTTGAAAAATCCAAGTATTAAAACCAAATAATGGCACTGCTTACTTGTCTGCAACTTTAAAAAGCTGCTGTTATAAATTGCCACTGGTCAATGGTCATGAAATCTTCTATTGTGAGTGTGAAAAAATAGAAAAGTTGGGAAGTCTTGTACAAATGGCTGATATTTAAACAGAGCTTATGTGGAAAAGCATTAAGTAGTGATGTAGCTAGTTACTCATAGATTAACAAGTGAAAGACTCTAGGAAAAGTGTTAGCAATTGCAAGAAAGTCACTGTGTTGTTCCTGAGTGGATTTATCTTTTACAATAAATGGCTTATTAGAAGCATTTTCCTTGAAATGCACCAGTCAAATAATTTCTCTTTGGAATCAAAACTAAAAAATTAAAAATATCTAGAGTTTGATCCTATCGGAATTGCAGACTAGTCCTTCTTGATATCTGGCTAACATGGCGTGTAATGGTATCAGGTGGTACCAGATCAGCTGTTTTTACCATTAGGTAAATGTGACTAATCCTGAATATGAATATAAAAAGTCTTGTGTGTTTCTTTTATTTTAATCTGTGTAGAAGTGAACTTAAAAAACGTAATCTTAATACTGATGTGACTGAATTTAAATTATATGAATTTGGTGGAAAATATTGTACTATTTGTGTAAACTCCTGAATATGGAGTTTATATAAGTTTATTCTAGATATAGTCCACTCCAACTTACAGACACAGCATTGTAAAGGCCTTGAGATTTCCTTGAAGATTAAACTGTACTGTTAAAACTGTTGAGTGTAGCAATTTGTACAGAGTGAACATGGCTGATGTCTGCCACATTTACATTGTATGGTTCCCCTTGTATTCCAACTAGTGTGTGAGATTAGTACTTCACAAGGTCACAGAGTGCACTTGGGAAGGTTTGGCATGCACGTTGTGATACAGCTACTCAGGTTCTCAGAGGTTGAAAACATACACCGTATCGCCACATATGTGCTGTACTGCATCTATACAGACTAGGTTTTAACCCAAGCCGGATTTGCTAGTACTGTATGTCTTCTGTGCCACAGGATATTTGTAAGTATTTCTGCAGTTAGCTGTTGAATTTGAGCTTTTCAGCATAAACAGCATGAACAGTGCTCAATTGCAACGCAAACCATGACAGTTTTATATTCCACTACTTAATAGGATTTTCTATCTTCAGCAGTTCTTCTATGTCCTTATGAAACATGCACAAGCAGTGTTTTTCAGAACTCTTGTCTTATTTTTCTGTACTGCTAAAATGTGTGCATATCTTGCACATCCATCCATACATGCTCTTGGAATAATTTTTTTCAGCAAAATCCAGAATGGACATTGATCTAAAACTGCTTGTCTTGCGCACCCAGTCAAAACCACAGGAAGTGAATTTTGTAAGGATTCTGTAGTAGAAGGGTGTTTGACAAAAAAGCCATTAGGCTTGGACTATTGAATTGGATTCAGGAGCATTGATTAGTGATGAACGTAAAATCCTTGGCCAAAAACGAAAATCTGAACACAAAGCTGAAATCGAAAGCTGAAAAAAACGGGCAGAATGTAAAAACAGTGTATGTAAGCTTTCTAAAATGAGTACATTACATTATAGTACAGTTATGATTAGTCATTTTTATACAAATCACAATAAGAAGTGCAGTTTTCAAATCGCATGATCTGCAATTTTAATAATAACTGTGTTGATAAAAATGGTCTGAAATCAAAGCTACAAAATTACCTTTTCCCTAACAGTTCTTGCTTGACAAATTTGTAATTTGGTTGTTTCTTTGACCTTTTATGTTACCTCTTCAGGAGGTCAGGACTGTTCTGGATTGTGACAGTGTTTGATTGCAAGTGTGTTGGTGTTTGTATCTTGTCCTTTTCCCTCTAGAATTCTTTTGCATCACATCATACTAATATGACTGTATCTGATTACTCAGGACCTGGGAGGAGGGTGTTTAACTCCAGGCATGTGTGTCGCATAATACTGGCTTTAAGGAGTCTGTGTCTTTTCAGTGCATCATGGAAGTGAGAGAGAATCTGACAGAGAGAGGGTTGTAGGGAAATAGAGAGGGAGAGTGGGGACACATTTTGTTGACATGGTTACAGACTGAAAGGCTGGCCTGTGGAACGCGTCAGTCAAAACGAGCGAGGCAGGTCGAGGGGAAACTGAAGCAGGGTGAGAGAGGCTGGGGAAGGACAGCAAGGAGAAATGGGGAGAGCGTGTGTTTGTGAGAATTTGTATTTAGCTCTTTGTGAGGACTAGTGTAATTATGATAGTGTTTTTTTAAATGTGTAAAGAACCAAAAGCAAGGATAGACAAATACAAAAATGGCTCTGGCAGCTTGGGCTATCAGTCCAGTGAATCTTGTGGCCAGAATTATAGAAAGATGTTTGTTGTACATGTGTTGAATTTACAATTAACAAGCGTGCTTCCGTACCAAAAAACAGTTTGGTGTTGCCTTTTGCTGTTCCAGTATTACATGTCCTCTCCATGTTTTTTCTTTCCCATTACACAAGTCAAACCAAGGAATGTTGTGAAGGGATCCTCATTTTTCACAATATAGTGAGCCAAGCTGAAGATTTTTATCTTTCAGTCCCCGTGACCCACCTCTACCTTTATCAGGTTTTGATCGGTCATTCCTGCTGTTTTCGCATTGGGATTGCGGGAGAGCATTGCGCAATAACAGTGTTTGTTTTGAAAGCTACTGCCGTGCTTTTGAATATTCTGTTTTCTGATGAATTGCTTGTTGTGACAAGCTGAAATGCTTGACAGAATATCACAGTCTTTTCAAAATCATGCTCTGGCCGCACAGTGCTTGATGCACTTAGCTTCTTTTGTGACCATACAGGTTTTGGATCAGGTGAAAAGTAGTGATTCTGTTATTGTGGGTATTTGTGCACATGTGAAAATTCGACTAGTCTGATGGTCTTTTAAAAAAAAACAAAACAAAACAAAACAAATACGGTGTCACATTTTACTGGCCAAAATGTGAGATGATGTGGTAATAGGCAATGTTTATCTCTGACCAAAAGATTGCCTTTTTGTTGCTGAGGTTAAGGTCAGGGTTAGGTTTAGGTTTAACTGTGGGTGTGGCATTACTGATCTACAGTATAGAAATTCTCACAAAAATAGTAATACCAACTTAAGTGTGTGTTTGAGGGGGAGGGGCAGGCTCAGTCGTCTTGTCTCTGAGCTGCTGAGCTCTAGTCCCTCCCACTGCTGTCTGTTCCAGGCAGGAGGTTATGTAAAGGGGAACAGAATCCCTAGGCTGTCACACACACATTGCCATGCAGTTTCTCAGCACTGCGCTCTCACACATGCATGGCAATTTGTAGGATTTAGCTGCCTTTTTTAAACTGCTTCGCACACAAAAGAAAGCTAAAGATGTCTGTGCAGGTGGGTGGGATTATTGCTCGCTCTCTAGCTCTTATCCTCTCCTCTTCTGCCTTTCTTCACGATTCCTTTGCTTTTTCTTGCCCCTCTGGCTGTTTCTTATGGCCTTACTCATGTTATTTTTGTTGCGTTCTGTGCTTCTGTTAGGCTTCCTGTGTTCTTTCTTTGTCGCTGCACCATTTTGGACACAAAAGGGAAGAATGGTACACTGGCTGCAGTAAAGGGGGATAAGGGAACTCTGTATGGACACTGTCTATGTTTCTGCGTATGTGAGAATAACATGGCTGATCCGTCTAGACTATTATCTTTTTGTTAAGACCCTCAGTACACACCTGTATACAAATAAGAACAAATAGACAATAATATATGCACTGTTTGGAGAAAATTGCATTGTCTTGACTTTTAATTGTATCTATGGCTTAGCTTTTGTCTCATGCATTAGCCTGAGTTATCTTTGTTTTTCTCAGTATTTATGCCTATAAGTAGCTTGTGTAGTTTTGAAAAATGTTGGAATGTCTGAGTCTTTATTGTCTTTGTCTGTTTTTCCGCCCCGTCTGTTAGACCATGGGTTTGTGTATTTGGTTGTAGGCGTTTCCTCTAAATTTACACCTACATTAAAATTATAGTTGTGCTATTGTTGGTTGCTTCAACATTACATTTTGAGCTATCCTTAGAATATGTGTACACGTTTTTGATGCTCTGTTGTTGGGTGCACACAGATCTTATTTGTTAGTTTAGCTAGGCAAGTTAAAAATAGTCTGTTGCAATTATTAGAAATATGTACATATTAAGAATAAATGACCATTCTGATGTAATTTTAGCAACCTTAACTCTTTTGAATGACACCCAAGAAGCAGGGTTTAGAAGCTTGTTTAGTTCCATTTTATTAGTCGTTCAATTCACCAGAAATATAGACAAA